CAGGTTCTGTGGCAAATCTACCAGGCTCTGGCCGACCAAGGAGCGTTCGCACACCGGAAAATATTGCTGTTGTGAAGGAGAGTGTGAGAGTGTGAGAAACGATCTGAAACAATCAACAACGCGTCGATCCCAAGAATTGGGCATTTCGAGAACCAGTTTGCTCCGCATTCTCCACAAGGATTTGAATGTACACGCCTACAAGATCCAATTGACGCAAGAGCTGCGTCGGGCCGACCATTTTCCGCCCCGAACGTTCTCAGATTGGCTCCTTGAACACCGCCAAATTGATGCCAATTTTTCATCAAAAATGTTCAGCGACCAAGCGCATTTCACTTTGAATGGGACGGTAAACAAGCAAAACTGCCGCATCTGGGCGAACTAAAATCCCCGTGAGTATCAAGAGCAGCCGATGCGTCCTCAAAAAGTGACTGTGTGGTGTGCATTGTGGTCAAAAGGCATCATCGGACCTTACTTTTTCGAAAATGCGGCCGAGGACGCCGTTACCGTCAATTCTGAGCGATATCACGTGATGATAGAGGACTATTTTTTGCCGCAACTTGAAGGAATGGATATGGACGATGTTTATTTCCAACAAGACGGTGCAACATGCCACACAACCAACGTCAATATCCATCGATTGCAGTCCTTCTTCGGTGATCGCGTGATTTCGCGCAGAGGAAATGTGCCATGCACACCAAGATCGTGCGATTTGACTCCCTTGGACTTCTTTTTATGGGGATATTTGAAAAGCAAAGTCTACGTCAACAAACCAGCCACCTTCCAAGAACTCAAAAACAACATCATTGCCGAGATAAATGCCATAGAACCGACCATATTGCAAAATGTCATTGAAAATTTCGACCATCGCGTAAATCCAGTCGTGGTGAACATTTGAGCGATATTATTTTTCATACATAAATGAACCTTCAAAATAAAGTACCCAACTTGATTTGAATATCAATCTTTCTTGTTTTAATATGCGTTTACTTTCCTGCGTCCGTTTTGGACAACCCCATGTAATGTGTTCTCATGATTCGTTGCGTTGTGTACGCGGCGCGATGCTGCGACGCCGTGGTCACGAAAAAACTTTATAGTATTCTAGTGGCAGCGGAGAAAAATAAGGTCAACATCGAACAAAAAATAAAATACGCTGAAACTTTATTTTTTGACGTTTCAGAGTATCCTGCTTATTCTGAAAAAACGTTTACAGGGTCTAGAAATTGGATGTTGGGGGTTGTAGGCGGTGGGGGAGAGTATACGTCAATTTTTTGGTGTTAGCAATTTATGTTTCAAACCCCGGTAATTCTACGCACCTGTTACACATATTTAATAAATCATAGATTTCTCGGTACATTTGAATAACTGAACGTGAATGATGATGTGAATATTCGTGTTTGCAACGCTGTGATGGCTTACCACGTTGATGGATGGTTAAAACAGTCGGTAAAGTGGTAGGCTAGATCGCAATGTTGCCAAAGCTGTGGGGATTATGGACTAATTGCATGAGCCTGTTTGACTGACTTGATCCATTTAATTGCTTTGTTTTACATCTTCGCAGCCAACTTTATTTATGAGATTATTTGTGACAAATATAATTCTTTATGAATTGATGACGACGCTGTGTCGGAAGTGCAGGGTCAACCTACTTCACACCATGTTCTTATAGTCACAGGATATATTGGTTATTGGACATAGATTTTGTTTTATAGTAGGAAATTACAGATGGGGTTAAGTATTACTCGTATATAGCAAGGATGTTTCAAATTCGACTCTCACTTTTGGGATTTCGGAAACGGTAAAGAGTTACAAAGTCGGATGAATAGAGGCAACGTTAGGCATTTAGGTAATTAACCCTTAACTACCATGGCCAAAAACAGTAACATTTATACCATGGCAGGGTCAAATTAGACCCCATTGTTTTTTTTCACATAAAAAATCCAATTTTGTAGCTTGTTTTTATGTTATGTCATTTTGTTTTCAACTAGTTTTACAATTTTATAAAATAAAACGAATATGGTTAGTTATAACTTTATTAAAAAAAAACTTCGGTATTCAGTGAGCGCACTTTCCAAAATTATTATCACGAGTTTTGCATATGGAAATAAAACAACACGGTAGGTAGTTTTAAATGATTTTATTGTTTTTCGAAGTATTCTCCACGAAGATTAATACACATCTGCATGCGCTCGAACCAATTTTCAAAGCCTTATTCCACTCGTTTGCTGGCAGACCCAAAACGGCATTTTTGAATGCGTCAACTGCTTGTTCTGGTGACTGGAACCTTTGACCACGCAGTCTGTTTTTAATTTTCGGGAAAGTAAAGAAATCGTTAGGACTTGGATCGGGACTATATGGAGGATGGTCCAATAAGTTCACGTTTTCTTCTGTTAAATACAGCCTTGTTTTTTGGGCGAGCTTGCATTGTCTTGGTGGAGGATGATTCTTCTTTCGGGGTTGAATTTTCGAAGCTCGGTGATGACTTTTGGCAAACAAATGGTTGTATACCAATTCGCAGTAACAGTTCTTTGCTCATTAAGAGGAATTGTTGCAATATGACCCGCTTTTAACACAAATGTCGCGACAATTTTTTTCGAAACACTTCGAGAACGGATGACTTTTGTTGGCTTTTCTTCACCTTGGAACACCCAAACAGCCGACTGTCCTTTATTTTCTGGTTCATAACAGTAAATCCACGATTCATGACCACTAACAATGCTGTACAAAAAATTTTTGATTTTCCGGAATTGCAACGATCAAGCGTTTTTTGACACCAATTAATCCTGGCTGCTTTCTGCTCTTCAATCAACAGGTGGGGTATCCAACGAGAAACTAATTTTCTTACTCCTAATTCTTCATGTAAAATTTTTTGAATTGAGGTCCTTGAGATCTTCAAGGACGCCTCAATCTCGCGATATGTCACATGTTTATCTTCAATTATGAGTTTGTGCGCATCGACGTTTTCCTGGGTGACTGCCGTTTTTGGTGCACCCACCCTGGGATCGTCGCTAAGACTCACCCGTCCACGTTTGAATTCTCCATACCAAAGGGAAATTGTCGACTGATGTGGCGCTTCGTTTCCGAAAACAGACAGTAACTCAGCAAGGCATTCTTGTTGCGATAATTGTCTCTGAAGGTTGTAATAAATTATGGCACGAAAATGTTCTCGGTTGAGTTCCATTTTTCTAATGACTTGGTGACACTTAAAAATTCACTGTTGTGAAACTTTGAATTTAAGTTTACTAAAGAATGAGGTTAAGATTCAGTACTGACGTTCGATCCACGCGGCCTACTATGTTTCTACGTTATATGCCAAACTTAAAAGACATCCCTCGTACTTATTAAAAATTATAAAAATTTTCAGTTTTCTTGTATTCAGTGGTGAATTTTAGGTATCATAGCTGCTACCTAAAATAAAAAAATTGATTTAGATTTCGTACCTAAAAAATGACAAGCATTTTTTGACCTTACTTTTCAAGACATCTTATACATAATGTCTTCGTGCGGGCATGATTTTTGCAAATAAAGTCTCGACATTTATCGCACGATGAGCTTTCTTTCTTTTGATTTTCAGACTATGGTCATATTTTCACCTTCCCCTCCACTGGTTCCTGAAGTCCGGAAACTTTAAAAATGACACTACGAAGTTCTCCCGATAAACATGCTAAGCTCTACGAGTCAAATGGTCATTAATAAGTTCTTGACCTAAAGTGGTTAGAAATATTTTTTTTTTGCACCTCCGCTTCAAGTTCTTTCTGTGTCAGAGGGCGTGTATTGCCACTACACCCATCCATTTCAAATTACTCGCTACTCGCACTAGAAACACTTGTACCACAAACGGGTCAAATTTGACCCTACATGTGCCTAACTATGCAGTGGTAACAGATAAATTAATGGAATTTTTGTGGATCGATAAATCACCTACCAGTCGAAGACTAGCAGAACGCGCGCAGCGCGCAATAAATATTTTGTTAGCGAAACTTGGCATACAAAACGTGGAGGGTCAAATTTGACCCGACATGGTACTTAAGGGTTAAGAAAATGGAACATAGAAAGTTTCGCAATTCATCAGCTGCCATTTTCAATACCAACAATGGAAATGAATCAGTTTGGTGCGAACAGTCGGATGCGCATGTTCTGTGGTCGCGTATGTACCTTTAGACGATGGAGGAAGCTAATTCAGAATTGTACATCTGCCACTTTTGTAACTAAAATTAATTAACAAGATATAAAACAGCGTGTATGCAACTGTCGCTGTATTTGTTCTTCTTTTGTTTGGTATGCTAATTCGCAATTTTTTATAGTGTCGGGTAGTCGATGAACTGTGAGATAATCACCAATAAAAATACTTACTAATTAGTTTGGTAATTTGTAAAGTAGATAGGGGAAGGGTGGGCAAGTCGACATACTCGAAGGTAAAATCAATTTATTTTGAAAAATATAAAAGGTATCATGAATTAAAAAGCGTCATAATACAAACGGAACATCCTTTTTTAATATTTATCAAATGAAAAACAAATTCCATTTTAAAACTAAAAATGTAAAATAAAAAGAGTCAAAATGTCATCTTGCCCTACCCTACAGGGCAAGACGGCATATACGTGGATTTATACATAAAGTGATCAATTATCAAAACATAATTGACAAATAAAGTTCTTAGCCTTCATTGATAGTCCTGCACACTCATCATGAGCCCACATATGACACATTTGGCAGCCTTCTTGAGATTTGGATAGGCTATACAACTCATTGCAATAGAGGCATGCGCAATCATCGTCGTCGTCCTCATTAAAGGGCTGTTCACAGTCTGATTCATTTTCATAGATTTTAACTGCAATTCGTTCACTTTTTCTTAATTTTCCGGTTCTCTTTCCTCGACAATCTTTTTGAATATCTTTATCTCCACATTCTAAGGAACCATCAAACACATTTTTCTTCACTGAGTTTCGCTTATTCTTTCTTAACTTTCTGGCTTTTTTAATATTCTCTTGTTCGCGAAGACTCTATAGGTATGGACTCGTGGTAAGAACATCTTGGTAACTTTCCTTGGCCTTCCTTCTGGATTTTCTTGCATTTCCCTGAGGAAAAGGTGAAATTACTGTTGTAGATGACTGCGGATCTTCTTCATTCAAATGTTCTCCTGCAGAGAAACATTCACCCGGGTTAAGGGATTCAGTGTTTGGATCATCGGCCTCAAGTGGCACATCACTTACTGTGCTGGGCAAATACATGTGTTCTGGAAATATGTCCGGGTTGAAATGTTAGATCTCTGTTGCTTTAAATCCGCTTAAAGCTATCGCTGGTGTTGCTGTTTTATTGTAGGCGGAAGAAAAAAGTGACGCGACTTGATAAAGAGTGATGACACGACTTTAATTTTCCTTCAACCATTGAGTTGCTGCTGCATCGTAGTACTTACTTAGTGGTCCAAAAAAGCACACATTGAGAGGTTGGAGACGATGTATGCAATGTGAGGGCAAACAAAATAGCACCACTGATTTTTCTTTTTTGCAAGTTCCAATGCTTCTAAATTTTTATGGCTGATATGCCCGTCTAAAATTAGCAGGGCTTTGTTTTCGGTGTTCTGTCGAATATGTTTAATAAACTGTTCCATCCACTTTACAAATAGTTCCCTGGTCATGTAACCTGATTCATTGTACATACATAAAGTCCCAACGGGCGCTCCGTCGTATAATGTTAGGTTGAATTTCTTCCGAGGAAAAATTATAGCAGGTGGAATACAGTTCCCCCTGAACTCATGCACGCCACTACAGTTGAATGCACTCCCCTTTCCCCGCTGGTGATAGCACCCACTTGCTTCTTTCCTTTTAATGCAAAAATTTTAGAAGTATTTGGTACAGTTGTTAACCCTGACTCATCCTTGTTAAAAATCATCCTTTTGTCGATTTCTTTATTACTTATTACGTAACGTATATTTTCAAAAAAGTTCTTTACTTGTTATTTGTTAAAACTTTCAGCCCGTGCCATCGATGTTGCCTCTGGCTGACGTAAAGATATATTCGGATTCCTTAGTTCAAAAGAGCGTAGCCAACCTTTGCCTGCAATTTTTTTCTTGTTATTGAATTGATGTTTCAACTTCATTATCACTGCAAGTTTTTATGCCAAAATACGAACATCTACGGTCGTTAAGCCAAAAAATCTAGCTTCCAGTGCTAGCATATGCTCCACTAGAAACTCTTCTAGTTCTCGATTTAAGGTTGCCAAGATGCTTTCTTGTACCAACAGCTATTTTATTTAGATTCATGGCACGGCGGCGAAGTGTTGCCTGGGGCACTTGGAAATGCCTGCTAGCCTTTAACCAACCCATGCGCTTTTCTACTACAGCCTGCAACGCTCGCTCCATGTTCTTCTCATTCCATGCCCCTCTATTGGTTTTTCTTTTATAATTGGAAACCATCTGTAAATTAAAACAGCAGTTGCAAATTTTAGGTCATGAGGGCCAAGGACGGGCCTATGGAGGGGGGAATAATGGGGATAACAACTCCCCCCAGACAGGTCCCATAATTTAAATGAATAGAAAACACTGGATAAAAATACTATAATAGCTTAAAAAATATACTAAAAAAATATATAGGTACCCATGTTTTTACTTCTACATTAATAGTAAGTACCCAAAACATTAACCGATCATTTTATTTTAAAGGAGTTTTGGGTAAAAGTTGGTCCCAGATTTTTTTTACCCTCCCCCAGAAACATTTCATAGATCCGTCCTTGACAGGGCAAGATGACACAGCTATATTTCAACTTGCCCGCTAGCGTGTGTGATCATAACATGAAAATATGGCCGGTTAAAATATAACCTCAAAACAGTTGCAATATCTTAAACTAAAGCTTAGGTACACCCTTTTTATCTCCAAATAAATCATGACAAGAAATACTAGAATAGCATAAATATGCTACAAAACATATGGTACTTACATTGGACCAAAATGCAACAATGACACAAACATGTAAATATTTTTGTAAACGTACGGAGTATCCACACCCAAAGACTATCAAACGATTACTGCGCAGGAGTCGATTGTAAATTGTAACGAGCGTATGAACTGAACCAATAAGGGATTAGTTTTCGTGGTGGGGGCAATGTGTCCTCTTGCCTGGCTATGTCGACTTGCCCACCTTTCCCCTATTGTTTCATGACTGTGCGTGCCGACGTATTACACAGGCAAGGAATAGGATGAAAACAGAAGGTGTAAAAAGAATTTATCTTTTCACAGGCAAATTTAGTATTTAATTGAGTAGTATACCTGTGTTTCTGTCAGTAAGTATTTTGTGATCACGAAAATCCACTCATTCACTTCCGTCCATCTGTCTGTTAGCAATGTTTACCTCCGTTTTGTCGGAAATGGCAGTGACCCAACCCATGTATTATACTCATACAAGTGGAGCCTAAACATGATTTAAACAATTAATCTAATTTATAAGGAAAGTTTTTAATGTTAAATGACAAAAATTAATGCGTCTTTCTTGTTTTCTTGCAAATCGATTTATGACTTCCTCCATTTCGACATGTGAGGTTAAGTGGTAGAGTAGCCAACTGGCTAAACTTCGTCTCGCACTGTGGAGGGATTAATAAAGACATTATTATTATTATGTGCAGATAAAACTGAAAGTCCAGTTAGGCGATCTTCTTCCATAGAGGCTCGCAACCACGTCTTGAGCCTCCTGAGCGTAGAAAAGGACCTCTTTGCTGTCGGTATACCTACTGTTAATGTAGCAAGGATACGCAAGAACTTTTTCATGTTGGGATTTCGGCATCGCAATTTTCAATAAGAGTAGGAAATAGACCGCGGAATATTCTGCATTTTACCATCTACAGCCAATATTCATTCACAATTATTGAAGTTGGCGTATTATTGTCCCAGAGCGGTTGGTACTCGATTGCAGGTTGCTTAACGGTTTCTTCACTAATATGAGTGACTCTCGGAATAAAAACGCTTAAATTAAATGAATTAAGTACCTCTGCAGCTAGTATCCCCTTAAGATTAGTGATTACATTGTCTAGAAGGGGGGTGAACACTGCCTTCCGAAAATACTCTCCCTGCGACTGAGTAGGTACCATCTCATTTGAATCGAATGAAAGCGCTTTTCTGATTTTGTCCATCAAAAGGTATGTGAAATTTGCTCACAGCTTTGAAAGCGCACGCGAAAAGGTTTTTTCTTATACCCCTGTCCGAATGTCTGAGTTTATAATTAACTACCTTAATCACATGACGCTCAATTTCCAATAACGCACTAACGGACATGTACTACCAAGCCGAAAACGCAGAATCAGTATTTTATTTATGTTTGCGTCAAGCTGAACCTAAAGGCAACCATACTCACGCAATCTCTTAATTCCACGCCATCATCGATGCGCTTACAGTTTGATCGGGGTTGCCAGGTATGGTGATTTTTCACCAAATCTGCTGATTTCTTACCCGTTTGTATCCATTACATATTTGCAAAAGGCATTTCATTGAATTTATCAAATGTTAGTGGTCAAATTAAATTCATGCTTGGTGCCATGATTGTGTATATTAGACTGTAGATCGTATTTATCTTTATTTTGCTTGATAAATGGGTCGTCGTGTTTGGCTTTGTCAATAATCCGTACTGCGTTCTGAATTAAAGAAACTACTTGTAAGTTTGAGTACTGAGCATTGCCCCAACCAGCTATACTTTAACTTAATCTTGATTGAAATAGTCCATAATATGATATAATGGCAGCATCTTCGTTAACGGAATTTGCAATTTTGCGAATGGCATATACCGTTTGCGCCAGTTTTGGACATAAAACATTTATGTGATGTATCCAAGACATACAAGAGTCCAAGTTTATTCCAAAGAACTCCACCATCATAACAGCCCTTTTCTAAAGAAAATGTACATATCTTGTTTTTTTTTCTGTATTCAAGTGCAGCTCGTTTGCATCGAACCACTTTTTTGAATGGTCTATAATCATCAAAACTAAAAGTGGTGTCATCAGCCTATATGGTTGTTGTGACAGGGATATTACTTAGACTGCACATATATTTTGGCGTGTCATCAACGTACAATGTATATAAAAAGGGTACAAGTTTGAACCCTTGAGGTACACGTCTTTCGGTTCACCACTGCTATGATTATTCACAGAATCACTTGAGCCCTATTCGTAAAATATGATCTTAGAATATCATTTTCAAATACCGTATTACGTAGCAGCATATTTTTTGAGCAAATCATGACCTATACAGTTAAATGCTTTGCTCAGATCAGCAACAAATTAGAACGCATGAGTCACGATCGAATAGATTTAGAACTGCATCAGTTGTCGACTTCCCAGATTGAAAACCGAACTGGCTACAATTTAAGATTTTGTATTTATTTGCCTAGGATAACAGTTGATCTACTAACGCATATTCTATAATTCTTGAAATCCTAGAGCTATGTATGTATTTGTCCAAAATTTTCAGGACTGTTTTTGTCTCCTTTTCTATATGGACTGGTAATCCCTTAGACTTTTTGCACTCTATAGAAACATCACATACACAAAAATATGTATGTATTGATAAGATCTGTTAAGGGATTGACTATCATAGTAGCACAGTCAATCAGTATTGACGTAGTATTATCATACATATCTAAAGTTTTTTAACCTATTGACGTACGAATGCACTTGAGAAGGCGTAACTGCAGTGAGAAACATGCAATCACTTTGATAGTCCAGATAATATGTGACCAGTTTTCCATTCTTATGGCAGTTCTTCACTAATTCATCAGCATAACTTACAAAAATGATGATATAAATTGTTTGTTATATGTATTAGCGAGTACCAATAGGAACAAGACAAATCTACATGAAGCAATTTTTTACGTAACTCCAAAATGATTTCTCGATAGGTTTTATCAAAGTTTTATAAGCAACTACTATTGCTATGGCAAATGAGAAAATGCTTTGTAGTTTTTATTACACAACTGCCTTAGAAGGAGGGTTGTGTTTGTCGTGTGTGAGTATTTGTATGTGGACGAGACTTTTTCCATGTCTATTTGACCTTGAAGTCGTTAGATTCGTCTTAGCAGCGCGAGTGAGACTATACATAAAATTTTACAAAATCAAAAAGGCGAAGTTCTAACTTTGTAATTTCTATTTTACTAGATACTACCCAAATGGCGTGATAGCACAATTAAAACTTCACTCAGTTACCGCAGTCGGTTTGTTTGTACTAGCGTTTCAATGGAGACTGTTACAGTCAAACAAAAAATACTCTATTCCATTTCATTTTTTTATTCTTGAACAACCACCAAGTCCTAAACACCCATGGGCTATAGAGGGTAACATAGGAAAAGGGGGGACACCACACAGACTCTAGTGAGGGAACATGCGTACATGCATTCTGGCCCCTGTCTTGTTCGATAGTCAGATACCATCTCGCGTTCGGTAGTCAGATACCATCTACCACCTACGATATTCAGACATTGTCAAACTTTGAGGATTGAAATTTGTTGGTATACCACTTCAAATTGAGTAGTTTCAATAGATTTCAACCAAATGTTTTTTTTGCTTCTAAAACTCTATATTTCTCAAAATTATGTTTAATTCAATCCAATTATCAAGTCTCAAATAAAATGATATTGGACATAGACTGAAAATAAGATCGTGGGTAAATTTTCTAGTTTTTACTTGCAGTACCAAAAAAAGGAACAATTTGAATTTCTCATATTAACTCCCAATGTCAAGAACAGAACTATTTGACCAATTCAAGATTTTTAACTACAATTCTGTTTTTGTGATAAATTAATGGATGTGGAATTATCACGATTATCTTAATTTATTTACAGTTAAAAAATGAATGTAAAAATCACATTACATTAAAACATCAACATTTAAATTGAAAGCAGCTATACCTATCTCATATATCAATAATAACAAAAACCTCAAACTTTTTGGTTTCTGGATCATTGACGATCTGCATTGCAGAATATGTGATAGCCTTCACCTCCGTCCCTTGAGGATGTTTCCCCAGTGTGAATTCCTCCCCATAACATTTACACTTTAAGCTCATCTCTTCTCCCTCAGTATTGAAGTCTGTTATAGTGACTTTGCTACATATGAGGAATGGTTCACAGCTAAATAAAAATAAAAGTTCATCCAAAAAGTGGAATAATAAACTCTCCAAATCATGGCCTGTAGCTTCGATTTCTGAAGACTGTTTTATTTCTACAGTGTGGAGCTCCGTCATGTATCCAAACATTGCTATCCCACATTGTTCAAAAGCTTCTTTGAGACTGTTTCCCCAAGCGTGTAGTCTACAAGAAATCAAAATGTAGCCTTGGGTTCAGTTGGACGGTTTTTACTTACTGTACGTCCGCTGTATGGTCCAGATCTGAAATAAATTCTGAATTTAGTGTGATGCAAAAATGAGAAATGAAATTTTACCTACATTCGTATTTGCAAGATGGTAATTTGAGTTCTTCTTCCGTAAACTGCTCTTGATCACCCATTATTTTAAAAATAGCTGTCTTTATTAAATTTGTGTTTACAATTGAATTGAAAAAGATTTTTTCAAAGTAACAGCAAAAATGAGGTTATCTGAATCATAATCAAACTCAAGCGAATATTCGAATAACCATGGAATAACCAAATGAAAATGGTATTATATTTACCATTTTGGATTGGTATTTACCGATCCCTTCGAGCGAGCGTGGTTATCAGTTTGGTTATCAGATCCGTGACGTCATGAATCAGCTGTTATATGTCATAGTTATCACCGCAAAATTATGGTATTTACCCAACTCAGGAGTAGTTATATATTTCTGGTTATTATTTTGAAATGTGACAAGTTATAATTTTGCCGGATATTGGATATTTTTGTTGTACTTCAGCTTCATTTTTGGGAAACTTGATACAGGCTGACTTTAGTGGTAGAATAAAGTAGAGAACCTTATTAGTTATACTAATTACTGTTGTTGGGGACACTTTAAATCTATGCGTAACAAAGTATCCTATGTAGCCATATATCACAAGAATATTAAAATATGGCCATATAAAGTCACTGGATCCACCTGTATACGGTATTGCTAAAATCTTTTATCATCGCTTTTTCCTATCATTACTGCTAAATCAATAAATGTTTTCTTTGATGCGCGGAAAAGTTTAGAGAATTGAAATTTATCATAGCTATAAAGTCATGGTTCCATCATTAAAAATTATTATCCGAAAAAAAAACATTTCTCATTATGAAAGGCTTCTTTCTTTAACTTTCCATACACTGTTGTAGACGAAAAAGCACTGATTATTGAGTAATAATAAAAATGATCAGACATTATATATGCGCCTTTCTAAAATAAACAACTTGCAACAAAACCGTGGTTAAAACCAACGCGTTCAAGGTTCAAGCGATTCGAGTGATTACGTCATCAACCTATCTGTCATCTTAAACCATATTATAACCGCGGTACATAACACAGAAATTTTTGTTATTCACTTGGAATTGATTCATATATGTATAACTGGTTGTCTACAATAACATTCACGAGTTCACGACGGAACAGTCCATACATAAAGTACAATGAAAATAGATTCTCTCTGATGAAGCATATACATGTATGTCAAAATAAAAGTTTTCTAGGCTGCCATGTTCAATGCCATTTGAATAGCTTTCAAAACTGTGACTGCGAGTCATTGCAGAAATAAAGAAAATTGGGCTGATACATTTTGGTTGAATTTTTTTAATCCTTTTTAGGGGAATAGATGGCGGAAGTAAGGACGGGTTTCTTCAGAGTAGGGTACTTACTTAAAGCTCACACTTGTCATCTGTGTACTGAGAAGTTAGGTGTGGACACGTTGACGTTTTGATATTGACAAAAAGTACTGCTGTGAGTCGTGAGAGTTGTGACGTGTTTGAAGGAGGTAGAAAAAAAAGGTTAAAAAACTGTGGAAAAACTACAGAAATGTATAATTTCAAACAACTCATTTTCGGTATGACTGAAAAAACACCCTGTTAAGAGTTTAAGCTTCATTTTATTTAAAATTTTGCAGGTATTTTGGTTCTACAAACAGTTTGCCTTCTCATACAGGGTAGCATAACAGGCTACATAGATTCTACAGATAAGCAGAAATTCCTACAAATACTGTCTAGCACGTTAGATCCAACAAACGATGATATTGCCTCTCTATACTATGGTGCAAAAGGATTGCAAACTCTTAAGCAAGAAATTAACAAGGCAAAGATCCCTGAATTGTGTAAAACTTTGAAAGCAAAGTTCAGCCCTTCAGAGAGCTTGGAAAATGCTTTCTTTTCTCTTGGTACTTGGAATGTTCTAGGATGCCAGGGAAAGCTGCACGAGGAAAAGTTCATCAAGGTGAGAAATAGTGGTTTCAAACCCTCCAAGAATTAACATGTTCACTGCGTTGGCTAAAAACCTAAGTTGGCCTGATACGCGTTACAGGGCAAACTTGACTCGTACTGAGTTGGCCCGTTACAGGTGAAATATACCATTATTTTTTTTTGGTAAAATAAAAGCTTTTTTAAAGAAATAACCACACAGTAATAATTATAAAAGTTCCTTTAATCTAAAACAGAGCCAGGAAATACTAAAGTTAAATAATAGTATTTTTACAATAGAAAAAAGTAAGATATGAATTTTTGCAATAATATTAAAAACACTTTCTTTAATATTAAACTAAAATAGTCAAATCCTAATCTAAAATATAGAAACAGTCAAATTCTAAGCTAAAATATGGTGTCATTTATATAAAAGAAAAGTATAAAATTGATTTTGCAGTACAAAACAACTAATGGGCTTCATTAAAACAAACTAAGCAGTAGGCCAGCTTCCCCACGCACAGTGAGTGAGCAGTGCGTGTAAACTTTTTTTACCTTTTTGTCAGCTTTGCGACTATTCATTGTTCTTAGTAATTTGTAGCATCCTACACATTTTAGGTTCTTTTTGTTTTCGGTTTCCCCTACAGTAAGGGTATGGTATTTTTTAAGAGTTCTTGGCCATTCTAGTTACAATTCTTCTCTGCCACACTGTTAGAAATATTTCGCTAGTTTTTCTCTAAATTGGAGAATTGTGAGCTTGCTAGTTGGATGTTGATGATTAAACATAACCCGAGCATTGACAATTGCTGAAATAAAAATTAATTCAACTGCAATTGTTTTGTACCATTTTAAACTCTTTCGGAGGGGGCTCTGGTAAGATGCCACCTGGTCACTGTAATTGACACCTTTTTTTGCATTATTGTAATCGATTACACACTGTGGTTTTTTTACAGTTTGTCCTTTTCTTATTTTTTCTATATTAACTAATGATGAATTGTGATTTTCACAGGTTGAGAGCATCAGAACCAGTCTTTTATCTACCCACTTCATAATTTTTATGCCCTCTGACTCTTTTCCAGCTATTTGATCTCTTTTAAGCTTTTGAGAAATAATATTTTTTGGAACAGTTTTGCAGTTCTTTCTCAAGGTACCACAATATATAGCCATATTCATAGTAGTCACTAAGTAATGAATCCACTATAAACTCTGCGTGGGTGACGGTACGATCCGTGTCTTCTTTACCCAAATAAATTTTGAAATTAATTACATAACCGTTATTGCAAAGTTTGTAAAGTTTCACACCATATTTGTGGGATTTATTTTTTATATATTGTTTCATTCTTAGGCGACCCTTTATGGTATCATAAACTCGTCTATAACTACTTTTTTGAACAATCACTGCTTCTTTGAAAGTCGTTGTCAAGCTGTCAATCAAATGGCGAATTTTGAACAGTCTGTCTTCGCCAGTATCATCTGTGTTATTCATGAAATGACAGCATCTTAAAATAATTAAAAATCGGTCACTTGTCATACAAGGTGATATAAATTTATTATGATATAGGAATCTTTGGACCAATACAAATTCATTATTAGAGCGTTCACAATTTCCATGGCTATTACTATGGCAAAAAAGTTTTGCAATTCATTATGATCTACTGGTTTCCATAAATTTAGTCTTGATTTAGGTTTGTTTTCTTGTGACATCAAATTTTCAGCATATCTATTAGTCTCTTGAACCATTTTCTCGATCAACTCGTCATGAACAAAAAATCGATAGGGCGAGAAAGGTCAGGTGGTACATTAAAACTGATTTCATTATCACACAAAGTAGAAAACAATTCGCTAGAGGGCACTGTTATATCGACCCAAGTTAAATCAGATGGGCCAGGAGCATTTTGTGAAGCCTTATTTTGGCTTAATGGGAGCACATCTTGGGAGACTTCGAACTCATTTTCATTACTGGATGAACGATCACCGGATGAATTTGGTATGTAATCTTTGTCCATCAGCGAGTCATCTGAATCTTCATAAAACGAACATTCGGACTCTGATTCCGACTCACTTTGCCTTGACATAGCTTGTGCAAGTACAAGTTTTTTTCCACAAGACATTTTTGCGATTAGTGCCACCCACGGCGGCGTATGCTTGCCAACTGAATAAATTTACTGTAAGGTATTGTGCTCTAATTCCAGAAAAATCCTGCATAGACTTGTCGAAAATAATGATTATATGCGGGTCGAGGCAAAATTGACCCGTAAACGTGTGACCCCGTACCGCAAGCAAGTAAAAATTAATAGGTTGTATGCGGTTCAGGGGCCTATTTGGGTCGTACTGTTTTTTGTCGAAGAAAAATAGTACTTAAATTGCAATTCTATAGCTATAAAAACCTTTTTTTATCTTAAAAAATAAAAATTTGACAAGCTTCGCAATATGGAATACCTTAGGCGAAATGCCCGCCGCACCAGGTGATAGTGCGATACGAGTCATATTAGCCTCGTAACGCAGTGAACGTGTTAATATTTGCTTTCCTTCTCTAACTAATTTGCAAGCAGTACCTTCTAAAATGAAGTAAAATTTGTGTATTGTGGTTAAATGAAAAAGTATAAAGGATGTAACTAATGCAAAATTTCTTGTATCTTTTCTTGTTCTTTGGGTGTGCTTGAGCCATCACAATTTGAGGATATCTCAAAAATATTATGAGCCACCATCTATCATGCAAAAATAGGGTCTTTAGATGCTGAGAGAACGTTATTGCTGTATAAACCAAAATTCTTGAGCTGCAACAGATCCTAGTGATATTACTGCCTCTCTCTGTATATATATTCAAAAATATCATGATATTTATATAAATATCATCACATGATATACAATGAGAACCAAATTTGTCTAATGGCTTGAGTTCAATGTGTATAAGAGAGAAGTGTATAGACACATAATTATGTTACAAAGAGATATAAGCTGCCTGGATCTGGATAGTGAAACTCATCACCACATTGCCTAGCAATGCTGATGTGGCCCTCTGCCACATTGCCAATCTGTTACACCAGTTCCTCGAATTCAGATGCATATTGAAAATATTCATTAGTTTTCTCCTTACGCTCAAATAATGGTTTTCTTCTGAGCATACGCATTTTTTCATTGTGTTGAATCTGTTTAGAAATGATCCCTGAGTAGTTCTAATGGCGCTCTATTTTAGGTTGAAATGAGAGGTCAGGATTGACACAAATTCTGCAACATTGCATCATTGGTTTGTTTGATAACACCTTGTACCTTTCAAGGCAAGGTTTTCACCTCCATGATCATAGTTGAGCGATTTTGGCCAGTACCCATCCAGCGCTCTTAGGGGAGTGTCGACCTGCCTTGATATGGTTTTGTGGAAATCAAGGATAGTTCTGAAGTAAATTAAAACACTAAGGGCCGCATCGTCAGTCGTTTCTACAAATGTAGGACGCCTTTATGGCATCCTTGATTTTCAGTTTTTCTTGTCCTTCAGAAGTGCAGGGGTATTTCTAGATTTCTACTGTTCCATGTCAGCTCTCTATTTTGAGGTCATGTTACAAATGTTCGTGCTTTTGATTTATTTATATATATATATATATATATGATTTATATCACCCTGAAATTTCCTACAGTTCAAAAAGAAAACTAGGCTCACAATATGAGAGTGCTGATGCTAACATGGAACAGTAGAAATCAAGAAATACCCCAATCTTTCTGAAGGAGAGGAAAGACTAATAAAATCAAGGATGCCATAAAGGCATCCTACAATTGTAGGAACGCCTACTATACGGCATTCAGTCGCATCAAAATAGAAATAAATGATTCTATTTAAAATGAAAACAAAATATTATATCAAATGTCCGAACAGAGCACCTTCTTGGGTTTGACAGTAACCTAACCTATTCTAGTAGCCTGTGCGAACATTTTCTGGTGTAACATATTGGCAACGCGGCAGATTGCACCACCTTCTGCGTTACCATAGCTAGGCAATGTGGTGATGACCTTCGCTCTTCAGCTGGATTCTACCTCTTTCTATCATGTGTTGATACACACTTCTCATGCTTCTCTCTCATCCACATTGAACTTGATCCATCAGGCAAATTGGTTCTCCCTGTATATCCTATATAAAAAAGGTCAGCTTTTTTATTCAATAAAAGACATTATTTTATCCAACATTTTATTGAACATCTAAAAAAAACATTAGGAAACAAATAGATTATTTTTCTTTATTTGATGGATTGGTATCAATAATGGTTTTAGTGACATTCACTCCAGTATCTTCAAATACAGTTGGTACCCATGCCCATTTAAGATTGCTTAACTTTTTGTCGATATTTTGATCCATGCACTGAAACATGAAGGCCAGTTTACAGGCTTTTTGATTTCTTAAGCGATTTCATAAATCAGATTGGACCAAACCAAAAGACGAAAAGTTATTTCATTCCCTGCCATAGATGCCACTGCAATGTACAACTGTTCACATAATTTTAAAAATTGCATGCTTGTCTGACCAATCTGAGTCCAATACAGGGACTGATTTCTACTACATTATTGGAGGAGTAAGAGTTAAGTGGTCCCCAAAAACGTACTTCGGAAATGGGTGTACTTTTGATGTAAGAGCCATGAAAAATTGAACGAAAGAACTGTTAATATTGTTTAGGTACTCAAAAGCATCTCCTTTATGAGTAGAAGTTAGATATGTTCAGAAAAAATTGTGATCCATGCTGTCTGCCAAATAATGCGTGGATCCAAGTGCCATATTTTTTCTCTTGAAAAAACTTCTTCTAATTGGAAGTTGCTGTCTAGCCAAATCCATTTCTAACTCATATCTCCACTCATATAGATATGGTAGTATAGTCTCTTTGAACTGTCAAGATCTATGGCTATTGTGCGCCATCTTATTTCCAGACACATAACCAGTTTTGCCTTCAGCTTCACTGTAGAGTCCAGATGGTACATGTGACTTTAAAAATTTTCGGAGTTGCCCAATTAATTTCTATATCTTTGGTCAATAAATTCAAAATATGACCCGGACATCCATATTGGAGTACGCCGATTTGTTTTTCCAATTCGGAACCGCATTTTTTGTAAAATTTCCTGTATCGTCTGTAACACAACTTCTTACTTGAAACTGACTTTCGGTTTTTCACTGCCTTAAGAGCCATGTTTTTCAGGTACTCTGCAGTATGTGATTCTGCTCTTGCTTCAGTAGTATCTTCCAAGAATGACTTAACCATTTTGGGTGCTAATACTAGAATATACCAGAAGCTCATTAAGAACATTGCGCCATCCATTCATTGCCATACAAACTGTTTTGCCCTCTTATGTGTGTCTACACTCGGTTAAAATACCATCATAAACTTCATTGAGAATGAATCCTCCAGTCTTATATGAAGAAGGGCGTTTATGCCTGTGTCTCAGTGTATCGATTTTCTTAAACTCAGTATGATCAGCATGCAGAAAAGGAGTTGTAGTTGCATAAAAATATCTGCCTATTTGGAGATCAAGTTCTTTGGAGTACATATCTCATGTCACAATAACATCAGCATCGCTCACCATAGTTAAATGCATGCCGTTTTTTGGGGGGCTGAAGAATGAAACTCCCTAGAAAAAAGTATTAATATTTTTTTTCTCTAAAATAAAGACATATTTTATTCTTTAATATAGCAATTACCTGGATGTATTGATCCGTATTTTTTTGTGGTAGAAGTGGAGGTAGAACATCTTCAGAAACAGAATATTGTGTTGTTTCATCCCTTTACGTATCACTTTATATATTTTTTTATTATACCCTGCATCTCGTACTTTGGCTTTGGCATATTACTTTTAACTGCTATTAACTCAACAGTTAACACAGCGGGAAAAATATACAATAAAGCAAATAACAAAACAGATCATCGCGCCGCGCGCCGCTGATACACCAGATCTGAAATGACAGTTTCCCCGTTCGCCAGTGCTCGCTCGGCAGCCTAATGGATCGATGCAATACAGTGACAGTTAACAGAGGCGTACTGCAAAATTTTACGACCACTAGAATGGAACATTTCGGATTCTAACAAAATAAAATCATATAAATATCATGATATATATCCTCCGAACCCTGATATACTCGCATTTGATTTATTTTCATTTCCCTCCTTTCATACAATAAAATTGCATTTTAATCTCTAGGACTTACCATCAATCTTTAATTATGAGAACACACCTATATCAGACATCCGTTATGCTCTGGAGATCCATTATCTCCTGAAATACCAAATTCCACAACCCCAGAATGTAGCCAAAGCAATTGTTAATCGTCTGAAGAAAGATGACAGCCTTTCTGAACTAGGGCATGCCCTACATGCAGCTGCTCTTTTGGGCGGAGAGAAAGGTAATGGAAAATTTGGAGGAGAAAGGGCAGAGGAAGCCATAGCTAGGGCAGATGAATTGAATGGAAGGTTATTGCAATGGGAAGGAGGATTGTCTGTTACATCATTGGTTCTTACTGGGTAAGTATAATAATAATAATAATTTTTCCTCCAAATTAAATTTCGACAACTTTACCGTATGCTTTGTAGAACCTCAAATTAAGTTTGATCAACAATGTTGGACTATACAAGACAGTTATTTTAGACCAGCGATTACTTACCCGTGTGCGTTTTTGTGTTTTCTCTATCAAAGGCATTTGCGTAACCTGCAGGTTTTGCAGAACAGAACCTTGTTCCCAGTCACTAACTGTCCATATTAGGTAATCCAAAATGCGACCCTTAAAAGAGACCCCGACATCCCTTACCTATGGAACTATATGAAACAATAAGCGCAACTACGTTATAATGAAGCGGAATCTCATAGCAACTCTTTGTTGTATGAGAGAGCAGAATACGCATTCTAGTAAGTTCGCAAGTTTAGAAAACCGCGTCTCCCGCTGTGAACAAAATTAAATCGTGCGACTTCAGGTTGAACCAAAATTAAAATTTTTCTACAACTAATCTTCATATTAATTTTATATATACAGGGTGTTTAAAATTGGACCCTCACCATTGGGATCTCGGAAACTGTAAGAGATACGAAGTCGCTTAAGTGTGGGCAAAGTTGCGTATTTATGTAATCAACAAAATGCCGCTTAGAAAGTTTTCGAGACTCAAAGCACTTTCGGAAATAGGCAGAAAACAATATTGTTTCCCAAAATCGTTTTAATTTTTTACTGACTTTAATTGCACATTAACATTGCCAGTTATGGACGCCATATTGAATTTTTGTGCAGCTGGTGTTTACATTGAGATTGCCAACCCTTAGGTATGCCACAAAAACAGAACAGTTCACAATGCCAAGGCAGTACTTAAACTGAAACACTTCTTCCTGTTTGCTCTCCCTCCATCCTTCATTTCTCTCTTCTTTCCTTCTCACTCTCTCACTTTACCTGGTATCTGGGCAACTAAACCTGATAGACCTACTGACATATAGGACTTTAACCAAGAGTAAAGACCCTACATGATAAATGGAGTAATAGAATTTTTGTCATATGATGTCATATTTAGCTTATTGTTTCTGAATAACCCACCTGGGGGGCCTAAAACATCAGTGGAGGTATTGAAAAAATCTTAATAGAACCTCAGTGATACTGAACAGGCTAACAGATAGATCCTGTCAAAAGTTTACAACTAAATGAACATACATACATTTTAACTACAAGTGTGTCCAAACTAGGTTTCAAAAAACCTTTTTATGTCAATAAATATTTCATGTAGAATTTCTTATTTACTTAGTAGATTTTTGTTTATGAGTTTTATTTTTGACAGGTTATTAGGCCTACAGCCAACAGGAACACAGGTGCCATTAACAGCTGCGCAGGCTGATAAGGTAGCTAGCTATTTGCTAACAAGAAGAACAGTACCAACTGCTAAAGGAGTGTTAGCTCTGTTAGAGGCTGCCCATGCCTTGGCTGATAGTCCATTCTCTCCTGTCAGTATTACTATCAAGGGTAAGATTTCTTAGTTTTAGACTAAAAACTTTATGAAGATGACAGGTTTTGATAGTTTTTTTATTGTAGTTGTTTTGATAAAGAACATGCTAGGAATTTATTTATTACTTTGCAAAATTTGAATTTTACTTAACGTGTATTATACAAGGTTTGATTTCTTGAAATGTGTCTTCATTCTCCATTTTTAAAAAGCTTCATCTTCAAGATACATTTTAACAGTTATCAGCATCATATGTCAAGTTTCTCAATTAACCTCCCCATAGAACGAAAACTTATTTTTCTACTGACAAATACCATAGCAAAATTCCTGAATGAGTTATATCCAGAATATAATGATGTACGTTTCAAACTTAACCGCGTATTTTGACAGAATGTCAATATTTTGCTCCCAAAAAGCATATTCTGAGAGTTTCTAAGACTTACCAAAGTTCAAATATCTTCCTTAAGTGCCTGTTTACTACAGACATTTTTTTGGAAAAATGAAGATTTATAAACCAGTTTTGGAAATACTCGAGAGTAGACACGGGACTCATTTTTCTCGTTATTTTTTAGGGTGCTCATTTTTAGTATTTTTTTTAATTACCAATTTTTCTCAATTTTTGGGACGTTTTCACAAAGATATATTAAATTGTCCCAAAATCGAAAAGCAAAGATCATAATGAATTAAATAAGCTAAAACCACATATTTTGATTAACGCTCAACCAACCTTATACAATTGTTATTATAAGTTCCTTCCCGTGATGTTATATACCCTCAGGTTGAAAATAAACGCAACAAGTAGCATTTTGGTCAAATTCGGAACGTCATAACTTTTTTATTTCTAACTCAATTTCATTGATTTTTTTGGCAGACGGTAGGTACATTCATTGGCTTTAATATGTATGAGTTCATTAATCCAAGTTTGAGTCAGTCTGTGGTGTGACTCCAATTGCCAATCAGACCGCAATGTTTCTTATTACCACATTTTCTCTATAATCTGTTTTTTGTTCACGTTAATATGTACAGTGATGGAAGTTTTACACGAACATTTCACCACCAATTTTCCTTCCTCCTTTCATAACGCTTTTAATTATAATACGAATTCTAAGTGTTTCACTAAATTGTACAGAAATCCATTGTCTATCTGCATTTGGTTCACATTTTATTATATCTTCATCGGTTCAGTTTATCTACAGATGCGAAAAAAAATGGAAACTTTTGACTTAATTTAAGAACACGCTGTATAATAATTTCACGCTCTACAGTTTTGGAGTACAGTGTCAGGACCGTATCTACCGTATCCTCTAATTTTGGGTTCATGAAAATACGAACGAGGGTTGTTCTTTTCTACAAGCAAAATCAATGTAACAATAATTCACAAATTTTAATCAGTTTTATACTCTTCAGATAGACGCCTTCTAGTCGTTCTTCGGGTCGAATATTGCTCCCAGATAATGTTTACTTCAATCTATTTGTGGGAGCATGATTTAGGCATCGTTTGCATTATATAGAGCGGCTCATTCTCAAATTGCATACTGAAGGTGGTGGATAACCAACTTGTAATATATTTAGATAAACGCAACCAGAACAAGACAATATGATATACTGCTGTCTTATGACCTTCATGAGGTGCTTCGCATCCCATAATGACAATTCGAGTGTTCGCCAAGGGTCGGTTCCGATACTGTTTCTGTTCGGTAAAGCTACTGATCTACTGCCTCATGGACGTCAGCACTCTACATGCGGGCATTCAGAATGTCAAACGCTGCTGTGGAGGGCTGGGTAGAAGGAAATAGTATCGATAGAATAGTGAGTACCTCTTTGACAAAGACGCGACGATTATCTCTGACGTGTTTGTTAGCGCCGCAATTCTATGGCTTCGAAGACACTGTATTTTAGCCAACAAAAAGCGTCATCGAGAATATAACTTGGCACGAACATGTCTCCTCAATCTAGGCAGCAGCTGGGAAAAAACTTGAGATATCTGTATATGGCTTTTCATCTTGAAATATCGTTCTCACTTAGCAAGCACAAGTCCCAGGTGACTCTCGACGTGAAGTATCTGGGATGTTTCCACTGTGACTTGTGAGGCTGAAGAACAGCAGCTTTACCGGACAGAGACAGTATTGGAGTAGAACCTTGGCGAACACTATGAGATTCAAAGCACCCCAGGAAGATCATAGGACAGTGGTATATCTTATTGTCCTCTTCTGGTTGCGTTTATCAAAACTTTACGTTAGAAGTTGGTTATCGATTACCCTCAGTATGAAATGAACTATGCATAATGCAAAATATGCCTAAATCAAGCTCCCATACACACCATAAGGAAAACACTATCTGGGAGCAATACTTGACCGGAGAACGACTAGAAGATACGTTATAATACTGATTTAACTCTGTCAATTGTTGTGTTATATTCATTCTGCTCCAAAAGAAAAATCCTCGCTCGACTTTTCATGAACCCAAAACTATAGGATACGGGAGATATGATTATTGCCCCTACACTGTATTTCAAAAAGATACAGCTTGATTATTATTATTATGCAGTATGTTCTTATATTTAGTTAAAAGTTTTATTTTTTTACCACTGTAGATAGCAATGACGATATAAAAAAATGAATCAGAAACATTCCTGTACAAATTGATGAAAACCTTTTCGAATTCGTGCGAGATGTAAAAAAGTTATGAGAGAAAGAAGGAAAATTGGTAGTAAAATATTTTTTGCCTCTAAAACTTCAACCACTGTACATATTTACGTGAATAAAAAAACAGATTGCAGAGAAAATGTGGTTATTAATAGTGAGAAGCATTGCGGACTGATTGGCAACTAGTCACAGCACCGTGACTCAAAGCTGGAGTAATAAAACATCATTTTGATTTACCCTGTACAACAAGTAAAACCGTAGCTACAATCAAGAACTCATACTTACGTATTGAAGCCAATGCCACCGCCTGCCGAAAAAATCAATGAAATCGAGATAAAAATAAAAAAACTATGACGTTCCGAATTTGACCAAAATTTTGCTTGTTGCGTTTATTTTGAACCTGAGTGTATATCGTTCTAACACATACAGTGTTCATTTGAAAACTTCCCACCACGCATTTATCAAAAACCACTGCTTAAAAGTAAAAACGCCAAGACACGTCAAAAGATTTGTCAAGGGAGCGACTTTTTAACCAAAAGCTACTTCACCCCCGGCCCCCAGGGTCATTGCCTTGAGAATTTTAAATAACAAGGGGTATCGAGTAATAGCTTGTTTGAAAGTTCTTTCGAAGTCCTTTATCTTGATGTTTGATTTTTATTCCAATAAGTCAAAATGTTGCCCTTTAGGGTTTGCGAAATCTACAATTTGAAATGGAAACTACCAACATAAACAGCAATTCGGAAGATTAGACGTGGCAACAACCAAATAACAACGCGATTTTTTCCGCATTCTTTTCATCAACACAGATATCCTGGGCGAACTGTATTAATTGTTATACCTGTTTAGTTATTTGTTGATAAAGGAAAGAAATAGTTTAATTTGTTGTCAGTTACCTTTAAGACAATCTTGGGATAGTGAAAATTAATTTATTGATTTAGATTTTACTTCCAAATTGTTTTACAAACTATCCGATAATAGAATCAAACCTTATAATAGGTGTAAATAATACCGACATTGAAATTACAGGTATGGCAAAGAATCTGGGCTTATTCATTGATCAGGATCTGTGGTTTAGGGATTGTGTAACGAAATGCATACAGAGAGCATACACATCGCTAAAATTACTCTATCCCCTTAGATCATATTTATCAACAGACACTAAGAAGATGTTGAGCGATACGTTAGTATTTTCACAATTTATCTGCTGTGCAAACAGCCTTAATCGTATTTAACGTGGACAGAACTCATGCATTCGCTTCATATATGGGATTAAAAAGTATGAGCACGTTTCACACATATTGAAGGAATTAAATTAGCTAAACATGGAGAAAAAATCACGCTTATATGCTCGATGCTTATTTCACAAAATACAGTACTATAAGAATACCCTATCTCTACCAAAAAGTGCCATTTCGCGCAGATGTCCATACTGTTAACAGGAGACATAAGCACCTATAGTAAAATTCCAAAATTGATGACACTAGCGAAACTCATCGTACGCCACTGCTATTGCGCGGAGGCCTTCGAAAATGCGGCGCTTTGTGAAATGTCGGTAAACGTCGCTGTAGTCAAAAGGTAACGATGACTTCTGCTACTGTCATCAATTCTGGTATTTGACAATAATCAAATACCATCTCACAGGGCAGTTATTTTTGAAAGAAACTCCAAATTTACTATTCCTAGATAAAAAGCTCTTCCTTATTATCTCAGTCATGTACATGAACAATTAGATTTTATTGCAGATTCCATGTTTATTTTAGGTGACCCTATGTGTGTTGTCTTTTTTCGGTTAGGCTATTTTTTACATGTATTCTGATCTATGGCAAGGGCTGAGTGGAAGAATTCCTCTAGGTGAACTCCGCCTTGAGGTTTTCCCAATATCATCATTTTCGTCTCTTCTGTATGTGAAATGTAAAAAATTTTCATTGCTTGAAGTTTTGCTCCATGCATGTAAAGGGGACACCACATAAACTATTATTGATACTATTCTACATTGTTTTTATCCCGCGTCAATGTATTATGTTTTTGTGAATTAATTTAGAGCTTAATTTTACTTTTGTACTATCTCGTTGTTCTTATATTCGATACTAATTCGATTCTGACGACGGCTTCTTATCCGTAGGTCCCCCAGTAGTGACCTCCGACCAGCCAGATTTGCGCGTCTATGTTGGCGACCTCCTCGGTCGCCCGATTCGCGCGGCCGCCCCTGTGGTCGCCCAATCAGCGACTCGCTTGGCCGACGACGTGGTCGTGTTGGCTAAGCAGCCACTCGTGCCTAGCTCCGCTCAAGGAGAGTTCAAATTGCCGCTGAAGTTGGATCCTAGTTTGTACAAGATCGCTTTGAATACCGCTAATGGCGCTTCAGCCTCATTCGATGTCAGGGTTTTGGGACCGGTTGAGGTACATTGGTTGGAGGTAAGTTATTACAGATTTATGAATCTGAAAAAAAAAACAGACAAAGTATCAGTATTCAAAATAATGATTACCCCTTAACAAATCTAAACTATATAAATATAGATGAGGAATTTTTACGTGTTATCCTACTGACATTTACGAATTGCAGTTAGTATTAAGATCTATCAAAAATAAAAAATCATCAGGCATTGATGAAAATTTCTTTAAACGTTATAGCGAATTTTTTGCTTGGTGCTCTTGATACGCTCACAAAACTTATAAATATTTGTCTCAACAGGTGTTTACCAGAAATTCTTAAAAACATCAATATTCATTTCTATTTATAAAGGAGGTCCAAGTGAAGTACTGGAAAATTATAGACCCATAATTTACCATTAATTACTGTTATAGAAAAATAATAGAAAAAATAGTCCAAATTAGATTAACACTTTCTAACAACAGCAAAATTATAAGTAAGAACAAATTTGATTTTCAAAAACAAAAAATATCATGGATAATATTTTCACATTACTCCAACAGTTAAACTTAAATTTAAACGATAAACAAATTTCAATAGCTCTTTTTGCGACTTTTCCAAAGATTTTGACTGTGTAAATCATGATGTGCTATTAAAAAATTAAACAAATATGGTTGTGAACTTCACTCGATTGGTTTAAATCATATTCAAATAATGCATCCCAAGTTGTAAAATTATGAAGACATATTTCAAATAAATTGAATATAAACTCAGGGGTACCCGATGATCAGCATTGGGTCCGATCCTAGACTTAGTCTGTATCAACGATTTATTAAACTTGAACATAAATGGTAGATTCGTAGTTTTTGCTGACGATACCACAATACTTTGGTCCGAAAAAGATATAACTGAAATTAAGACTAAAATTGATAGTGATGTACAATCAATCAAAAAATGGCGTGATAACAATTGCTTGACCTTCAATGTTAATAAGACAAACAGTATGACATTTAAATGCTCCCTTGATTTTATAAATTTAAATAATGAATTGATACACAAAACAGATACTATCAAATTTTTGGGACTGACCATTGACCATAAATTATATTTTACTAACGATGTAGACAATTGCTTACTCATTTAGCAAAGATTTCCTCTATTGTAAGAAGAATTAGTTAGAACATACGGAACAGCACAGCCTTACGCAGTTACTTTGCCGTATTTAAAAGTAGATTGACATATATCATTCCCTTTTGGTGTTTCTATTCCCAAAATTGTTTTTAAAATGTGCTTATTCTACAAAAACGAAATATTAGATATATAACATGTAAATCTCAAAATAATGACTGTAGTATAATTAGTAGTAGTAGTAGTAGTAGAAAGATTTATTTAGCACATTTGGCTACATAAACAGAACAATTGTAAACAACTTAGAACTAGTAAATTCAAGCCATATGGTGTATGATGTAAATGCTGGGCAACCTATAATTGTAGATTTAACAAGTGATTTCTCAATTTTACTTTAAATTTTGTCAAAGTTTTCTGGTCTTTTATCTCCGAGTATAATTTATTATATTCAATCAACCCTTGATGGAATACAGATTTGTAGCATATGTTATACTTTTTGGTCATTAAATGGAAGTCATCTTTATTTCTGGTATTATGTAAATGATGGTCAACATTTGATGATGTTAAATTAGTTAGACTTGATGGAAATATATTATTTTTTACTTTATAAATGAATATCATTAAAAGATATTTGATAAAAAATTTTACATTGAGCCATTTTAATTTGCTAAGCATTTGCCTAATTGGAGTATATTTATCTTTATTTAGTATTATTCTCATGCACTTATTTTGTAAAATTTGCAGTCTTTCAAAAATAGAATTATTTGCTAAATATAGAATAGTCGAACAGTACAAGAAATTTGGAAGAATGATGGAATTATAGATAATTTTTCTGCTATATGAACTCAGACATCCAGAAACTCTCGATAAATATCCCACTTTACTACTAATCTTATTTATAACTTTTTCATAATGAATATCAAAAATTAATCGAGAGTCAACAAAAACTCCCAGGTATTTAAAATTTTCTACGAATTCAATATCTTCACCATCAATATTCAGTTGAACATTTGTACATTGTTTTTTTCCGATTAACAAGGCTTTCGTTTTACTTGCATTTAATTTTAGTCTGTTAGATGTTAACCATTTTGAGACAAGCTTCAAGTCTTCATTTATATAAGAGATACCAGACTGAATATTTTTAGTACTTATATAAATCATAGTGTCATCGGCGAAAATTTGAATTTTGCATTTTTTGACTATGGCAGGTAAATCATTTATGTATAAAATAAAAAGAAGTGGTCCCAGGATACTGCGCTGTGGAACACCCAACGTATTTTCAATTTTTGATGAAATAGTGTCATTAACTTTTGTAACTTGCATCCTTTTAGACAAATAATTTCTAAACCAATCTAAAACACTTCCTGTTATACCATATGCCTTCAATTTACCTAACAAAATATCTCTATCAATCGTTTCAAATGCCCTCTTCAAATCCAAAAATACTGCTATGACAACTTCTTCTGAGTCTATGGCTCTTCTCCAATTCTCAGTTACCAACTGGAAAGCTGTTTCTGTGGAATATTTTTTTCGAAAGCCGGCTTGCGCCTCCACTAAAATTTTGTTTTCTTCTATAAACTGCATTAATTGGTCATGCACTATGGACTGTATATATATATATATAATTGCTCATTTTAGAAACAGAAACTCTTATTTTTAAAAGTAAATATAAATTTGAAACATTAAATATGTTGTGTGAGTTCTACTATTCACCTACTTGAGATCCACTTATATAATTATATTATAGTTTAAAGTTAGCTTTGTCATTTATCAATCTATCTATCTGTGGTTTCAAATTCATATCCTGTTATATTCCTACTTGAATGTTTTAACCACCATGAAGCTGCACAGTTGCACTTTTTTGTTTGTACCTTGACATTGAATGCTGAAATGGAGGAAGGTTTTGTTCATTCTGATTTCAAAATTCGTTATCTCGCTTAATGTTCATATTCATGAAGAATCCCAAAACAGGTCAATTATTTAAAGAAAAAGTCATACTTACTGTATGTAGATTCAAAATCAGCAAAAATATAAAATAACTCCCTTCTGAAGCCACACAGGGGCGGAGACGGTTCTTCAACTCCTCATAGCAGTGCTGGAACTCCGGTACTGGAATAGCCCTCGGTAGGTCGGTTACAACTGTGTGAATGTTTTCGACTGTCCCGAAATGTGTTCCCTTGAGGTGATTTTTCAACTTCGGGAAGAGAAAAAAGTCACAAGGACTCAAGTCACGCTGAGGAGCCACATGAATGTTTTTACTGACATTACTGTGTGAGAAGAAGAATTATAGTGATGCAACACCCAGTTGTTCTTGATGTTTGGTCTCACACGAAGTTTTTGAAGAACCTTCCGGTAAAAATGTTGATTGACCGTTTGACCTTGAGGTAGAAACTGTTTGTGGACGATTCCGTGGATATCGAAAAAATAAACCAGCTTGCATTTGCACTTCGACTTCTGTCTATATTGCTTTTTGCAAATTAAGTAATGAGACTGGCACCGTAGCGTTCGATCTGGCAACACTGAAGACGCCAGGCTTGGAGGCAAGACAGTAATCGCGGTAACAACGGGAACATTCAATCATAAAAGCGCAATAAATGGGTAACTAAGTCGAACTCGATGTCAACACGTACACACCGTCACAGGGGAATATTTACATATTTTTGGAAAATTTGAGTATTAGGAGTACGTACGACTTTAGCGTTCTGACATGTTTTTGTAAATTATGGCCTAATTGTTTTTACATCTACACATATCGAAATAAATGCTATTGGAACTTGGTTGGGGATCTCGCGTTTAATAGCCCAGTCACCACGTGACCGCTAGATGGGTGACGATTCTGGCTGTACAGAAGATGCTGTCTACTTGCCATTGAATAAACTAAACATTCTGCTTTTCGCAGCGGTCGTTTTTGGTGTGACAGATGGCATTTTGCGCTGTCTTATTTCAATAGACCATACCTCTGGTATAGAGGATAGTATTTTGTTCGTTCGTCCAGAGACAAGAGACCAAGCCTATACCATGCTGATGAGTAGCCAAGAAGCACGAGACAGATGTCCATGATTGGCCGTCTTTTTGGTCGGACGGGCGAGAGCATGATGTTTAGTTTATCTACACGTATGTTTTTCTGACTTGCATGATCCTTAAATGCACCCGCCGATTTGGTCTAACCTTTAATTTGAATTGCACAGTGTATGATGGTCCTCTGGTCCACTTGGTTTCCCTATATCTGCCATGAAAACAGAAGTATATTTATATAGAGATCGAAGATTCATCCTACCTAACTGAACCTACCTAGTCACGATTAAATTCCGCGTTTTGAAAGGACGATGCATCCCTTTTCTTTAAAGCCTCCGTCGAAAGCGTCGGCAGTGTAGAGTCAATATATTTAACGTCATTTTTTATATTTTCCAGGTGGGCGTTTCTGACGCAGACGGCGGCGGCATCCCCTCCCAACCGCACCGCATCCGCTACCCGTCCGGCAAACTCCAAAACCGCCTCCAAGCCGATGCCGGCCAGCGGTTGGTCGCTCGCGTCGCGCTATCACGCCCCCTCCATCAAGTATTCATGCGATTGGTGCACAGCGAGGTTGGGACGGAGATCGTCTTCGTTGCGGAGCAGGAGATTGGAGGGGCGTCTGGAGATAAGGACGCGAAGATATATAAGGTGGAAGTCAATCCAGGGGAGGAGCTGGCAGCGTCTGGGGTGTACGATATTGAGATGATATTGGGAGATACCGTTATTACGAATCCAGTCAGGTGGAATATCGGGCAGGTGGAAATGCATATAGGTAAGAAATGACTTGTATAGCGTGTTTTATGAAACAAAGTTCAGAAATAGACTAGTTCCAAGAAGAGAGACACCCGGGTCAATTCTTGGTCCTTTGATGTCCATTCGTTTTTGTAAAGAATCTACCATCCTACATAACTGCAAGCAACATAACACTTTACGTTGAAGATACAACCATAGCTGTTGACGTTGAAATGCCTGAAGATCTTCAGACCAAGATGGTAGCAAAAGCAGCAGGGTTCACATCTTAGTGTAAAAGGAACTCCCTGATAGTAAATTTTAGCTGAATTGTGTGCATGAAGTTCTATGCTGGCTCTGGATCTTGCCGCAAGATTGGCGATTTAGAAATCCCTATCAACTCTGATATTGTTAAGATCAGTAGCTTAACAGAATTTCTTGGTATACATGTTGACAGCAATATGAGCTGGTCTACTAATATCGCTGTCTTGTGTAAGAAATTCAGCAGAAACTACTAGCTATATTACACCTTAAAGGGTGTCCGAGTATTATTCAGTTATTGAACGTCTATTTTGTATTGGTATGTTCACAAATATCATACCTCATAATACTGTAGGGTAATTCATCCTTGACCATGCGAGTATTTATTATGCAAAATAGAATTGTTTGCTTAATGTTTGGTTTAAAACCTATAAAATCATGTCGGCAATCATTCAAGACTTATAAGATACTTACTCTGTCATTGGTGTACATTTACAAATGACAAATGAATCACAAAACGTTCATTGAACACATATCAAAAAAAGACTGTGATGTATATAAATATAGTACCAGAAGTAGCAGCTCATTAAGATCTATCAAGCATGATACAACTATGTATGAAATTAGTCCGTTTAACATGGGCCAAAAACTTTACAACTCTTCACCACCACCTATAAAATGTTCTAAAAATTATACTCAATTCAAGAATTCATTAAAGAAATTTTTTTATACAGCTGTTATTATTCTGTTCATGTTTTCACTCGTTAGATTACGTATTGTTTGTCTGTGCAATGTTTAGCTACATGTGTGTCCAAAAAATGTTTTATCAATCGTCATAAATCCCATTGTTTTAACCTATTACTCTATTACGATGACATGTCCAATGTCTGTAAAGATCTAAAGGATGACTAAATTTATTATTATTGTTATTATTAAAATAGAATGTAGTAGTAGGCAAAGCCAGGCAAGTAGGCCACCTTTGGCCCTTTTTGCCGACCCCGAGTATGCCAACACTCTAACCCACATGTTAGTTCACTAATATGGCGAACCTTCCTAATCTCCTAATAGAGGTCAGGATGTCCGACCGTCCTGATGAATAAGCAATTCTTCGGCCCTTAGACTGCAATACGCGGGGCAATAACGCAAAAAGTGGAACGCTGTTTCGTCCTCCCAGCACAGGTCAGGTTGGATCTCTTCTCACCCTTAGAAGGTCTGTTCAGTCTGCAGTGGTCGGTGAGAGCCTCCACCAAAAGGTTGAGCGATTCAGACCCCTGTCCAGTAGCTAGCGCGTTGGACATTCGTCGAGGTCCGCCTCGACCCTCTCGGCTTGTCTGTAGTCATCACTCTCTCTCGCTTTTCCCAGGTCCATATACACCCATTCATTCAGGGCGGTGTCGACCTGCTTCCTGCTTATGCTCAGCCTTGGGCCGATGCAGGTGCTTCTGGCTTCTTTATATCTGGCTAAACTGTGAAAGGCAGTTGTACATTCCTGAACTAAGGGTGACCTTGTACTCGGGGATGCCTCTGCCTTCAGGGCTGCTTAACTGTCGGAACATTGGTATGAATATGCTCCGCTCCGTCCACTAATGAATTTCTTCTGAGTATGCCACCATTAAAATGGAAACTGTCCTTGTCTCGAAAATCGTTAAGCAGAAGCTTCCCTGTACGCCTTTGCCTTCCAAGTATAATCCCACCCCACTAGATCCTGTTTCTTTGGAAAAGGAACCGTCAGTGAAATACACGAGACACTGAAGCGGAGATGTAACCATTCAACCATTCTTCCTTCAAAGGTATGATGAGCGAGGAATCTGTGGGCCATATCGTCAGACGTTCCTACAATTGTAGGACGCCTTTATGGCCTCCTTGACTTTCGTAGTTTTCTGCTGTTCCATGTTAGCACTCTATTTTGAGGTTATGCCATTTGCATCAAAAAGTTCACGCTTTTGATTTATATCATCTTTTATATCAGTCTGAAATTTCTTACAATTTAAAAAAAAATAGTCTCAGAATAGGAGACCGCTGACGTTGACATGGAACAGTAGAAATATTGAAATAGCCCAGCCTTTTTGATGGAGAGAAAATACTATGAAAATCATGGAGGCGATACAATTGTAGGAACAACTGACGATACGGCCCTAAGTCTGATATTATGCTGTTCTTGGCCCTTTTCACTTTTACCGTATGGAGAGATTGCTCTCACTCACGTCCACGATCTTAGAATGACCAACCACTGGTTCTCGTAGTGAGCTTGCGGGTAACCGAAGTCTTTTCGATACATGGCACCAGACAACGCATCTATACTGTATCCACCGATATGTAAAGCCAATGCAAGACTTTTGGTCTTAACCCCCAAGTCCTGCCGACTGCCCGACGCAACTTCCACATGATCGCTATCAACTTCTTGTAGATATAGTGGACACGCTGTTTCGATGACAACTTGCAATCCAGCACCACGCCCAGGTATTTTACTTCTTGACTGTCTTGAACTGAGTCAGTCGCATTCCATGGAGAGTTTGTGGATTTTGAAATCTCCCGTTTCTAGATAAAAAGGACTGACTCAGTCTTAGATGGATTAATTGAGGGTAATGTTTTCACACACCACTCAAAATATTGGCGAGCCTCGGTAGGTCGCTGGTTAACGCATAAAGCTAGCAATTCAGGGCTCGCGGCTTCGTATCTCCGCATCGTATGCTTAATTCTGTGCCATGGATGTTGTGTTGTGTGTTGTTTATATCACGCACGCGGGGTCAATATTATCGATAGAGCTGGTTTATTATATCATCTACCAGTAGATGGCTCGTGAAGTAGTACAGTGTTGGTACTATCGGGTCGGCAAAAGGGTCAAAGGTGGCATAGTCGCTAGGCTTTGCTTCCCCACCACTACCACTACTTCCTAAAATATTACAGGCTAAATGAGATCCGTCGCAGACGACGCCTGGGAACTTGACTGAACAAGAACAAGGCCGTCGTCTGCATACGCGAAGAAGCCGGATTTGGTCAGTACAAATAGAATACAGTAGATTCGGTGTTTATTTAACTATAAGCTACAATATTACATTAAGATGAACATGACAAAAATTACATATAGTCAGTGACATTGAAAGTGTTGCACCCAGAAAAAATATATTCTTCAACTTGTTTTTTTTTTGACAACATAATGACTATATTTAAAGCATGCAGTGGCAACAATGTCAACGTTTTATCTTTGTTTTTGTTTACTTTTGTTAAAATGTTATTTCTTAGTTTTTGTGAAGGCAGTCTCTGAGAGCTGAGTAGCACATATATTTTCAGTTATTGCCCTTTCATTTACTAGTGTTAAGCAGAACAAAATGCCTCGAGTTCGAAGACATCTAAATGATCACCATGTTAGCGACTTTGACAGGGGTAAAATTATTGCCTATCGAGATGTTGGTTTGTCCTATCGCGAAATCGACCGCCGTGTTAATTGTAATGCAATGACGGTAATGCGTGTGTGTCGTGTGTGGATAGACGAAGGTTGAGGAACACGAAGAAGGCCAACTGGTCCACCGAGGCTTACCACATAGCGTCAAGATAGGTTCTTCAGACAACTAGCCCTACGAGACTGTTTTGCTACTACGCGTCAGGTCGCAGACCAATGTTTTGGAGAAAAAGGTAGACCTGTTACTATGCGTACACTCTATCGCCACATTCGAGCCTTTGGACTTTCTTCTTACCGTTCACGGTTAGTGCTTCCTCTGACTGCGGACCACTGTCGTCAACGTTTGAACTGGAGTGGAGAACATCAACATTGGGAGGCAGAATGGTATAATGTCATCTTCAGCGACGAATCGCGATTCTGTCTAGGTACGCACGATGGTCGTAGAAGGGTAAGCCGCCGTGGATAACTGCGTGAATTGGATTTGCTGTTGAGAGACATGTACACCGGACTGTTGGAGTAATGGTTCGGGGACTATTGCCTATGATAGCCAATCTCTTTGTTCAAGGCAATATGACTGCTGCGCGTTATGTTAATGACGTCCTACAAACCACTTTTCAGCAAGACAATGCACGTCCCCAAACTGCTCGTCGTACTACGGACTTTCTTCAAGAAGCAGGCGTTAATGTTTTGTCGTGACCGGATTTAAATAACATCTAACTTGTGTGGGATATGATGGGAAGGAGACTATCCACTTTGCACCATCCACCACAGACCCTGCCACAGCTAATCCACGAAGTTCGAGACATATACAGGAGTGTAATCAGCTGCGGGGTCGCCCAACACGTTATTAATTTTTTTTGTTATTGTCAATAAAATTTCGTGAGAATGTTATCGTCTCATTCTTGATGGAAAACTATCTCATTGACAAAAAATCAAATTGAAGAAATTATTTTTTCTAGGTGTAACACACCTGCTTAATCCTTCAATAAAAAGAAATTTTTCCAATCCCTTGGTTTTGAACTTGAGCTGTAGAAGATTATGTAGCAACTCTGTTCATCTAGTTGGTATTTTTCAGAAATTGTTCTTTGTCCTTTTCGATATGGATTAAATATTTGGTATATTTAATACTTTGTGTGTATAATTATAATTACTACAGGTATACTTTTCAGCCTTGCATGCTTCTTTCATGTGTTTGTGACAGCAGTATGAATTTAATACACAACAGACTTGGACTTCTCAGCCTGATGTCCAAATCGCCAACATTTGCAACAACAAAGAACATTAACGCCGGATTTTACTATTGATCCGCGGGATCAAAAATTTTGACCCGGATCATAATAGACAAATAAGGCGTCTTTGTAGTAATGAATCAAATGAATATATGAATGATGGATTTTTTCCAAAATATCTATCAAAGTAGCGAAAAAATATACGAGTAGTGTAAGAAGGGCTTCTAATCTCCATATCAAATCAAGAAATTCTTTATAAATCACCTGATTTGGCAACAAAAACACATGTTTCCAGTTTACCCGGAAATCAAAACCTATGATCCGGATCAACAATGACCAATTAGAAAGCGTTTTCGTAAAATTGCATCGAAAATTGGCCAAAAAACAAGTATCATAAACCCACCTTGTAGATGCTATAACCAAAATCAATACAAATATAAATAGCCGAGAAACGTTAAAAAAGGGTATATGTTGTCAATTAGGTGTAGATTTCAACAAACTCGTTTATTACGTTCCACTACCACATTTTTTGTTGCTGTACCTAATCCGTATGTTGTCGTTCAAGGTGAATAATAGATGTTTAGAAGAATATACAGGGTGTAAACGTTATGATAGTCATTATTTAAATGGGTGATAGAGCGGGTTAAAAGAAGCAAAAAGTTTCATATAACATGGGGGTCGAAACGGCATTTTTTTAAAGAAAAGCGAATTTAAAGTAAAATAAAATCTGACAACGCCGCAATGCCAGACGCAAATTACGACAGAACGCAGTGTACATAAAGATGGTGTTTGTTATTTTTGGCTCTTAGGTATCTCATTATTTGACAATGTACTCGTAAAATGCAAACAATTAAAAAAACTTACCACTAACTGTCTCAGCGCTTCACCTGGTGTGTGAAAAGTTATTGAACGTATTAAAAAAATCCACTTATAAATAGGGAACACAATTTTGATACATACATTGTTTTTCTTTTTAAAACTCACACTGCACTTTATTTGTATTTAAAGAAGGTGTTCAAAATGTCGTCCTCCAGTTTCCACACAAGCTTCATTACGACGAACCCAGTTTCTTCTTACTCTAGGTTCTCGAAGTTGTCCATTTATTATTTCAGCCGCATTAAATTTTTGGCGAAGGTGTGCTTCAGTTGTTGTTGGACCAGCCCCATAAACCATCCCTTTAAGTTCCCAATACCAGAAATCCATCGGATTGAGGTCAGGAGATCTTGCTGGCCATTTTCGAGGATCAGGAGCATTTCGACCGAACCAGCGATTTGGGTAATGTTCATTCAAATACTGAATGACGCCTCTAAAAATGTGTGGTGGTGTCCCGTCATGAAGAAACAAATTCTGTCTCCGTTATAATGGCATGTTGTCTAAGGTCTGTTCCAAAAGTTCTAGTAGGTTATTGACTAGAAAACTAAGGTATCCAACTTTGGCGGTAACTCGAAAGGGCCAATTACCTAATCGTCAAGAATACCCGCCCAAAATTTATTTTAAAACGTTGTTGGAAATGACCTTCACGAATGGTATGAGGATTTTCTTTGGCCCACGTGTGAGTATTATGGAAATTTAATGTCCCGTCTCGCGTAAAAGTACAGACAGAATGTTAGTCTGTGGGGATAGTCTTCTGGTAACAAGGCCTGCACTCGATGTACATGGTAGGGAATAAGCAAATTTTCCCGTAGGATTCTATGGACTATGGTATGCGATAGTCCTACGCGGCGGCCTAATTCCCGAGTGCTGATATCTGCATTGATTTCCACGATATTTAAAATTTGTTCCTCCTGCTCTACAGTAACCTGTCTTTCACGAGTGCGAATATTAGTGGGCTGAACACTTCCTGTATCTCGAAGTTTTGGTACACTTGCACAAATGTCCTTCTGTCTGGGTGTACCCGTTGGAGCAATCTGTCGCGATAAATTTGAGCTGGAAGATTTGAATTCTGACGAGCTTCACCGTAAACTAACAACATGTCGACGAACTCTTGATTCTAGAACATTGTAAATAAACACGACGACGTACGCGAACAAAAACAAAACACGCCCGATGCCCGATAACTGACCACTGTTACCGTTTGCGATCGATTGCCCATTCGATAAGAGTGATGACGACGCGCTGTTGTCATGTGTGTTTTAAATATTTAATTCAATGAAATTTACTTACTGACTACAAATTTTGGCTTAACTTAGAAAAACTTTATGCCATTTATTTGTTAATTACCCAATTTAAAAACGTTTTAGATTAGATTATAAAAATGAGTAAGATTGTGGTGATTGTGGTCGATATAAAGCACTTAAAGTTGTAAACTACATTTAGACAAAAATCTATTGACTTTTGGACCATGGGTCATATGAACTTTTTGACTTATTTTGACCCCCCCCCCCCTATTACCCATTTCAATAATGACTACCATAACGTTTACACCCTGTATACTTTGCTGTATACAGTTTTAGGAAAAAATGGTAGAAACCAGGCAAGAAATTATACAACAAAAGAAAGGTCTGGAATAACAAAAGTCTGCAAAAAGCCGTCTTCCTTGTGCCTCTTTGTCGGCTAGAGATGGGGGTGTGTATTCGAATTCAGATAATAACGATATTTTATTACGAATTTCAAATTTTTACACGATAAACCAGTACATTTGAGAGGATCAGGTACTCGTAGTATCGATATATAATTATCGACCACAGTACAGCTGTGCAGTGCACATCTTCGAAAATGCCCATCACTATCCCGCTCTTTCTTTTTGTCATTGTATGTCTGAGCGGTCCGTAGGACCTTTTTCTATTGGTTAACGTGTTGTAAGTCAGTAAGTTTGTCAGGTCTGGTTGCCCAGATGCCAGTCGGGGAGAAAGAAGGGAAGAAGAAGGAAGGGTGGAGAGCAAAGAAGAAGGAAGTGCGTCAATTTGAGGGGTGCCTTGGCATTGCTAACTAGTATTCGGCAATTTTAAATTGATCCTAAAATCAATTTAGAGATTGATTGTTGAAGAAAAATATAATTTTGGTTGGACCTAAAGTCGCACGATTTAATTTTGTGCTCAGTGCTAGCCCCGGCCTTGTTCTGCGATTCCGCTTGACTATAACGTAGCTGCGCTTGTTGTTTGATGTAGTCCCTCGGGTAAGCGATGTCAAGGTCTCTGTGAAGGGTCTCATTGGAAACACACCATGGGGCGTTAGTGATTGTACGCAAGGTTCTGATCTACAAAACCTGGAAACTACGCAAATGCGTTTTGGCGAGAAAACGCCAAGACGCACATGCGTAAGTGATAGCTGGTCTAATAACCATCTTGTATAGCCGAACTTTGTTGATCAAACTTAATTTTGAGGTTCTACATAACATAGGGTAGAGTTGCCAAAACGAGATTTGGAATTTAGTTTTTAACGCTTCAGTGTGCTTCTGCCAGGTCATCCCGTTGACAAAAGTGACACCCAGATACTTAGCAGAACTTTCTTTAGTACAATAGGTAGCCTGCGTAACTCGAACGATTAATTTTGATCAGCCACCGATTCGTCCGTTCCCATACCTCGTCTACCGCACTTTGCTGCCTGTCGTGGACTAGATTCCCAGAACACGACTCTGCCGCCAGGGCAGTGTCATCAGCATAGAGATGGATTTCACAGTTGCTGGGGGCAAGGGATGTCATGAATAAAAAGTGAATAAAGGCCTGGTCCAAGCACCGAACCCTGAAGGACACCGGCTTTGATGGGCCGTGTTGTCGACACACCGTTATTAATTTTGATTCCAAATTTCCTACCCTCAGGAAGGATTTCAAAAGTTTTAGGAGCCGGAAGGGGAAGCCCTTATGGATCAATTTCTAGAGGAGGCCCCTGTGCCACACCTTGTCAAATGCCTTTGAGACATCCAGAAGCAAGTTGCCAGTACTTTCGTTACGCGTGAATTCCCTGGTTACTCGTTCAACAAGCCTAACCGCCTGTAACTCCGTACTATGCTCAGACACTGTGACAGCACAACCTTACTTCTTAATGACAGTGTTTATGAAGTGTCCCTGTAATTGTTTTGTTTTTCGAATCTCATTTATGTAACATTCACCATAAAGTCGAAAACAGCTCCGTATATTGAAATAACTCTTTGTAACCAAATTTTGTAAATAAGGCGCCAAGTATATCTAGATCGATAGTTAAGTAACTATCGAACTTGATTAACATACAACAACCACAACAAATTAAGATACCAAGATACGGACAGGAATTGAAGGCTCCTCTCCGATTAGCCAATTTTAGATGCATTTTTACGGAAACGCTGTCTAATTAGTCATTGTTTATCCGGATCATATGTTTTTGTAGCTAAACCAGGTGATTTTAAAAAAAATTATTATATTAATTAGATTCATGCCCAGAGAGATGCCTGCTCATTGGTATATTTTGATCAGGATCAAAAATTTTGATCTGAGAGTCAAATCGGGCTTTTTAGTCGTTACAATAGGTCATACTGATTGATCCACTCTTTTCCCCTTGACCTCATGTATGAAAATGTACTCTGTTGTAGAATCTCGAGCTCGATACGAATCTGTCGCCAAAAATAGTGGTTGCTATTTGAATTCCCAAAATTGACTTTCAAATAACCTCTGAGGTCATATCTTATGTTATCGACAAATTGCTTTTATGGTATCCTGAAACTTTTTTCCAAACAATGCATGATTGCCGAGTTTTCGGGATGTTCGGATATTTAATAATAACCCTGCATGTTGAATATTTTATCCAGCAAGTATTCATTTTCTTTATTAAACAGTTCTATTATTATGCATATGTCTGTTTTATTGTTATAGGTAACGCAGTGGCGAAACCCAGCAAGAAACTCAGCTCCAGTGCTTCATCAGTCATCTCCCGTCGAGGCCCAAAACCCGAAATTCAACACCAATTTCGACCTAAAGACCGCCGACCATCAGCATTGGTCTCTTACCTATTCACAGGGTTAACCGCAGCACCATGGCTTGTCCTGTTGGTACTCTGGGTACAAGTTGGTGCTGGAATAGATACCAGCAAGTTCCATGCTACCCTGGCCATTCCGTACCATCTATCACTGGCATCAGTCTTGGGGTTGTACACCCTGTTTTGGTTGAAACTTGACATGTTTTCCACGTGTGCGTGGTTGGCACCATTAGGTGCTATTACGCTCCTCACAGGCCATAGGCTGTTGGTTAGGCTTGCCGCATCTAAGGAGAAGCCTGAGAAGTAAAAAGTTGGGGTTTTTGTGTTGTTTTTTTTTTGTATGTGGAGACCGTTTTTATGTTGTAGTTTCTACTACAAGTTTTGGTTGAATTTCGAAGGCAGGATATTTGAATAAAATTTTGGTGTTCAAGAAATAGTTTAGGATTGTTTGCATTACAGTCCTCTTTATCGACAAACTACAAATTGTCAATGACAATGAGCGAATCAAGAGATTTAACCAAATTTTGTACCAGAAGATGTGTAATCTTTATACGGGTGCACATTGGTTTTTGTAAGCATTTGTCGCATAATCTATAAGTGTAGAAACTAAAATTGATAAACAATGAATATCAACTGTGCAAAGATAAAGTTAGTCACATACTTAGTTGAAAAAGAACATGCCCTCTAAATTTTGACATGCACTTTGTCTTAGTATCTTAAGATCCGAAGGAAAAATATCCTGATTCGGATTTTTTCCATAATCTTATTCAAAATTTTCCAAACAAATTCTAAAATCCAGTTTTTTCGCTCCGGTTTTTCCGACAAAAAAGTTGTTTTAGAACGTTTCTTTAAAGTTGATAGTTTTCGAGATACAAGCGATACAATATTTGAAAAAGTGCAAAATATTCCACTTTCAACCCCGAAAAAACACCCTCCCCCCCATTTTAATCGGCATTATATCAATTTAAAAAAGGTTTGCAATAACAATACCGGCTAAAATGCTTTGAGATTCTGTTAATGGATGTTAAGAATATTTACTAAGTTCACCAACATGTAAACCTTTGTTTTTTCATATTGTCTTTCGGGATCGAGGTGGCATATTTTGCACTTCTTCTAGAAAACTATCAAGTTCCAATTCCAATTTCTTTGAGCAGGATGTCCCAAAAAGCGTACAAACATTTTGACCAGAGCGAAAAACAATTTTTGGAATTTGTTTAAGAAATTTTTTCAACAAATTTTTGACGCCAATTTGAGCCTGGAAACATGAAGATTCGTTAAAAAGGGTTCTTTTTTAATAACACTGCGAAAAAACCGAATCAGACTAATTTTCTCATGGGATGCGAAGATACTACCCAGGCTATAATTAATTCTGCAAGTTTAGGTTAAATTTCGAAAGTATGAAATAGTTCTCGATTCTGTACATTAAAGTCATCCCTTAAAACAAACTGCAAATTGCTAATGACAGTGAGTAGAAATTGAATAAAATTTTATAAAAGGAGTTGTATACGGGTACACATTGGTTTTTGTCGGAATTTTTGTAATACAGAAGGAGGAAACTAAAATCGATAAAAACTGACCATTTTAATCGTGGAAAGATAAATATGTCATAGGTGTTGTTGAAAAAGCATGTCTACTAAATTTTGACATGCACATTCTTTTTTTTTTTCATTTTAATCGAAAACTATCAGTTAATTCTGACATGTATTCTTCAATTTTTCTACGTAAAGTGTTTAGCTGTAACCACTGTTTCTATGTAAATGTATTTGTATATTTTTTCGTATTTTCAACGCATGTGTACGCTATTTCTAACATTTCTTACAAGATGTGTTGTTAAAAACTGCGAGATCATTTATTATGCAGGTGTACATTACTTTTTGTCATCATTGTCTAAGCTTTGTGGTAACAAAAGACACCGATTTTTCGAGTAACTTGAGATCTTTTCCTTTAATGAGTTCCATTCCAACAGCCTCCTTATCGACCCTAATCTCAAATTGACGTCAGGTTCGGATTCTACGCACTGGATTTACTTAGCAGACGAGTTTCTGTCATAATTGAAGATTACACATGAATATTGACTATTGAGTAGCGGACAAAAGTTTGGAAACAAATATTGACATTATTATGAACTATTTCAAATACCTATATTAAAATTCTATGAAAATGAAAACGCGTTTTTTTAACTACCAGTTTTTGTAACGACAAAATTATGGAAACTTTTTAGTTTCGCCGTATTTATTCGTTCTGCGATTCTCTGTAAATATTAACATCTGTGAGAATGGTAAAAGTAAAAGGATTTTCAAAAGATTTAAGAGACAAAGTAATTGAATTATTTAGAAGTGGTGTCAGAAATGTTGACATTTCTCAAAGATTAAAAGTGAACAAAGGGACGATTTCGAAAATTATTAGTAAATATCAAGAATATGGATCAACAGCAATGCGGTTCAGGTGCGGAATACCGAAAAAAAACTGATTGTTTTGGATGGCTACATTAAACGTTTGTCCCATGAAGATCCTCGAATGCCAGTCACACAGATTTTCAAAAGAATCGTAGAAGAGGGTGCCGACAATTTTTGTCAGAACCGTGCAGAGACGCTTTGTGGATTTTGTGCTTTTTGGTAGGCGTCCAGTGCAAAAGCCTCTCTTTTAAAAAAATCTTATTGCTCGGCTTGAATTTGCTAAAACTCATCTACCTTGGACAGAACAGCAATGGAATACAGTTTTATGGAGCGATGAAAGCAAATTTACCTTACTTGGATCTGACGGTACGGCATATATAAGACGTCCAGTACGAAAAAGATTCGACAAAAAGTATCAGTTGCCAACAGTTAAGCACGGTGGAGGCAACATCATGGTTTGAGGCTGTTTTTCTAGTTCTGTAACGGGTCCAATTGTCAAAATTGTTGGTAAAATGGATCAAAAACTTCACAAAGATATTCTTAATGAACACACGCTCCCTTTTGCTGAAGAAGAAATGCCTTTACGATGGATATTCCAGCAAGATAATGAACCAAGTGTACCTCAAAATTCGTGAAGGACTGGTTAAGACTAAAAAATGTTAATGTTCTTACATGGCCTTCGCAATCCCCGGACCTAAAACCCTATAGAACGTCTGTGACCATGTTAAAAGACAACTGACAAGAAAAACTTTTAAAAATAGGAACGATTAATTTGATTATGTAAAAAAATATTTGGCAAAATATCCCAACAGACGTCTGTAAAGAATTGGTGTCTTCTATGAACAGCAGAGGTCAGGCAGTGTTAATGTTAAAGGCTATGCTACCAAATATCAGCAAAACAGCATTTTTTAAATCTTTTTGTAGATATATTGTATTTAATTTTGTAATAAAAAATATGTTTCCATACTTTTGTCGTCTCATTTTCGGTCATAAAATAATAGTACCGCAGCAAACACAAGTTGTGATTTGTATCCTCAAGACTGTAAGCAAGCTATATGGGAGAAAAAATAGTCGTTAATAATAACGAATAAAAAATTAGCACACTTTTTAAAAATTACTAAGAATGTTTCCAAACTTTTGTCCGCTACTGTATTAATTATGCCACATGTTTCAACATTTTCTTTACCTAGGGGAAATTCCCACGTAAAGTAAAAAACCCTGAGTAAATCCAATTTCCTGTTTGACACAATACCATGAATCGGCCATCGTGAAGAAGTAGTGTGCGAAAATCAAAAAATTCCTTAGTTTTGGCCTAACAATTTTAAAAAATCGCACTAAACTAATCTTAAAATACCCTTCGAGGTCTTGTAAAGCAATTTAGATATTTCGCGACCTCAAAAACTATAATTTTCAAATGGGTATTTAAGCATTTAACATTTTTTATAAATAAATTACAATCTATCCTGGGCCGTTCTGAACAAAAAATCTAGTAATTTTTCTCTAAATTTGACCATTTTCGAGTTATCAGCGATTTAATGTCTACAAACTCCCAAAAATGGGTATATTATATGCTTGGAAACCCGGTTATAAATTATGATTTTTGTGTTCAGCAAGTATCTAAATTAAAGTTTAAGCCTAGCTCTATAAGACCACCAAATGTTTTTTGAGTTTATTTATAATGCGATTTTTAACCTTGTCAGTTAAGCCAAAATTGGCGAACTTTTCATTTTCACAGATTGTAAATAGATTTATTCGTATATGTTATTGAACAAAAATGAACTGAAACGGATTTTGAAATGACCGATTCAATTTCACTGGACTACTTCCATTAATCCCCTCGATTACCGGCCGTCGGCAGGGTTACTATGTAAAAAAAACAACAAGATGTCATCTTGCTGACTAGTGTGCAAATGGTTCATTCTCCTCTTGATCGCTATGAGCGCTGCTAGCGCCACCTATGGATGAATGACTCAACGACCATGCTGCAAGTCATTTCGCCTGCATGCTTTGTAGGTTGCAGAATGTCGAGATAGTATCTCTGAGATGTGACAAAAGGAAATTGGTTGAGTAGCAGAGTAGGAAGGTCGCATCTGGATGATTCTGTGGTGGTTGAGAGTATTGGTCTGTATGTGTATAAAATCAGTAATATTTGCTATGTGAAAAAATTATTACTGAATATGCTGCCCATGAACTATACCTATCCTCTCCATGCTGTGCCAAACCGGTTATTTGGGTAATAAATTACGAAATGTTGTTTCTAGGACTTTCATTGTCTATAAAGTTTTTTTGATTCGCGACGCTTCGATTGAGGACCGACCGACAAACAACATCTTAATCATCTATATTGTAAATAAATTTCAAATTATGAATGTCCCAGGTTTTCTACGTTTTCAGAAACTTTGAGAAGCATTACGGTAAATCGCCAGCGCGATTTGTGTAATTAAGCCACATCACACAAAAATATAAATATAAAATTTAAATGATTGGAAATAAAAATAATGTAAAATTAATGTTTTCACGTTTCATAAATATTCCGTATACAGTCAATTTTCTCACGGGTTAGTTGTAATATACTTCACCAACCAGGGATTTTCTTTTATGTCTCTTATTTCTGCAAATGTAATTTCCAGGATGAAGCATACATCTCAAGTAAGTGTCTTCGAGACAAAAAACCAAGGGAATTTTCATCCACACAGATTATTAGCACACAAATCCTATGCACTGTCGTTTCGGGGGGTTTTTCTGAATAAGACTATGCAAAAAAAATCGAATCAAATTATTCCGTTTAGGTGCGAAGATGTGCCCGGAGTAAGTAAAAAGTTCAGCATCATTTGCCATCCAACAAAAATTCAATAAAACGCCAACATTACACTCAGATTCTTATTTCCACAACGAACAATAAAAATGTACAAATTGAACTGTAAACTGTGAAAAATTGTACATAAGGGTTTCAATAGAGTAAAAAACGAACTAGTACATAGTTTTCAAAATACGGATTGTATAGTGTCCAAGTAAGGGTTTAAAAATCTTTCAGTTAGACCTCCTCTAGTGGGATGAGCGGAGTTTTTGCAACTTCAAAGAAGATCTTGTGCGAATACTTATTCCTTACAGTCATCAATTGTGATTTTGGCGGCTGGTGGAGGTATTTGTTCAATAATACTGCTACGGATTTGAAATCTTCCAATTTATATCCTGAAATTAATCATAGAAATCAAAATACAGGTTGTGACAGAATACCAGTAAATACACATTTCTACTTCTATTCATTATTTCTCCATGTTTTAAGGGCAAATGTACGAGGAAACCGTTGATGTGTGAAATATGCGCTGATAGTATAAAAGGACAGACTGGAACCGTATATACTGCCGCAAAAAACCCTCCCTAGCCGAGAGGCCAGAGTAGTCGCATCTGGGCCTTCATGAAGCCTGTCAAAGGTCACACTGCCACCTTAGTCGAATTGCAAAGGAAGGATCCCCTCCTTCTCAGCAGGGGATGTGATCAACATCGCTTTAACGGCAAGTTTAATGTGGAGTATCCGATGATGGTGGAGTGGGTTTCCAAAAGCCAGACGGTCTCCGAAGAAAGTGGGCAAGTCTGGTACACGGTTCCTCATTAGGGCTCGGCGCCGAAGTTTTTGGGCCTAGAACTAGGCTTTCACTGCCTCTCAGCGGATACACCACTATTTTCCAGTAGGAATAATCTATGCGATTTTAGTTTGCGTATCCCGCATTCATGAGGGGGAAGGGCCTGCGAGAAGAATAACAACCTTCTCAGACAGCCATGCTGCAATGAAGGCACTTAGTGCCTGCAAGATCACTTGGAACCTTTTATTGCAATGCAGGGAGGCTCTGGATAGTCTAGCAGTGAGTCATCTGCCATCGTTATTGTGCGTATTGGGGCACCCTGAGATAAAGGTTAATGATATGACGGACACTCTCGCGAAAGCAGGAGAAGTGGATTTTTAGACAACACTCCCTGAAATGAAGAAGTATATCTAGACATCTCCGTCAGGCATGGTAGCTCATCTTAGGGCCTAGTATTACGGCGTTTGTCCACCGCCGCCGTCACCGTCACGTCACCGAGAACTAGATGACGGCGCCGAAGAAGCGGTACATACATTTACATTACATTACTTAGCCGCGTGTCCACCGCACATCCGTCACCCGGAGCGCCGTCATCCCGGCCGCCGAAATTGCGAGTAGATCGGCGTGACCGCTAGATCATCGCCCGAGATTTTGACGGGCCGATGTGCCGGCAATACAAAACACGTATGAACTTGTCCACACACTGCCGTCGCCGTCGCACCGTACACGAGCTCAGTTATTATTTTGTTTGTAATCAATTATCATTAATTAGTATAACATTGCAATAAAAATGGCGAAAAAATTTAAATACGATATTTATTCATTAATAGAAATTATAGAAAGTAAAGAATGTTTGTGGGATAAAACCAAGGAAGTGTCCAAAGATAAAGTTTTGCGTAGAAATGCATGGCGCGATGTTTGTGCCTTTTTAGAGCCGAACTTTGAGGATATGGACCAGAAAAACAAAGACGAAATTAGTAAATACATGATAGTTTATTATTTATGTTTTTAATTAAGTAATTACAAGTTTAGATTTTATTCATCTGCCAAGGTGAGGAGCCGTTAGCAGTACGCCCACCATGCAGTACACTTCCTTCCCTTGGTAGATCAGACAGCCCATCGTGCATAAAAGACATGAACATATCCTCACCTCTGTAGCCATCTTTTTCACGTACAATATTATGCAAAACGACGCATGCCTTAACTATACTTTTGCTAAGTTTTTTGTTTACATTTAGAGGGCGATGAAATATTCGCCATTTATTGGCCATAATGCCAAATGCACATTCAACGTATCTTCGTGCACGACAATGTCTATAGTTATAAATACGTTTTTTCACATCTAAATGGTTACCGCCAAAAGGACGTAATAAATGTTCAGTCAGCTGGAAAGCTTCATCGCCTAGTATAACATGTGGCATTCTGTTATTTTGAGATGAGTGCAGTGGAACAGGTGGAGGTATACTCAACCTGCCTTCAGTGAGTAGTTGATAGAAGTTTGTACGTTGAAAAATTGCGGAGTCGCAGTCTTTACCGTATGAACCGATATCAACATATACGAATCTGTAATCTGAATCAACTACTGCCAGAAGTACAATTGAGAAATATCCCTTATAATTAAAGTTCATAGTGCCAGATTTCGGAAATGTTTCAATCCGTATGTGTTTTCCATCGACACAACCGATGCAGTTTGGGAAATTAGCTCTTCGTTTAAATCCTTCCACTATTAATAACCATCGCTCAGTAGTAGGCGCAGCCAAGTGTTCACCACTTAAAATAGTCCATATTTGGTGACACACTTGTGTCACTATTCTGCTTATAGTAGAATAAGTTGTCGCCGGTTTAACCTAGCCATCACTTTATTTCTTCGAAAACGCGACTACCACGCATGACAGGTGGAACAAACTAAACCAGCGAAATCGGTCGCGGTGGACAAACGATCGCCGTTACGTCATATTAAACTCGGCCCGAAATAATCTCGTTCTCGGTGACGGTCCGGTGACGGCGGCGGTGGACAAACGCCCTTACGGATCGAGGTTTTATCTTATCTTTGGGTACATCCGACCTAAGGTTGTTGGCGGGACTGCTGCCTGGTCATAACGCGCTGAGGCGTCACCTGCATTTGATGGGAGTGGCTGAGGATGCCATATGTGAGCGCTGCGGGTAGAGGAACAGTTATCCGCGCAAGTTCTATGTCGCTGCGAGGCTCTGAGCTACTACAGGCAGACTATACTGGGGTCCAACACTTTGGATCCCCAAAAGGATAAGGAGTCGGGATTCAGGGCTATACTCAACATCGATAGAAGGGCGGAGCTTGAGGCTTAGGGCAACGGACCGTTATGTGGCCTATGCGCCGTCTCTTCCTGGTGGCCCGCAAGCCTCGATTTCATTCATTCAACGTCAGAAACGAAGTTTCAGCGATTTTTATTTCTTCCGTTTTTTGTCCCTAGGTCCGCCGCCAATGGAGTTAGTACTAACATGAAAACCACAGGATAAGTTTCAGGAGTAACATTGCGAGTTTATACAATTTGGTCTTACCTGAGTAATGTTCTAAGGTAGCATTCCAACCGGGAAATTTCTTCATCTTGAGGGCTAGGTACATGGCAGCACAAGCTAGCTTCGAGTCCCTTATCAAGACCGTTTCATATTCCATCAGGCAGAACTCCAAAATATACCTCGCTAACGTTAAAGTTGGCATGGCTATTTTGGCACACTGAAAAAAAAAATAATACAATCAGAGGAATAGAACAAATAAAGAACGACAAAATTCCGAAAAACTATTTTTACAAGCTTTTATATTCAACTTGACCCGTTTGTTAGTATGTACACTACCGCTAAAAAGTTTTGGGACAGTGGATTTTTTTGAGGGAAATCAAATCAAACTATAGAGTTCGGTTAATCAAAAAAATTAGAAAAGAAACTATTTTCCACTGAAACTTAATCATTTGGTAACTTATTTCTATCAAAATTTACTTTAAATTCGTGATTCATCGAAATGTTCACCACGAGCCCGAATAACTGCATTACAGACACGACTCATCCGACGTATCAATTTTTCAAGCATAGTTGGTGATAAGGATACCCACGCTTCCTGCAGCTTGGCCCACAAGTCTGCAGCACTAGTAGGCTCTTGTTGCTTCACCTGTCTGTCCAATTCATCCCACAAATATTCGACAGGAGACAAATCTGGAGACTGGGAAGGCCACGTCATGATATTCATTGCACCAAGTTCTTGCTGCTGGTCCAAATAATTGCAGCATAGTCGAGATGAATGCTTAGGGTCGTTGTCTTGCTGAAATTCGAAATTGTTCCCAACAATCCTGAGGGAACAGCATGGTTTTCCAATATTTCCAAATATTGCTCTTTTCGCATTATACCTTTAATACGAACCAAATCTCCTGTTTGATCTCCAGCAAAACATCCCCAAACCATTACACTCCCACCTCCATGCTTAACAGTGGGCTGCAAACATTGCGGAGTCATGCATTCATGGGGTTGGCGGCGTACAAACTGTCGTCGTCGAGATCCGAACATTTCAAATTTGGATTCATCCGACCAAAGGACTTGATTCCAATCGTCAATGGTCGAATCCTTGTGTTCTTGGGCCCATGCTAACCGGTTGCGTTTGTGTATAGGTCGCAGGAGTGGTTTGCGAGCTGATACACATCCTCTAAGGTTAGCCTTTGTAAGCGGCGTTGTACCGAAGACACGGACACGGTATTTTCCCTCGTTCTATTCAAGCTGTGGGTGAGTTCAGGCGCAGTTAAATGTCTGTTTCGTTTACTTGTTATTATTATAAGCCTATCCTCAGGAACAGTTGTAACTCTACGTCTTCCAGGGCGTGGACGATCTACGACACTGTCTGTTTCAACTTCATCAAAATTTATATTTTGTATTGCCTGTGTTCGATGTTTAATATACCAAGATTGCTAAGCCGCGATTGGGTCATTGTAGCCGCAAATAGTTTTTTTATTAATTTTAGTTTACTGAAAATCCTTTCACATACAGCTACGGACACGCAAACCGTCATGAACAATTTTAGTGCAATCCAGTGGCGGCTCGTGATTTTACAAATAGGTGACGCAGGATTGACCGACCCCCCCCATACCATGTAGAGCGCATACACAAAAAAAAACATGAAATAACTTACCTAAATTCAGTAACTCGAAAACAAAGTCAGGATTATCAGGCACTTTTCATTGTTTATATATGAGAGCAATTCGTCGGTCCTTCAAATTAGCAAACTTATTTATAACGTCATCGTAAAACGGCTGTGACACTATCAGTTCATTTAATAATTCTTTTTCGATCGATATTTTTGCCAAGTTCGTCAACCGATCTTCCGACATGGTACTTCGTAGATAACTTTTGATTCGCTTAAGGCATGAAAAACTGCGTTCTGTCGAAACACTTGTTGATGGAATGGTCAGTATTAAACACAAAAGCTTATATGCCTCCTTGAAGATACTGCGATTCTCAAATAGCGATTCCTTTAATAAGCGGGGTTCCATATTTTGATATTGATCATCGCTATAGATCAGCTGCAATTCATTTTTCAGTCTCTGAAAATCTGTGAATGTATTTGAATAAAACTCCTTCAAATTACTTAGGGCTTCTGTTGGAAATTTTTCTGAATATGTTTTGAACTTCGAAGTGTCCATTAACGTCACAAAATGAAGCTTTTCCATATCTTGGAAACGGGTCGTGATTTGCAGAGAAATAGTATCCAAAATTTCAAAATACAGCACTCTATATCTTTCAATAATTTGATCCCGAGACAATGTTACTCTTGTCCTGCCGTCGCGGTGTTCCGTTTGTACACTTGTTTTTGATGCAGCCAATTCGAAAATATTCTTAAATGTTTCTTCATTTCTCTTCTTGTTTAATTGTGTTTGAACACTTTTAATTTGCTTAATGCAAAGGTTTATATCAAAAGATTTTTTTTGCAGTGTGTCGAATAGTATATCTGTCATTCCAAAGATCTCGTTAAAAACAACAACCAAAAGCACGAATTCGAAGTCATGGAATTTATTTAGAAATCCGTCGCTCTGTCTAACCGAGGCTTGATCGGAGGTTGGATCATTAATAATTTCAGTAAACACTTGCTTTAAGGAATCCCACTCCTTATTTATAAAACTGATAACTTTAGAATTTGATGTCCATCGCGTAATAACGGAAACAGGTATTCGACGTCCTATTATTGAGTCTGCTACGTTAGTTCGTTTCGGAGAATGGTGAAAAAATGTCGGTAAACCACTTATAGTTGCAAAAAAAATGCGGCATTTTGTAATACTATTGCAACTTTGTTGTAACACTAGATTCATGCGGTGTGCGAGGCAATGAACAAAAACTGCTTGGGGTGCCTGTTCCTTTATTTTAGCCTGAAGACCATTTAACTGTCCGGACATGACGCTTGCACCATCGAAACATTGTCCAACGAGTTTTGTTTTGTAATCAAAATTTTGTAGACACCTTGTCACGAGGTTAAATAATGCTTCAGATGTTCGGCTGCAGCTTACATCATGAAATCCTAAAAATCTCTCCACAAGTTTTCCTTCAAGATTGACATAACGGATTATTATGCTGCACTGCGATTTGTGGGCAATATCGGTGGAATCATCCACCTGAATGGAAAAAAACTGCATTCCTTTATTTCATTTTCCACATATTCATCAATGCATTTGACAATGCAGTCAATAATTTCGTTTTGAATGGTTTTAGAATTGCCCGCAAATATTGAGGCAATTTTTTTGTAGTGCTCCTGAATGTCTACAGGGCTTATAGATACAAATGCTTCTAGGAGCTCTTTGAAATTTCCACGGTTAATAGAAGTCGTCTCTTCGTTGTGGCCACGAAACGCCAGTTCTTGTTTGCCCAAAAAAAGGACAGCGCGTATTGGCAATTCCATGAAACGTCTATTAAGTTGCACGTTTTCGTTAAACTGTTTAATATACAGCCTGGAATTTTCGCGTAAAGCATCCTCAATAGTAGTGAGATTTTTCTTCAATTTTGAAAAACCTAGTGCGCAACGCATATGATCCGATGATCCTTCATGTTTACGAAGAGCACGAGTCACATTCCCGAAATCATTGAAACCGTACTTGCTCCACACGGTTGCTTTAACACTTACAATCAAACACGGCACACAAAAAAGTTTATTTAAATAATAGCTACCACATAACCATGCAAACTCACTATACCACGATTTTTTAAAATTTCGACTGTACACTTTGTCCTTAACTTTAGCGGTTTTATTTACATTTAATATCGGAGAAGGTTTTTCGGAGTTTAAAAAGTCTTTTTTATCATCATTACTCCATTGAGAAAACGATTTTTCCAACATAACACAAACCGTATCATAGACAGGAAACATTGTTCAAAACAATGAAAACTAACCTCGACACAATACGATATCGGTAATAATGCAGAGCAGACTAGACGCAAATTCATAATTTGCTTCACTTGCCTCGGCCAAAACGGAAGCGCGCGTGCCGTTGTCATGGCAACCGTCGTATTTGCTCGTATCTGTACTGGACGCAGCAATGCGGTGTAAATAAAGCTGCTTCAGGTCTCTGTTTCAACACGCCAAATTAAGCGCAAACGTAGGCGCGTTGTTTTTTGCGGGGTTTCTCAGTATTCTGTTGATCGCAAATACAAATAAAGAATGTCCGAAAAATAATTTTTTAAGATATAAATGAATTTTTTTTATAAATTTCAAAATAAAAAAATATATTTTTTTTGAAATTGCAGGTGAAGCAGCGCTTCTCACCTGCGTCATGGGGCGAGCCGCCACTACTGCAATCATAAGATTTGGAAGAGATTCTGTAAAATTCCATTCTTCAATAAACTTTGAAAAATCTAGAGATACCCAATCAGAAACTGTTATATTAGCGGTTTTTAAGTGTCTTCGCAGTCTTGGAATCTCCAAAAGTGATTCTGTTTCTGGGACCTCATCATGAAAATCAGTTAATTTGGATGTAGCTAATTGCAGTTCTTCAGTATCTGCCAGAAGCGAAATATTTGTTTGTACGATCTCGAACAATGAGTGACTTCGATCTTGCCTGGAGTTCAACTCTGAATCAGTCAAGACATTCCAACATCTCTTGAAGTTCTTCTTTCAGTGAGAGTCCTGCATCACTGGCCATCTCACCAACCACCCGTTTTTTACGACGAAGTCGTCTTTCTGTTAGAATATTAGTCTTCTAATTTTTTTTGCCTCTTCCACAATGTGACCCCGTTTTTCTTCGATAGTGCCTCTATTACAGTTAAGCCTTTACTTTGCGATGCAATCTGTGTAGCATTCATTTCCCGAAGAACATCATACCAGAAGAATACATAGCATAAAAAAGTGTAATTGCATGCATCATGCATGAGGTTTGTGCAGCGCCTCTGGTGTCTATATTTTCTCCATCACACAATTCTTCATTGCGTCTACAAATCCTTAAAAAATCTCTGCTAGTGCTTTTACTGCACGGTAATGAGCACTCCAACGCGTTGGCTGAGAGCCTTTTAACAGATAATTTGCTGTGTTTCATAAGCACTTCCCAACGGCTAGTGCAGGCGGAACGAAATGAAAAAATTGTCTCTATCGTTCAAAAAAATATAACGATATATTTTGTGCAAAGGAATGTTGTCCATACAAATTAATCGAGTGATCAATACAACCAATAAAAATTGCTTTACTGTTTTAATAATGGATTCCTCCTCGTGGAGGAATCATCGAAGACAGCTGTACTAGCGATTTATTATTCTTTTTGTTCGTACAATGTAACGACTAACGACTACAGAAAATTTTCAGTAACCCAAAGTGAAAATGATTGGAAACAATATACAAAATCAAGAAATGAGTGTGTAGCAGTTCTCAGGAGGGAAAAGAAAAAATACTATGATAAGAAGATCGATAGCAATAAAAATAATTCTAAAATGTGGAAAACATTCTCCTAAAAGAAAGACTGAATTATCTAAAATGCGTTTCGAAGATGGGGTAGTGACAGACACATAAATTATAGCAGAAAGAATTAACACTTATTTTATAGAAAGTGTAAATCAAATAGTGAAGACGATTGAGGACAGTGATCCAAACTTATGTCTATTACAAGTATGTCAGAATTCACCAATGAAGCAACTCAGGATGATTAACATCAACAATCTAAGAAAAGCTATCTCAAAATTGAAATCTAATAAAAATCCAAGTGAGAATCTATCAAAAATTATTCTAAATGATTGTTTCAATATAACTGGAGAGAATTATTATTATTGGTGAATCATTGTTTAGTACATGGTGAATTCCCATCAAAATTAAAGTGTTCCACCATTACTCCTGTGCCAAAAGTTCAAAATTCTCAGCTGTATACAAATATGCGACCGATTAATGTCTTGCCCGATGTCGAGAAGCTGTTCGAAGGGATAATATACGAACAAATCATAGAATTCATTGAAGAAACCAAAATTTTGATAAAAAATCAAGCTGGATTTAGAAAAAAGAAACGGCAATCCAAATGATGGTGGAAGACTGGAGAAGAAGTATAGATGAGAAAGAATATATTGTAACAATATTTTTAGACTTCCAAAGGGCATTTGAGGCTATAGAAATTGCGTCACTATGGCTTTAAAGTATTACACATTTTACAAAATTATTTAGTAAATAGAAGTCAAAAAACTAAAGTTGGAAATATTATGTCAAGTGTTCAAAATATATCAGTAGTGGTGCCACAGGGGAGTAAATTAGGGCCGTTACTATTATTATTTATATAAATGATATCTCTGACATTTTAGAACACTGCAAATTTCAAATATATAGCACATAAGCACTTGGACATTGCTTTAGAACTGTTAAATAGTGATATTGAACAAATTATGGATTGGTTAAATGTTAATAGGGAAACATTTAGGTGACAATACAATTAGGCTCATGATTAATGATGCAAAAATTGAAGTAGTCGAGTTATCTAAATATCTTGGTATATATGTGGATAGTAAGCTAGTGTTTCACGAACATTATGAATACATTATTTCAAAATATCGAAAAAGATAAATACTTCTATAGAGTTTTCCATAATCTTAGTATGTATTCCAAAAAATTGTGTATAACACTACAATTCTTCCCCATTTTTTATATTGTTCAACCATCTTGTTTACAGCAAATGAAAACATATTTTCAAAATTACAAATTTTACAAAATAAAGCTATGAGATTCATTTAAATAAAAACAAATATACTAGGATTAAGTCTATGTTAGAAGAACTGCAGTGGTTGGATGTGAAAAATTTCATATATTACTTAGTTCTCGTTTTCATATTCAAATTAAAAAATCATTTATTACCACCACATTTAGAGAACTTCACAACATTAAATAGTCATTATCATAACTACGAAACTAGAGGCAGTATAGATTTTCATCTGCAAAATTGTAATAGTAAATCTATATTTCAAAAGGGAGTATTTGAATTTAATAAATTGAATAATGATATTCAACAGAGTTCCAATTTAAAAATGTTTAAGGTGAAATTAAAAAATCACATTATGAATAATCATAATACATAGTGACGTAATTTTAATTTTAATAGACAAGAATGTAAAATTACAGAAATTGGATTGAAGTAAAATATGTAACCGAATCATTATACAAAATTGACATTGTACCATTAATGATAAATAAATCAACAACAACAAAAAAAAAAGAATGTTCCTGAAGTTGAGTCACCGGGTGACCAAACAATCTCAAAGAAAACCACGCCGAGTAAAACAAAACATATGATCTGTACCAACAAACATCTGATTTGCAGGCTCTCTTTCATTGACAGAAAGTTAAAACTTCGTCAAGTTTAGCGTCAGCGTTGCAGATGAACGTTGTGGAATTTCGGCTTGTAAATAGTTTAACATCAAGCGCATAATTCAAATTGACCTTAAGGACGCGTTTGGGCTACTGAGCTAAGAGTTAATTTTGTGTCAGTATTGCTTACCCTTGCGTATCTTCTCAAAAATCTGTAGCTAATCGGAATTCCTAGATTAAAATCGCACACTTTGAGCAAATTCAGTTCCATTCGGATCAGGTCCCGTCTCGAGTAAGCCCCGTCGCAGATGTACAGGAAGTCTTTTATTTGAGGCGGGATCCTTTCGTCGTATTTGCTGGCTACAAACATCGCTGCGGCTCCCACTAATTGCAGCGTCTCTCTAGACACTGTCATTTTGCTAAAATGTACATTAGTTTCAGATTTAATTGTATACATCAATATTACTTCCGAATCGTAGAGCGAAATTACCTTAAATACATGTCAACTAGCTTTACACCGACATATAAAGTTTCGTGGTTCAGTTCAAAACTCTCCTGAATTTCAACCATCCAGTCAACAAGCAGGGAACGCATCCATTTTGTCAAGCAGATCTGCCTGTCCATATAATCACAGATTTGAAACAATGTCTGAAAAAAGAAAAATAGATTTTATTTTCTATCCACAAATATGAAGGAAAAATAGTTCAATCTATGATTGCACTGCACACTGCGAAAAAAGAACTTAGTGAAGTGATTTTAAAATTAAGAAATACAAGAGAGCGGTGTTTCCAAGCGGTGACCAATATCCAAGTACTACACATGCTACCTCAGATTTAGCTGCTGAGGCATAAATACATGTATCATCGGCATACAGTGCAGTACTGGTTTTTTCAAATTTTGATAAAATAGCAAAAAAGCCAGCGACACGCGGTGTTCCCAAGCGGTCACCCATCCAAGTACTAACCGCGCCCGACGCTGCTTAGCTTCGGCGATCGGACGAGAGCCGGCGTATTCAGCGTGGTATGGTCGTTACCGACGGTTTTATAGTCCGGACAGCAATTTCCAATACAATTTGATAAAGAAGCTAAAAATAATACAGCAAAAAAGCTAACGACACGCGGTGTTCCCAAGCGGTCAGCCATCCAAGTACTCAAGTACTAACCGCGCCCGACGCTGCTTAGCTTCGGCGATCGGACGAGAGCAACGATTTTACCATCCAGATGTGGTTGAGGTATACTAGCAATCAGTGGACATTTCTCTATTGTGTGGGAGTAAAATTTCTCGGTTTGTGCTTTAATGGCTTGTAAAATAGTTTTGAATCCAGTGTCCTGTTGCTTTAGATTTTGTTTTATGTGGTGATTGGTGTCTCTACGGGCTACATTCATAATTATCCTCAAAAACTTGTTTTCTATCCTTTGGAGAAAATTAATTTGTGTATTTGATGCTGAACTGTAAACCTCACGGCCATAAAGAAGTGCAGGCCTAATAACCTGTTTATATATTAGTAGCTTGATGGGCGTATGCAGTTTCCTAGTTGGGCATATTAACAGGTACTTAAAGGGTCTTCAGCATAGCGTTAGCTTTAATACGTATCGTCTTGATGTGGTTTTGAAGTGTCAGTCGTTTATATATCGTAATTCCGAGGTATCTAGCGGTTTTACTTTTCTAAATTTTTGCGTTTTTCACTGTGAGGGGTCTAAAGATTTTGATTTTATGTCTTGCAAAATTTACTGTACAATTTAGAACTTCTTTTTTATCCGCATTTATAGTTATTTTATTTTGTTTGAAAAACGGAATGATTTTCCTGTTGATGTGAATGTCTACCTGTCTATTGATCGACCAGCCAAAGATTGCTAGGGACGAAAGGGGGAAATGCGATGAAAAAACCTTACCATTAGACGATTTTATATGGAGTCATAGGCGGAGATCGGAGAGACTTGAATTATTAATTGAATTTATATTTTATTACAACTGGTAGTATTAATATTTTTTTGCGATTCATAATGACGTGATACCAAACATACATTATAAGAAATAAATATACACAAACACTGAATATTGAGAACAAAATAAATATATTTTTTAGGCAACAAGTAATATTCCTATGTACGCATTATGATTGAACAGCAAAACAAATTATGCATTCTTCTAAAATAGAATACAACAAGTCAAAAATATCTGACTGAATAGAAAAATATAGGAAAACAAAAAGTAATTTCTTGATGAAATAACCCATAAACAACACATAGAATTAGACTTTCTACTGAGATACTAAAAGCCACAAACCAATAGTATAATAAATGAATATCTAAAAATTCTAAAAGGTAGCCAATCTAGTATAGTTTCAATCCTGATTAGAGTCATGATCACTGTCTGAGGAACTGTCATTGCTATCACTTTCACCTCCTATGTTGATTATTATTTCTTCCTGTATTTCTTGAATGAGACTGTCTTTTTCCCAATATTCATCTTCAATTTTTATAACATGTCCAATAACCTTTTGCCAGTCACTGGCACTTACTGAAGCGATGGCCTTATTAGAAATTTCATCTAGTTTTTTTATAGTAAATTCGCCGCTTGTATTATGGCTTCTAATGAAAAATTTTACTTGTGCCCAAATCATCTCTATGGGATTAAACTGACACATATAGGGTGGCGTTCGAAGTGGGGTGTGTCCGAAACTTCTTATTAAATTATCTATCTTATAATTTTTCTCATCAGATGGTGGCCTATGTAGACAAGCTATTTCATAAAGCTCCATTTTTTTAGCATTAGGATCATGCTCTATACCTTTTTTGCTCAACCACGTGATGATGTCTCTTTTTAGAGAAGATCTAGTTGGAGGCTTGTCTTCCAAAGCTGAATGGTAAGGTGCATTATCCATTATTATAATACTATTAGGAGGAATGTTAGGAAATAGTTTTTCAGTAAGCCACTTCGTGAAATTTTCTTGGTTCATTTGACCGTGATAATCACCAGTGGCACAGCCAGCCTTGAAAATGAGACAGGCTCCAGGAACAAAACCATCTTGCGAACCCGCATGAACAATTATAAGTCGTCCTGGAAATGAATAAATAGCCTCATTTTAGTGTTATTTTAAGTTTGCCAACACCTTTTTGAATCACTATGTATAAAAAACATATTTTTGAGAAAAAAATACTTGCAAGGGATTATGTATTCAATTAGACAAATTAAATGAGCACTTATTAAGAATATTCCAAAATTGAGAAAAATGTATAATAAGCAAAATCGAGGTGAAAGAAACTTTATTACCTGTAGAACTTATATTGCTCAGGACACCCATAATTTCTTCGCTTTGCCAGCATTTCTTGAAAGTGAGGTCATTATCAACCCAAGTTTCGTCCAAATAAATAATATGCCTTCCTTCTTCCCGGAACTTTTTAATAGACCTAAGATACTTGTATCGCCAATGTAAAATACTGGGTCTTTCCATTAGTAATTTCCTTTTGTTGTGGCATTTACGCCAGTAAAATCCTTTTGCTTTTAAAAGCAGCCTCAACGATTCTTTACCAAATGGAAATTCCATTTCTTCCTTCAGTTTGATTAGAAGTTTACTACAAGTAGGTACCACTTTAAAATCACAGTAAAATTTTTCTATCATTCTCCGAATAATGGAAAAATCGACTCCATCAATTTTTTGGATCACAGAAGGGCGTGATCTCTTTTTTCCGGGAGAAGCTAAAGGCTGTGTGGAGGTTGCATTTTGCCTGTCTTTATCTTCTTTTCTAATTTTACTTATAGTTCGTTCACTAACACCCGTATAATATGCCGCCCTTGCATTTCTAGCTACCAGTGGATAAACGAAAGTATTGTTAGCCGCTTCTGCATCGCAAGCACGTATCACGTTTGCTATTATTTCCCTTGCCTGGCTGTGAATAACTTTCCCATGCTTGAATTCCATTATCACCACTAAACAGTAAATTATATTTTCAAAGTATTTGCCAACTGCCTACGCCTATGGGAGTAGGTTTATAAATGACCGTGCCATCGGCACGTTATTCTAGTTTCAGATAAGATAAGAGTTTTGGACCAATCAGCGACCGGATGTTTACCTGCGGCCTGGGTTTTCCAGCTACATTGCCAAATTCAGCGGAACAATTCTATATCTTAAATATGTTAATATGTATGGACCGCATTTTATGTAGAACATCTGACAACTTCGCAATTTTTTGTCCGCATTCTTTCGGCTTGCAATCTTTCGCTGGTCCAACATTACATGCTACCTCAGATTGAATTGCTGAAGCATAAACACAGGTATCATCGGCATACAGTGAAGTGATGTTTTTTTTCAAATTTTGGTAGGTCTGATATAAACAGAATAAAGAGTACCGGTGATAATGATGACCCTTGCGGAACACCTGCGTTCATATTAAAGCTCCCGTATTTATTGTTGTTAATTCTCATAGAAAACTTTCTTGAGGACAAGTATGAGTCGATCAGATTTACTAGATATGAGGGAAACCCGAAGTCTGCTAACTTTTCTATTACCTAGTTTGTCTGTCCAAACTTTATCAAATGCTTTTTCTATATCTAACAAAGCCATTACTGTACTTTTACCATCATTGAACCCTTCCTGGATATGGTGCATTACTCTAGCTATTTGGCCCATTGTTCCGTGGCCTGCTCGGAACCCAAATTGTCCGCTAGGTAATATTTTGAGTTTTTCTTCTTTAAGTAATACACATAATATGAAACCAGCTATCACTTTGGCGATAGTACTTAATAGTGAAATAGGTCAATAAGAATCAGCTAGATGGCGATTTTTGTTGGGTTTTAGTATAGGGCATATTATTGCCTTTTTCAGTGGTTCTGGGTAATACTGTAATCGGATTACTGGATTAATAATGTTTGTAAACTGTGTAATGGCTTTGTTAGACAGATGTTTTAGTGTTATTTTATCAATACCGTCTTCACCCGGAGCTTTATTGTTAGCAAGCGGGGATATTTCATCTAATACCTGTTTGGGTGAAACGGTAAGATTTCTTGAAACGTGTTTATGAATGTTAGTGTACCTATTTACTCTAAGCTCCCAGACTTTTCGGTGGTTTTATAATCTTCTTCGATTGTGTCAGGCAATGTTGTCCATCTTTTTTCCAGATTTTCGCCTTTATCTTTATCGGTTAAGTAAAAGTTACCTTCGGCCTGAAGGGCGGGTAGCTGAAATTGTTTACCTGCATTTTTAAGCTGCCTAGAGATCTTCCAAATATCCTTGTCACCTTTTGCTATATTTTTGAGACGGTTTTCCCATTTTTGTGATTGTTCATTTATGATGTCAGAGTTTATTTCCCTAGATAATTGTAAAAGTAGTTCTTTGTCTTCGGTATTTTGGTATTTTTGCCATATTTTCCTGATGCTGTTTCTGATTTTGATTTTAACTTTAATTCCATCTGATATATTTCAAAGTCCTCATGTATTGTTGTTCTTCCTACTGCACAAGTTCTACTAGTTTGGACAGCTTTTACAAAATTTTCAGTGGCTTCGTCTAAATCTTCGCGTGTCTTTATAAATTTGATTTCAATATATTTGTCTAAGTGATATTTAAAATATCTCCAGTCTGCATCCCGATAGTTCCACACAGTTTTTGTATCTCTATTAATTTTGTATTTTATTCGGAAGCTTATTGGGTTATGATCAGATGAAAGTTCATTTAAAGTGGTTACTTCTGATAAATTTTCACAATTTTTGTTTAAAACTATATCTAAAACTGATGGGGTGCTACCATTAAATGGAAAATGTGTCGGGCTATCTGGATAAAAAGTACAACATTGCTGCCGAAGCTAAAAATAATACAGCAAAAAAGCTAACGACACGCGGTGTTCCCAAGCGGTCACCCATCCAAGTACTAACCGCGCCCGACGTTGCTTAGCTTCGGCGATCGGACGAGAGCCGGCGTATTCAGCGTGGTATGGTCGTTACCGACGGTGTTATAGTCCGGACAGCAATTTCCCATACAATTTGATAAAGAAGCTAAAAATAATACAGCAAAAAAGCTAAGGACAAGCGGTAACCCATCCAAGTACTAACCGTGCCCGACGCTGCTTAGCTTCGGCGATCGGACGAGAGCCGGTGTATTCAGCGTGGTATGGTCGTTACCGACGGTTTTATAGTCCGGACAGCAATTTCCGATACAATTTGATAAAGAAGCTAAAATAATTCAACAAAAAAGCCAAGGTCACGCGGTGTTTCCAAGCGGTCACCCATCCAAGTAGTAACCTCGCTCAACGCTGCTTAGCTTCGGCGATCGGACGAGAGCCGGCGTATTCAGCATGGTATGATCTTTACAGAGGGTGTTATAGTCCGGACAACAGTTTCCGTATAAAATTTGACAGAGAGACTAAAAATAATACATAAAAAATGGTAAGGACGCGGCGTTCTCAAGCGGTCAAACATCCAAGAACTAACCAAGCTCGACACTGCTTAGCCTCGGCGATTGGCCGAAAGTAATTCCAAATATAAAAGAAAAAATTATGGGAGCATTTAGAAATGCAGCACTTCATGTCAGTGGCTACATTGACGTCAAGTGCTACTGTAGTTCTCTAAGTGCTGCCATTAACAATGGACTGAAAAGCATGTGAGAAACCTCAAATGAATCAGGATTTTTTGTGAAATTTTGGAAATGAGTAATCAAGAAGTTCCTTACCTCTCTTTCTTTGAGGTAGTTGAAAATATCCATCGCGTAATGTGACACTTGTAACACATCATTCCAATTTTCCTTGTCAAAGTTATCGACACCTTCAGGCACTTCACTATCACTCAAATTCAGCTTAGCTTCAATTTGTTTTGCCACTAATGAAACGCCCGATGGCCTTCTGGCTGAATTTGACGGAGGTTCCACCATCTTATTTGCTGATCTGAGGTTGTGTTGGGATTTCTTCGCGCTGAAGTAGGTAGAAGCAACACTTTCATTACTAAAAGGGAAAAATGAGGATATAAGGGTAAACGTATCGTGGTCGAACCCGCAAAAATCATTTATTTTTAATTTGAAGTCGATCATTTGATACGCAATTTTCAGAAATTAAGACGGTAATCCCATAATAATAAAAGAAAATATAAATTATAACAGTTTTACAATTGAAAGAATTAAATTTTACATTAAAAAAATTTGTGAAATGAGAGGTTAAAAAACAACTAATTTAAGTATATTTTTGTAAAATAAATATTTTAATGTGTTTTCTAAATTTATCATGATTTAGCAATTTTATGGCTCGTCGAAGTTCAGTATAGAGAATAACTACGTTGTATGTGAAGAATTCACGAAAGAAAGTCGTTTTGTGGAGAGGCATTGTGAGAGTATCCGCGAAACGAATATTTCTGGGTATAAGTGATTAAGTGTAACTCGTTAGTTCTTTACTCTCAGCCATTTCGTGTCACATTGGTCAATCACTCCCGTTAATTGTGCATTTGTCGAAGTTCGACGTCTGGATCTCGTTTACGTTCTAGTTTCCATTTTCCCGGGTAATTGAGCGGCGGCCTTTACGCATAGGTATGTAGCACGCTTCTCTCTTGTACACACTAAAACTCTGCCGACCTCAACCGTAAATGATTCGCACGTTATAGTAACAAAATCTATATAACATCTGTAAATGCTTTGAGTTTTTAGTCGAGTTCCAAAGTAACTTTTTTCATATTTCTACCGACACGTAGAATACACTACATTTTCATGAAAAATTAAGGCAATCGTCTTGTATTATATCGAAAAACCTTCAAAATGGGGGGAGAAACATGTTAATATAAGTTCAGGAATCCGCTGAAGACGGTTAAAATTTACTTATTCTTGGATAAGCATTGAAAAAGCTACAGAAGGCAATGAACAAATTTAATTATCTAGTGCAGACGTAGCATTTCTGCTGTTCACGATTGGTGAATTATTTCAGATTGTTTATCCTAGACATATTTTTAATTCAACTTCATTGACCAGCATAACACTGATGCTACAAAGTTTTTTGAGTACACTGTGAAATAGAAAGTATTGTTATATGAAGCTAATACAATCTTAATGTTAAAAAATTAATTTTTAGTACCATTCAAACTCGTATCAAATGTGCTCTCATATTCACCCTATAAAAAAAATAGAAATATTTTATTGCATTTGCTTGTAGAAAAATTCTGCTGTTTTCAAATAGCCAATATTTTTGACAAATTGGAAAAAATGTTTAAGCTCAATCCTTGCCAGAGTATTTTTTTGTTAAATTAATATCATCATAAGTAGAAAATGTTAAGTAACAAAATTAGCGTGATAACATCGGAGAATGGTTAAATTTTTGATGAAAAGAATTTGACTGCAATTAAGTTGCTGGCGAACGTTGGCATATACATCTTGAATGCCATTATCTCCAGTAACTATAGATAAGGTCTAACTCATACCTCTACAAAAAGTACTTGTACATCAGAGGATGATATTACCTTAGATTTTAATGTTTATGCCACATTTACGACTTTTATGGTGTATCATTCATGATGAACTTGCAAAATCGCAGTATAGTAAAGGATACATGTTAACACAATGTTACAAAAGAATACTTACATTTCTTCAAGAGCCGTACAATACAGCGTTTCCTCAGTCTTTTCAAATTCATTGCTGAGCCTTTTGCCCTTATTAACATTGCTACTATCCTTTGCCGTCTCCTTAGGCGCCTTTAAGGCAGTCTGATCTGGGACCACCTCCCTTCTTTGAGCACCTCTTGTGACAATTTTCTGTACTGGTGCGGCGGGAGGCGGCAAATTTTCATTTTGTCTTGGTTTTACTACAGTTTTTACAGAAGGAAGCTTTTTCACCTAGAAAACATAGTGAAATGCAAAGGTGTCAGTGGCATCTATCAAAGAGATTATTTAGTTAGTAAAAAAATTGAATCATTTTTCATTTGAAAATCGCGTTGGTTCATTGTCAGGCAAAGAACATTTCTCCCTACCCTTGTAGCTTACCTTTTGCTACTAAGTCTATCGCCTCTAAAGTAGCCTCAGCCGTAACATTTTTTTATGGATTTTTAAAAATATTTTCGCCTTACCTGTACTGTAAGTTTCTTTGCATTCGTCATCACAACCGCCTTTTTGACATCTTTTTCCTTTTCATCTACTTGTTTGCTACCTTTGTTTATCTGATTATCAGCTACATTAATGTTCCTCTCTCCAAATGCAATTCTTTTATTCTGTTTGTTCTCTTTGGATGGAGAAGCGTCTGCTTTTCGTTTACTGCTTATCGTGTTTTTCAGTTCATTTGGTAGCGGAATTCCAGTTTTGGTTCTTGTTGGGATAATGTTGCGTACTGTGATGCCAGTTGGCATTATTTTTGTCTTTGTTGGAGGCATTTTTCGCTGAAGTGAAAAGATCATTTTGGTTTATAACCCAAGAAATTTTCCTTGTGAAAATCTCTGTCTCTAGATGACTATACCTTGGATCGTTTAACACTTTTTATGCGAGTTCATAAGAGAGCTACTATGTTTTAAGGTTTGAAGCAATATTAGTGAGATATCCAGGGGTAAAAACAATATGATATGTACAGGGTGTCCAGTGGCAGAAATCCGATTTAAAATCTAAATTAAAAAAAAAACTGCAAAAAGGTAAACATCTATTTTGATAACTACTATAAAGAATTGTGCGGATTATATTTCTTAAAAATCATGTAATGTAAATGTTGACCATTACGTCGAACACACTCTTGAAATCTCGCCTCAGTATGTCGTGCGACTCGCTGCAGAAGTGATTGTGGGATAGCATTAACCTCGCGAACGATATTTTCTTTAAGAGCTAATATGCGGGTTTGCTGCTGATCCACGAATGAATTGGTTCTTCACTGCTCCAAGCATCATGTTTTCGTCGAATATTGTACCGCAAACAAAATTGTCGACGAGCAGTACCACGCGATTCATTCACCCTTAAATAAATAAAACCCGCATGAATGACCAAGGTAGCGCGGCCCCTTCCCCGCTCCCCTGCCTAACGGTTACGAAAACAGTTGATTTTGAAATCCGAATTCTGTCACCGGACACCCTGTATAAAAGTGTCCAAATCAAAATACAGCAAGACCCCTCCTACTCATATGTACATTATTGAAATATTAAATTTATGATCTTTCCTATTTCTATGACGCTAGATTTTAATCTAAACAAACCCTACAAGGAGTAAACACATATTTTTCAGATTTAATTAACTTAATGTTTCATCCAGTAACTAATGAAGAACAAATGACTCAAAAAGGTCTTTTTGAGATTTACACTTCAATATATACAGAATTCCAAGAAAACCAGTGGCGGATCCAGGGGTTATCCTGGGGGTCTGGACTCCACCAAATCTCACCTCTCTCAATCGTACGTTTCCTATTGCAAAGGCCTTTTTGAGATTTACACTTCAATATATCAATACTTATAGAATTGCAAGAAAACTAGTGGCAGATCGAGAGGGGTATCCTGGGGGTCCAGACCCCCCACCAAATCCTGCTCCCTACTCTTCAATTATCAAATCAATTATCGAAACGCCCCCAAGATGAACATAAATCTTTCAGCGCATCTCCCATCAAAATTCATCATGTGCCCCCCCTCCAGAAAAATATTTTCTAGATCCACCTATGAAAACCCTTTTTGTATTAAATGGGGAAGAAAATTTAATCCTAATACAAAACTTGAACTTGTACTAAAGTCAAGGTCAATACAAGGTCACCTGTTTCTTCCAACATTAACCATCATTTTGGATATTATACACCTATAGATGATTAGAGTTAATTAGAAAATAAGACTATACTTCTACATACAGCATTTCATATGAAATGAAACTTGACCTTGAAGTGAGCAAAAGGTCAAGGTTACTTCAAGGTCAAGATCTGGATTGGATATATGAAAATAAATTAAAATTATATTAATATTATTCCTATGCTACTCCTATAAAGGAATCTGATATTTTACTCTTGACCTACACAATAGTTGTGTAATGTTCCATCTGGAAAATCCTGGAACTTAAATTTTGGCCCATTATAGCTAAAAAGCCTTATATAAAATCTAAACCAGAGGACCTCAGACTTAGAAACACACTTATGGAACAGTCCCCTTATTTTTGAAGAGCATTCATCCACAATTTAGACTTTTTTAATGCAATATTGTTACAAAAATTACAAGGAATATATCTATAGAATCAACAAAATTATCCAGAATCAAAAACCACCACTCTGTGGAGGGCTGTATAGTCATTTCATCTCATATTTTAGTCACAAGCATGATACAGTTTTGATAAAAAGTACATTTCAGCTCTTTTATTCCATCACCTACTACTATAAATAAGAATAATACAAACATGAACAGAAAAATATAGAGGAAGCAAAGGCAATCCATAGCTCATGTGCGATGAGGTTTCTGGTTTCTTCAAAAATTCAGATAAATTGAATGAAGCATGGAAGCCATGTTTATTGAAGAAAATCTTTAATACCTCGGAAAGCAGAATTATAAACTAGATACGCTATCAACATTAAGAAATTATAAATATAAACAGAAAAACCAGTATGACCAATTAGGTATAAAAAACATCTTTTGGGGATTCAAAGATGCTTTATTAAATTTTATAGACCCATCCTACAAAAGTTTATATAATTCTTTATACTCTAGCAATGATAGTTTTCTTCTTCAATAAAACATAGAACATAGCAAAACCGTTTCACGAAATTCGCACAATTTTAATCCCGTGTTCCAAAAATGGCTGTTAACGGATTTAACAAGAAAAATGCTTCTATTTCCATCTCACGACAGCTAATGGTAAAAAGAATGAAAGGGATATATAAAAGGGATCTTTAAGTACTTACCTATGTATAAAATAATATAAAAGTAATACAATATTTGTTATAAAATTGTGTAAAACATGAAAAAACACCACATAAACAGTCACTTTAATTTATGTCGGTTGTTGACGGTTGATCTTTTTCAATTTGGATTTTTGGGGAAAATGATTGGTCAACTGGGAGGAGCCAAAGTAATGGTGGGGGGCATAGAATATCAACAAATTATCCAGTTGATAAACGTCATTTGTCAGCTAGAAGGAGACTACGACTCAGCTTAAGCGATGTAACTTCATTAGTAGCCATTGTCTAGGTTGCTCATACATTTTGAAAAAATAAACTCATAGCTCATAGTTAGGATTAGTGAAACCTCAAGTGTAGACTCAAAATTGTCATTCTTTCATTCCATTTATAAGCAATTCAGCGGATAACCAAATGGAAATGGTATTTACCATTTTGGGTTGGTATTTACACCATCCGTTCAAGCGAGTGTAGTTATCAGTTGGGTTATAGATCCGTGACGTCACGAATCAGCTGTTAATAGGTCATGTTTCACCGAAAAATTGTGGTTTTTACCCAACCAAGAGTAGTTTTATATTTCTGGTTATTATTGAAATGTGACAAGTTAGAATTATACCGGGTATTGGATATTGTTATTGTACTTCAGCCTCATTATTGAGAAAAATGATAACAGGCTGACTTCAGTTTACCATAAAGTGGAGCACTTATTAGTTATACTCATTACAGTTGTTGGGACACTTTAAATGTAGTTCCTATGCTTAACAAAGTATCCTGTGTAGCCATACACCACAAGGATATTAAAATATGGCCATATAAACTCACTAGATGATATCCACCTGTATACGGTTTTGCTAATTTATTTTTTCATCATTTCTGCTGAATCAATAAATGTTTTCTTTGACATGCGGAAAAATTTAGAGAATTGAAAGTTATCATAGCTACAAAGCCATGGTACCATCATTAAAAAAAAATCTGAAAAAACATTTCTCCCATGAATATTATGAAAGGTTTCTTATTTAAACTTTCCATATACAGTTGTAGACGAAAAAGCACCGATTATTAAGTGATAATAAAAATAATCAGAGATTATATACGCGCTTTTCTAAAATAAACAACTTGCAACAAAACCGCGGTTAAAACCAACGCGTTCAAGCGATTCGTGTAACTGACGTCATCAACCCGTGTGTCATCTTGAACCATATTATAACCGCGGTACATAACACAGAAATTTTGGTTATTCGCTTGGATTTGATTTACGTCTCAGCTTAAGCGATGTAACTTCATTAGTAGCCATTGTCTAGGTTGCTCATACATTTTGAAAAAATGAAACTCATAGCTCATAGTTAGGAATTGTAATTGAAACCTCAAGTGTAGACTCAAAGTTGTCATTCTTTCATTCTATTTATATTTCTTATTCTGAGTTGCTGTTTTGTGGCTAGATTCTTTTTGATTGGTTGAGGAGATTGAATGACCTAAATAAAAAAATGTCAGTAAAATCTTCGAAATTCTAACCTCAAAAATGCAAATATTTCTGTCTTTGGATATTTTGTTTCTCTAAACTAAAAATAACGTGTGGTGTTCTAGTAAGATATAAATAGAACTCAAAAAGATGAGCCAACGTTCATTCACAGTCAAATATTTAACCTCGAAAGACTGTTTTGTGTATATTTCCAGTGCTTGCAGAATTTTTGCCACAGGAGTAAAAATATTTGTTCAAAGTCGTTATTTTATGATTAATTAATATATCGTTTTCAGACTTGTATACAATTAACACATAATGGAAATCAAACGGGCTACTTTTCTGTGAAATCTTCTAATGCAGTCTCTGAAGAGTTTGATATTGGAATCAGCGGTCTCTATGCCAAATGTCTGGGGATAAAAGAAAATACGTCTGTTTTAGCCTCTGAAGTTCAGATTCCCGCTATAAAAACTGTTAAAGTCATACCAACAAGTAAAAGTGACTATGAGATTTTGGTAAGGTTTTTCAATTTTTAATCTAACTTTATGTAACAACATTTTGTATTTAGGAAGGATTTTCTGATGTTGTACAAAATATTCTTCTAAGTCAGATACAAGTACTGTATACTGGGCAGTGTTTTATAGTATGGATTGGAAATAACTTACATGTAACTGTTTATGTTGGTAAGAATATTATATTTATGATACATTATACCTATTCTCTTTATAACTAAAGATGAAATAAAGATGTATTTCCATTGATATTCCTATTATTTGCAAAAATTTTTTTTAGGCAGACTTTCTCCATGAAAGTTCAACTTTGTGTTATGATATAGAGGGTGATTCAGAAAATTGTGGCAATTTTTCTAGAGCATAAGGTAAATGAAAATATAACAAAAGTTTCCATAAGCATATGCCTTGAAATGTTCCATTACCAAGGAAAAAATTAGGTGTTTCATATGAATTTCAACATAAATAATTAAACCAATTTTCTTGAAAAGGAAGAATCTAACAAACATTTCTTAGGCAATCCATGTGAAATTGAATACCTCATTCAAAAATGCAATAGATGCTTCAACTTTTTTTCTGTGAGAGTCACCATTTCTCAATTTCTATACCATTGGTGTAGTTTAGGGCATGGAAATATTATACACATTTTTGTCTTTGAAGTTATAATTTCAACAACCACCAGCTTAGCATTTGAGCCTTATATAAAATTTTCAGGCTATTTTCTAATATAAATTATGCCCTAGAAATATTGCCATTGTTTTCTGAATCACTGTGTAGATACTATCATGTTCAATTCCAATGTGACATTTACCCTTTTTTAGGCGATATTGCACCCGTATCTCCTGGTACAATAGGCTTCCTAACTGAAGTAGACATTGATCCTGACTCCAACAATATAACAAAACCTAAGGCAGATATCCAGAAAATGGAGAAATCAAAAAAAATATCATCAGATTTATCTAAACTCAGAAAAATGTTAGGCTGCTATGAAATTGAATGTGATGAAATGTTAGGAAAGTTTTTATCCTACAAGTATGACCTAGTTTGTAGAATGGTTCAAACTAGTAGGTTACCATTCTTAGAAAAAATACAAGATCATTGTCATGCTTTTAATGTATTCTTCTCTAAAAGTTATGTACCAAAGGAGTGGGCAGAAAACTCCGTATCAAAACCATTAGTCTGTCATTTAAAACTATTATCTAATGAACCTACTAGTCAAAAGTCTTTCTATGTGAAGTTACTATTCTTAGAAGATATTTACCCTGAGTTAAATTTAGACATAGGCAAACATCTCTTTGTACATGATAATATTTTTCACCACCTAAAGAGCAAATTAGGAGCTAGAGTAGTGCTGAAAACTGTCCAAGAGTCATACCAAATAAATAAAATAGAAATTTTGACCAAAAGGATGAATTTGTCAAAAGTTGTAGAGAAGTTTAAAGAACACCTTGCTAAATATAGTGATAGTGTAATAGTTTTGAATAAAGGCATGATTTTTGAGATTGAAAAAGATATAGCAGTCAGCCTAAACTTTGATCCACCAGATTCAGGGTTTTGTTTGATAGATAATAATTTTGTAAGACAATGTAAATATGACTCACAAGAAGATTATATAAAAATTGAATCTGAGAAGGAAGAGCCTGTTCACCATATAATTGAAGATGTAGGAAATTTTGACACTATTGTACAAAGTGCTATGGATATCTTTTCTGGGGCAGATGCATTTGGAAACGTTCTGATCATTGGTAAGAATGATATTCAAAAAGATCATGCTCATTGTTTAAATTAAAAGCGGTAAACAATGTACAGAGATGAGTCAGGCTTTGCCTACAAAATAACGGACGTTTTGAACATTTTTTATGATTTACCTGTGCTTATTTACGATTATTATTGTTATTACCATCAATAAAGTTTTCATGTTGTGTTTAGGTTTCACAATGCCTTTCTATTTTCTCATAATTTTCATCCAAAAACAAATTCCTGGCCAATTAAGGAAATACAACACTGAATTTAGGACTGAAAATTCCATTCAAATGTACAAAATTTCAATACAGCATCCATATGAAAAAATAAAGTTGGTGAAGTCTATAGAAAAAATGTCGAATTGAAAATTTGACTGTGTCCTCTCATAGAGGAGAATAAATAACAATGACAACATGCATAAAGTTAAGAAAAAATAAAAGTGACTTTGGGATCAATCTAGTAGGCAAAACAAATGACAATCTCATAATTTCAAGGCCTACCTAGGAAATTCTGCTTTTTTGAGATAATTAATGTTAGGCAATGTCAATGTATGACGTATTATATATTGTTAGAATCAGAATAAAAGACTATCCATGAGTGCAAAAATCCAATATGGCGTCTATGAGAAAAAATAAAGAGTCGAAACGTCATATTGAAATTCTAAATATTATGACATCTTGTAGAGGAGGAAAAGTGGCAGTGTTTATGTGCAAGTTATATTGAAATCCCACAACAAATAAAGTGATGAAAAAATGTAAACTTTCTAAGCGACATTTCATTGATCACCTAAATATGCAACTTTGCCCACATTTGAGCATATTCATATCGCTTACAGTTTCTGATATCCCAATAGTGAGGGTCGAATTTGAAACACCTTGTATAAGTTCATCAAAAAGTTTAAAAACCTTGTCTCTCAGCACTGATGAGTACTAGCACATAAGCATGAATCAACTGTTTTCTTAAAATATCATTTGAAATTATTTATTATTCTTTAATATATTTCTCTTTTTGAATAGGGCAACAAGGGACCGGGAAATCGTCCTTACTAAGAGCTATACAGCATAAAGTACAACAGTATCCAAAATACATGCACATAAAGATGATAAAATGCAAGAGTATCAAAGGCAAAACAATGGATTCACTAGAAAGATTATTTCAAAATATTTTCCATGAATTAGTATTGCATCAACCTTCATTGTTAGTTATAGATGACTTGCATGTTATGTGTGAAAATATCAAGGATGATGAGTCTGCTCCAAATGCTATATACTTCAATAGGTAAATGAATAACCAAATTTGGTAGGTGTTAAAATACTATTTCATTATTGCTTATAGGATAAGTGAGATGTTCCATAATTTCTTGAAGCCATATATTACAAAGCATGTTATAGGAATATGTGCTACATCTGAATCATTGGAAAAATTGAATAAAAATATGTATTCATCTAGAGGTAGTCATGTATTCAAAAATGTTTTCACAATAAGTGAATTGGACAAGGTAACAACAAGTACACATTCTTAAATGCTGGATTAACTCACAAAATAAAATGGATCATTTTGAAGAATGTATTTTAATTATTTTTGTTATTTTTAGCAAGACAGACAAACTATTATGAAACACTTACTTCAAAATTATAAAATAGTTGATATTGAGTTTGACGAGCTATCTGTGAAAACAGATGGGTTTGTGTTCCAAGATATGGTCAACTTCTGTGAAAAGGTCATTTATGAAGGACTGAAGCATAGTGGTCAGTTTAGATTAAAAAAACCTGTTTGTAGAAAATCAGCATTGTTTTTAAGAATTACTTTCTTTTTTAGAAGACGATGAACGAGTAGAGATAACAATGGAAAATTGTGAAAAAGCATTGGAAAATACATGTATTTTATCATTGGAGAATGTAAACTTGCATTCCCCTGGTGACAGAGATTTTTCACATATTGGTGGACTTCATGATGTCAAACAGATACTTGTAGAAACCCTTCTATGGCCTGTCAAGGTAATTTAAAGTATATGTAATACTTACAATCTTTAGGGTCGCGAACATCAACCAAGAGTATTCAAAACTAAATTATTTTGTTGCTGAAAATATATGAAATGAGGATGTTTAAGCTAAGATCGATCCCTGGGGCATACCCCCGTTGACTTTGTGGGATTAAGAGGAGAATTTGTCAATTACAACGGATATCTTGCGGCTAGAGAGGTCGTCAGCCACCCATCTATAGCTTCTCTGGGTGACCAAATGATGCAGGTTTCTATAAGAGGGTAGCATATGCCATAGCTGATCGAAAGGTTTTGTGACATCAAGAGAAATGACATGAGTATCACCATAACACTGGACGAGTTTACTCCACATTTGCGTGACGTAAGCTAGGAGGTCCCTGGTTGATCGCTGGTACCAGAAACCATGCTGCCTGTCTCTAATCAAGCCACCATGTTCCAGAGTCCAGAAGCTCCCGATTTATCCCCTTCTCCATCACATTGCCGATAACAGAAAGCTGGGCTATAGGTCTGCAGTTGCAAGGGCCAGTCGTAGTTCCTCTTTTACAACCTATGCCAAAACTGGCGAGGAAATACTGTAATTGCCAAAAATTTCGAAAATGCGATATTGTTTTTTTGGATGTTATAAAAAAGCTTTTTAGTTTCTGAAAATCGGTCTAGTGGTGGCGGACCCTGGGGCAAAAAATAACAACTGCTTAACTTCATTTTTGACGTTTCAGAGGCTCCTGATCATTTTCGTACATTTTTTTGTAGGGGTTGAAACTTGGGGGTGGCAGTTGTAAGTTGTAAATCTAACGTCATTAGTATTAGTCAAAAATGTTTTATCATTAAGAAGCTTCAGATTTCGGTAAAAACGTAAAAATTAAATGATAAAAGTCTGATGTATAATTAAATAACTTGGCTACCATTGGCATTGCGTGCACGGCGCGGTGCTGCATCGTCGTGGAAGCCACTGCTGACTGTGCAATGGTTAACAAATTCCAACTGGTCCGCGGTGGTGTCACTGACCCACCGCTTCAGGAGAAATACCTATATATTTTAGCAATATTTGGATATTAGGAGTTCGTACCACTTTAGCGTTCTGCGATGCTTTTGTAAATTGTGACTTAACTGTTTTTATATCTACACATAAATATTTTTCTGAATTTTATGATCCTTAAATGCACCACCCATTTCGCCTAACCTTTGATTTGTGTTACTCTGTCTACGATGGTTCTCATAATATTTCATCAAGTAGAATGACTCAGTACATATGACGCACTGGTTTACAACCGACAAGGGCTGACAAAAAGACCCAAAAAGAAACATGGACTTGTGTGATGCAGATATATTTAAGCAACAGAAACACTTGTGAACTGAAGTTCGAATATTACCGCGAGCTTAATACTTCCATCGTTTAGGTAGTCGTAGGTTTTGAAAATTGATTCAGAGGCGGCAGAAATAAAATCGCTGTAGTTACAACACTGACTAATTTTCATTTCATAGTAGGCTGCAACAGTTGTCATCATAAGCTTTCATCGATGGCAGAAATATTTTTCCATGCTGGACGTATCCATGCTGATAAAATTGGGACAATTTGGTTAATTTGTGCTAAAATTCAATAAACAATGGAAAACAATAATGTTTGCTTCCTCGAATTACAGCCCAATCACAGAGAAGTAAACAACTGAATATAGGGAACCAGTTGCACCGAACTGCACTGGTGTTGCTATCTGTTTTAATAAAAACAAAATTTGTCTAGAGTTTCTTCTCCTCGCTAAACGTCTTTTTTGCATAGTCACACATTATAATTTCTAATGATATAAGATTGAGTATGAAATATTTTTTTTGTGAAATACTGTAGTAGTTGAATTTGACAGACGTGATCTGCAACCAGCGGTGCAACTGGTTGCGTATGTTCAGTTTTTTGCTTCTTTGTGATTGTGGTGTAATTCGGGGAAGCAAACAGATTAGTATTATGCATCTTTAGCACGAATGAAGCCAATGAATCGCCCGAATTTTTATCATCAAAATGCTCAATAGATACAGCCAGCAAAGAAAAATATTTCGGACATCGATTACAGCTTGTGATGACAACTGGTACTGTCTACTGTGAAATGAAAATTTAAATCATTCCTTGAACGTTCCCCAAGGAAAGAGAGATCCATTGTTTTCAGGGAAGCCTTAAGGAATGTCTATTAATGTGACTCTTAGAAAATTATCTGTGTATTTACGTGTGAAACAAAACATTGGGTAGAAAAATAATCATATTACAGTCTAATTCCATCTTGTTACAGTATCCACAGATATTTGCTGACGCGCCTCTTCGCCTTCAATCCGGTTTGTTATTATACGGTCCTCCAGGTACTGGGAAAACTATGTTAGCAGGAGCTGCTGCCAAGCAGTGCCGATTGCGGATAGTGACTGTGAAGGGGCCAGAGCTGCTTTCTAAATACATTGGGGCTAGTGAACAGGCGGTTAGAGATGTATTTCAGAAGTAAGCATCGGTTTTCAGAGCCTGGAAAAATAATATAGACCGACCAGATTTTTAACCAGAAACCTGAGTATGGTATAGTTTCCCGAAAGTTTTTGCTGCCTGAATTCGAATCTGTGGTTCAAATTTCTCATTTGGGTCTGCTTTCCGAGATGTACTAACTTGAAAGAGTAAATTTTCAATTATTACTAGGTAGCTGTTATTCTACCGTAATGGTTACTCACTAAAAGGACAATATGCCTATATTAGAGGTTATGTTGCACTGCGAATTATCATTTTTTTAATAAACTATAGAATCATTTCAAAATAGAAGCCTCGTCATTTCAGATGCTGTTGAGTTTCCTTAATTATCTTTTTCTTTCGCTGAGGTATGGTAATTTTCATTTTTCCGATCTAGATCAGTTCAGCTTGAGAAGTAGTTGTTTTATTTAACTCATATATTTCCAATTAGATTTGTCAATACACACTGTGGAACAAAAATAAATTGCGACAAAATCTGTTTACACACATCTATATTAAATAACTAAACACTATAGTAGACTTAGCACAAATAACAATTGCTTTTAAACACATGTCAATACCTATTATACAAATGAAGGCTAATGTTAAGTGACATGGATATTCTATTTAACAACCCATGTATTTCTCAATATTGTATGGCTCCAGGTCTATCAAAAACTCTTTCAACTTCCTTTTAAAGATCTGTTCATTCGTGACAGATTTGATAGTGTTACCCAATTTGTTATAAAGTTTAATTCCCATGAAGTAGGGCCCTTTCTCGTATGAGGTTAATCTGTGTTTTGGAAAAGAGATATTATTTGTTCGAGTGAATACTATTTCAAAAATAAAAAATTACTTCTGACATAAGTTGAATCGCAGGGCTATTACGAAAAAAACCTATATAATGTCAAGAAAATCGGTAAAATGTCAACTTGTGCACTAGGTAGCCACTAGTTACTTGTGTGCCTACTACCTACAAGTGAGCATAAAGAGAATGTCGGGTAGATCAAAGGTGATATTTTATAGGAAAACGTATATAAAGTCAAAAAATATATCGATATAATGTCACTTTTTAAGTTACGTCATATGGGTGCCGATCTAGATTAGACATGTGAACATTTCAAAGTGTCATACCTCGGCGAAAGAAAAAGATATTAGAGCAAACTGAACAACTTTGTGAAATGCTTGTACTTTGAGATGCCTGCAGTTTTTTGAAAAAAAATCGCAATAGTTCGTAACCTTAAATAGGCAAAAATGTTGCAGCTTTAGATTAGGATGTTTTGGAAACTAGAGCCAATTGAGGGATTTGGACCACGGACTCGGATTAAGCGCATCAAAAACCTTCGGGGAAGTTACGGTTGCTGGGTAAGACGGCCGGCTCACTTTTGTTGGCTTGTGTAATCCAACACCTTATAAAATGAATAATAACTTCCTTACTATTGTTTTTTTTTTCATTTCAGGGCTCAACGTGCAAAACCATGCATTCTATTTTTCGATGAGTTTGATAGTTTGGCTCCTAGGTATGTATCTCTTAACTATTTGCAAAATGCTAGCCGAATTTATATTGGAAATTGCAACGTTGAAGGTCATTTAGGGTAGGATTTTCAAGTATAGAGTTTCAAGTTAACCGGTATGTGACTTAAATTCAAATATCACTACTTTTTATTGATAGTTTCCACTACCGCATTTCCTTTTGTAAGTTTTATACTCTAACGAAAACACTTGTAACTAATTTATCACACAGTTATAACCATGTCGACTGGACTACTCCATGTCGACTCCGCGCTGTTACTGACTCATCGTCCGCTGTCGACTTCTACTCTACCTTCTCTGTGTATTTATCTTCAATCGACGAGTCCAAAGGGGTTTCGCGTTTTTTCGAGTCTTCATCGGAGTATGTTAGATGTTTCTTGAAGTCTGTAGAACGTTCTCGATGCGTAGTCATATAATTGGTTGCCTAACCCCGAGAGTGTCTCACAAAGTTCTTCTAACGAGGGCATTACAATGCATTTGGTGTTCATGGCCACAAACTTGGTGAACCTAGGTAAACAGGGGTGCTAAATCCAAACAGGATCATCAGATAATTGCCGGGGACATGAATTTCGACAGGGTGACCTCAAATCGACCGGAAAACGAGTCTTCATCCAGATCATATGATATATGTTTTTTTGTTCACAATAGCCGCATTTCAATTTTTACTTCCTACGCCACTGGGAAGTATTGTAATCGCGGAAACTATCGAAAATGAGAGATTATGTTTTTTGGATGTTATATGACATGTACATCATGAAAAAACGTCCCTCATTTCCGTCGGCCTGTCTCTGTCTGTCTGTCAGTTTGTTCGTAAATCGTTGCCCCGTCTATAACTTGAGAAGTACCACGCGGATTTTGATGAAATTTTTACACCAGGTTTGCTACTATGCCAAGGACGAAAAAACTTTGTAGATCGTAAAACGGTCCAGTGGCAGCCAAAACACAAAACGAATATCGCGCAAACTTCGTTTTTTGATGTTTCAGAGGATTCTGATCATTGATAGATTTTTTTTGTAAGTGTTGGAATTCACGCATCATAGATTTACCCGTACATTTGCCTTTAAAAAAATGATTAAAGATAAGTAAAAAGACCTGTGATTTTTGTTATAGACGTGGCCATGACAATACAGGAGTAACAGATAGGGTGGTGAACCAATTTTTGACACAGCTGGACGGTATTGAGTCGCTTGTAGGTGTTTGTGTTCTAGCAGCGACCTCTAGACCTGATTTGTTAGATCCTGCTCTATTGAGACCTGGGAGGTTGGACAGACAAATCTTGTGCCCCTTACCCAACAAAGTAAGTGAATCTATGAAATTAAAGACCTGAATGTTGGGGATGCTGCCAATAATGAGCAATGTTCCACGACTTCAAAAAACAGTATATTACATATCTAGTTTGAGAAATGTGCCATTAATTGCATTCTCAAACGAGGTATGTATAGACTTTTTTTATACTACTAGTTTGAGAAATGTGCCATTAATTACCTTCTCAAACGAGGTATGTATAGAATTTTTTTTATACTACTAACACATCAAAAAAATATTCGATTTTACATAACGATCATGCCATTTCAAAGTTATTTTACACTTGTCGTGTTTTACAAATGTCTAGTCACGTGGTGTCAAACTGGCGTACTCAAATTAATGAATGCAACAGATATCTGATCTTAGTTTCGATTGGTTCATGAAGGGGCGAAGGGTATAAAATGTCTTGTTTTTGTTAACATTTAAAGCCGTTTTCAAACATTATGCTGATTATTGAGGTATACATAATAACCAATGAACAGAATTTGGGTAGTAAGGTGTTGCATACTCCAAAAATAGGCAACCATTCGTGGATGTGTTTTGAGGTTGAAACTACGTTTAATGAGAAAATATTGGCTTTGAAAAGTTAGCAGTCACCCTTACACGCCAATATCACTGATGTTTTCAGTAATGCTGACACTTACTTCTCAAAAATCGTGGATAATAAGGAGAACTGCATGAGAGAAGCACAAATTAGGAAAGTGGCATATCAAAGGAAAAAGCCAACACTACTTCTACTAAAATATAAGGAATCAACAAACAAGTGTTTAACATATCTTAGGATTAAAAAGAAAAATATTATGGAAACAAAATCGATAGCAATAAAAATAACAGTAAAGTTATGTGAAAAACACTAAAATATATTGTATCCTCCGTGAAAGGAATGAATGATCCATAATGCGCTTCGAAGAAATATAGCAACAGAAAAAATATTAATTGCAAAACGAACGAACGCTTATTTTATGGAAAGTATAAATTAATGAACTTATCGAAGATGGGGATCCAAACCTATGTCACATGCAAGTTATTTATAATTATTCTATGAGTTAATTCCAAACAATATACATCAGCAATCTAAGAAAAGCTATTGCAATTCAAATGGAAATCCTAATGAACATTTTTCAAAAATGGTTCAAAAATAATGTTTCAACATTATTGGTTATTATTGCTGGTGAATCACGGTTTAGTGTATGGCGAATTTCCTTCGAAACTAAAATGTACTACAATTACTCCTGTTCCAAAGTTTCAAATTCTAAGTTATATACAATTAATATCTGCCAGATGTCGAGAAGCTCTTAAAACGAATCATATACAAGTATGAACAAATCATATTGAAAAGAAACAACATATTGACACAATTTCTAACAGGATTTAGAAAAAAATATTCTATTGAAACAGAAATTCAAATGGTAGTAGAAGAATGGAGGAAAAAATGGATAAAGAAAGGTTTACAGTATAGTATTGTCGACAGGTGGTGTGGGACGGAAAGCTTAGCTTTAAATCCGTACAAGACCACCGTCGCCACTTTTACACGAAGGCGGGTTCTAGAAGGCCACTAACCCTGCATAGTGTAGAGATCCACTATGCCAGCGAGGCAAAATTTCTTGGAGTCATCTTTGACCAAAGATTAATATGGCAATCTCACAGAGAGAAAGCTACAATAGTCCTAGGAAGGTGTAGACAGATGTGCGGGAGAAATTGGGGGCTGAACTCAAAAATGATCATGTGGTTATACATGAGGGTGGTGAGACCCACGATAACCTATGGATCACCTCTTAAAGTTACGAATATTATTTCCCTAACACAATGTATATTAACGATATTCCTGATGTTTTATAACGCTGCAAATATTTGCTGATGATACTTCAATATAATATCAAATAAAGACATTGTAACTGCAATAAAGCTGTTGAATAATGATATGAAAAATATAATTGACTGATTGAATGTGAATAAACTCAAATTAAACACAAAAAATCAAAATGTATGCTTATAGGAAAATATTTAGATAAAAATTCGATTAATCAAGGGAAAATTGAGTTAATCGGATCATTTAAATATTTGAGCATATATGCAGATAGCAAATTAAAATTTGAAGGGCATTTTGAATATATTATTTCAAAAATATCCAACAAGATTAATTCCTTCTATCGAATTTCGCATAGCGTATTTAAAGTGTTATATTGTTCGACTATCTGGTAACCTGTAAACGAAACTGTATTTTCAAAATTACAAATATTACAAAATAAAGGTATGAAAATCATCTTAGATAAAAATAAATATACTAGAATAAATTTTATGCTGACAGATCTACAATAGTTAAATATCAAAAATTTCATAACTTAATTTTTATTTTCATATTCATTTCATGGAAAACCAGAATCCATGGTAGTGGAATCTTATATAAAAATATGTAGACTTGAAGACATAGAATATTATGTGATATACTGTGTAACATTGGTATTGTAGCATCAATGTTAAATAAATCTACAACAAATAAACAAACAAGAAGGTGAACTACATGAGGAGCTGTACTCAAAATTACAGTTCAACAGATGGTTAATCGTTATGCAAATCTTCAGCAATAGTTCTGGGTGGGTTTTCGCGTTTTCAGAGGGTTTTTTTCGGTTTCGGAACGATCTTTGAGGGTGACGTGTTTGGTATATTAAAAAACCACAGATAACTTCATGTTTGCTTGTCGCTTTGGTAGGCTGGACATCCTTTTGGGAGTGCGAATTCCTATCCCAGGTGGGCTTTATTGTTTTTGCGTTGATGCAATGATGACTTCATACAATCTCATGCTGCAGGACCGTTCAGACTATGGTAGTAATACACTGTATGGGAATCTGAAAAAGACAAAAAAAAGAAAAGAAACATCACCGGGAAGTCAATTGTTCTGGAAAGAAACCACAGTGATGGTCGTGCAATAAACATTCGGACATACATTGGAGTCATGCATTTGAACACCACATGATAAGTTTCAGGAGTTACATTAAATACTACTTTGTCTCAGGAGCTAGGACATTGCCTAAGTTGGAAGCATCCTCAGTATTTCATACCATTAATTTCAACTCACTCTCTAAATTCATGAAGATCGTTTTTATTTGGCTATAATATTCTTGTTGTAGGCGGAACGCTTAGAAATTTTGAAGGTGATCTCAAAAAATCTGGACCTAGCTGCAGACGTTGATTTGGAAGAAATCGCCAAGTCCACAGAGCATTTTTCTGGGGCAGACTTGCAGTCTCTGATGTATACAGCTCAAATGTTTACAGTTGATGTCGTCGACGGCAATGAGGTAAATATTGTGTTTATTAAAAAATAAAGACCGAAAGTATTAGAAAAGTTTGTCTTGTTTGATGAGATATCTGTGAGGACCGATTTTTTTACTATTTTTAGGCGGTATCAAATCCTAACATGTTGTTTATCACTCAAGAGTATTTGAGAATGGCGTTAAAGAGAACGAGACCGTCTTTACCTAGCCATGAACGGTTAAAATACGATAGAATGTAAGTATGAGTTCACATATTCATTATTTTCTTCTACTAGTTGTTTTTATGTATTACCGCCAGATCGGGGTACTTTAGCCCTACGGTGCTACTTAAGCCCAAACTGTTAAAAAGTTTTCGCTTTATGCCATGCCAGCACATTGCGACGTATCGATGTAGTTCGCCTAGTAATCGATAGATGACTCTATAGTGATATTGGTAGCACATTATCTGGGGCTCACAGCGCATGCGTAGATTTGAGGTTAGGACAACAAGTATCTATCTGCAGAACACGTGAATTTATTGTGTGCAAACTTTCTCACGAAACCAAGTTATCAGGTAAGTTGCAGTTCTTTTACGTGATCAAATGTATCAGATATACATCTGAGATGATGTTGGAATACGAAACAAACGGTAAAAGTAATTTTTGTGGAGAATATATTCAAATTAATATATCAGTATATTTTGGCCCACGCTTTCGGGTATTTTGGCCCATGGGCCAAAGTATCCTTATAATGATTTTTCATTATATTTTTATATTAAGCCATTCAATTGAAATAATGCGTTACTTTTTACCTTTTAGATACACAAAGATGCCTACCATCTATAGAAGGAAAGCGAGAAATCGTCGTTACATTGACTACACTAAAGAGCAGTTGGAGCAATGTTTAAATGACGTGAGATCCAAGATACGGACTCAACGGGCTGTTGCAGCTAAGTATAAAATTCCTCGTAGTACGATAAAGAATAAACTGAAGAATAAGCACTGTAACAAACCCGGCCATCCAACTATATTCACAACAGAAGAAGAACAAGCATTTGTTGCCCATGTTACAGCGCTCTTAGAATTTGGGTTTCCGATAACAGATATTGACCTCAAAATTATTATCAAAGACTACTTGTCAGCTCGTGGAAGACAGGTAAAACAGTTTAATAAAAACATACCTGGCACCGAGTGGGTCAGAGGATTTCTCAAGCGAAACAAGATTCTGTCTAGACGATTAGCAAACAATATTAAAAAAGTAAGAGCAGCAATTTCAGAGCCAATTATTGAACAGTTTGTTGAAAATTTGACTGTAGAGTTAGACAATATTCCACCAGAGAATATCTACAACTACGATGAAAGTAGCCTTACCGATAACCCCGGAAAAAAGAAAGTAATTTGTAGACGTGGCACAAAGTATCCTGAAATGATTTTAAATGCTACAAAAGTATGTTTTTCAGTCATGTTTTGTGCGAATGCCGTAGGGGAAACTGTTCCGCCATATGTTATTTTTAAGGCAGATCATTTGTGGTCTACTTGGACTGAAAATGGACCAGACGGAACCCGGTATAATAGAACCAAAAGCGGTTGGATTGATAGTATCACGTTTGAGGACTGGGTCGAATCTCATTTACTGCCAATTCTAAAGAAAAAAGATGGCCGCAAAGTGATTATTGGTGACAACTTGTTCTCCCATATAAACAAAAATGTGTTAGCAGCATGCGAGGCCAACAACATCAGTTTTATCTGTTTACCTGCCAATGCAACTCATATTCTTCAGCCACTTGATGTGGCATATTTCAGGCCATTGAAGATTAAATAGCGTCAAGTCTTGCTAGATTGGAAAAATACCCCAGAAGAAAGAAGACTTCCAACCGTGCCGAAGGATCAATTTCCTAGACTACTAAAAACTGCACTGGATAGCATGAAAGAAACCCAAAGTTATCTCGTAAACGGGTTCAGGAAAACTGGCATTTATCCTCAGAACGTAGAAGAACCTTTGAGTAGATTGCCAAGGCAAGACAGAATTGTAGATCTCAATCTAATTTCCGGCGCTTTTATGCAAAATCTGAAGCAATTACGGAGTAACGATAGCCCAAACCGAAAGAATCAAGGCAAGAAGAAAAAGCTAGATGTACCTGCTGGTCGATCCATTCGCTCAGAAGATATTTCGGACAGAGAACAAGCTAGTTCTTCAGGAAAAATATATCAGATCCTAAGAAAAATGCAAAGGCCAGGAAGCGATTGATTAGTGAGGTTTCCTCTTCAGAATGCAGTGACACAGACATAAGTTTGGCATCTTCTACTGAAGATCTCATTCTGGCACGAGATCAATCTGATGATGAAGAGGACAACTTACGGCTAGCACAGCTTACAAATCGCAATCCCAGAAGCAACTATGCTGGAAATCTGGAGGCGCTTGGGCCATCAACTCAGCTACCAGAGCCCATTCCTCCGGATTACAACACAAGGTTTATTGAAGATCCGCTTTAAAGAAACTGTTCGAAGTCTGACGGTCAAAGTTGCAGTAATGAAGACGAAAATAAAGAAGGGCCGCCTCTGCCAAATAAAATTAATCCAGATGATGTACAAAAAGCGGAAGAGGAATATCAAAATGGCGATGGTTACTGTATCAATGATCATGTATTGGTTAAGTGGATTTCACGTATTTATCCAGGGAAAATTATATCGATATCTGCAGAAGAAAGTTGTATGAAAAAAGGAAAGTTCTGGAGATGGCCTAACATAAAAGATGAGCAATTATACGCTTGGGAGTCAGTGATAACGAAGATTGTAGTACCAAAATTCGTGAAAAATGGACAATTTACTGTAGTTGAACTTGATAAAATACGTTCTTTATAAATTAAGCCATAATTTAATTGATTAATTTGAATATTTCTTGACAAGATTCTCAATTTTGAAGACTGATGAGCAACTGTAGACTGTCAAGTTCCTGCCTCTTGTTTACTTCACTATTGTAATAACTGAGAGATGTTTTGTTTTCATTTTTAGTATTGAGGTACTTCTAGCAAATGTATTTCGTAATAAGAGAGAAGACTGCCATATTTTGTTAAAATAAATAAGAAAAAGTCATGTGCTGGACATATTTTTAATTTTTGTGACTTTTTTTAGTTTTTTTGTGCAATAAAAAGTGCCTAACAATAATATAATATGTCTTTCTTTCATATTTGCCGATATATACTGTTTACTTTGCTCCACCATTAAATATCAATACGTTGTAATACTTAAAAACCAAGTGGGTCAAAGAAACCATCTCTTAAGTAAAACTTGGCCCTAACTTTAAAAAAAAATTATGTCTAACCCCGAAGTTGTATCAGCGTTTTTAGACTATAAATGTGTTATTTATATCCCTACTAAACATTTGTCTAAATAACACAAACATAGCATCTTTAAAACTGAAGTAATTGTAAGGGCAATAAAAAATATCATTATTTTGGGACAAAGTACCCCGACCTTACGGTATCTCTCCAAGGGAATTCATTTTTCACTTAATTAGTTCATCTTATTATCTAATCTGAAAATAATGAATAATAGTATACATAGATGGACCTATTGACTATACAAGCCGTGACCAAAAATGAAACATCCATACACAGGACCTCATTTTAATGAGAATCTTCTATGTAACATTTATTTCTCGAGGGCTTCAATAAAAAAATATTAAAATTTGGTATGTGGATTTATCTAAGTATTGTCCACATTCAAAAGTCTTTACTTAAAATTAACGTGCACCACTGGGGGAGATACAGGGTATTAGTGGCATTGTTTTTCCAAATAAAAATAGTATGCCACTGTTACATTTATCGAAACGCGCAATTTTTCGGATTTTACATCCAATTTGCTACAAATAATTACTTTTGCTTTTTTTCTAGAATGCCTTGTTTTCGTAAAAATAAAAAAAAAACAAATTAGATAATCAACGCTTTATTTCAATAAATGTTCAAAAAGCCTACCATTTTGACGGATACAAGTGCGGCATCTTTTTAATAAACAAAAAAGTATTTCCGCAAAATTTGTTGTGGCTTGAATTTGATGAAACGCATTATCTATTCTTTCTTCTAACTGATCAACACTATTAATTTGTTCAGCATACACTAGTTGTGTGAAAGCGCAATGTACGGGTCCGTTTCTGCCAATCCATCGTTGCCTAAAATGATTATTTAACCATGCGGTTATCTCACGACGAACATGCGGTGGGGCACCGTCGTGCTGATAATTCGTACTCTCGTTGCTTACGGAATATCATGTAACACATTTTCTATATAATTCTCTAGAAAAGCTAAGAGTTTGCATTTAAACATTGTGGCAATAATAATAATAATAATAATAATAATAATAATAATAATAATAATAATAATTATTATTATAATAATAATAAATGTCTTTATTAATACACATACATCAGTGTGGCGAAGTTTAGCCAAATGGCTACGCTTACACTTAAGCTCACTGTGTGCGAAAGAGTAACATAGTTAAACTCGGTACACAAACAAACAATAGTAATAATAAGAAGAAAAAGAAGTGTAAGTAAATTAATTGAATGGATAACGTGTTGACAACACGTACACACAAGCCAACAGAGGAATATGAAACAGAAAAAGAAAAAAAAATTAACAAATGCACACTTGAACTATTAATATCCCATCAGCTGTTTCTTAGCGAGTCTCCTGAAGGGTATTATTGTTTTACTGTGACACATTTTATCTGTAGAGTTGTATAACTTGACAGCATGAAATGTGAAGCTTTTCTGGAAAAGGGCTGAGTAGTGGACTGGCATCGTAAAATTTAGGTTGTGTCTGAGATTACTCTGATTAATGTTTCCTCTTGGTACTAGCTTTTCTAAAATGTACGGTGGCTTTATGTGCGAACTACTTTATGGACAAACGCCTTCATAGCATAAACAAACTGTGATTCCATATTTAATCAATTTAAATCTTTAATCTTCGAAGAGACATGACTATATTTACGAAGTCCAAATACAAACAATCTTAACTACCGGTTTTCTATCAGCCAAGTAGCTTTGGAAAAATCTTAGCGGAATATCAGATAGTCCAATGTACTTCAGTTTGCTCAACATGATTTTGTGATTAACTGTATCAAAGGCTTTCGAGAAATCAATCATCACTAATATGGTATTAATATGTCTGTCTAAGTTACCTACGATGTTGTCAGTTAGATGGAGCAAAGCTGAAGTAGTGCTATGTCCCGCACGAAATCCTGATTGATGAGGAGGAAACAAGTTATTTTGCTCTAAATATTCCACTAGTTGAATGTACACTGCTTTCTTTAATACCTTCGAACAAAAGCACACCAAACCAACAGGCCGCAAATGATTGAGTGGTTGGATTTTTGACTTTGGCTAAAGGGATGATAATAGCTTCCTTCCAAGCCTCAGGAAAAGTCCCAGTCTCAAGGCATATATTAACAATATGTGTTAAATACAATAATATTTCAGATAAGCAGTTATCTAGCATGTTCAAGTTAATTTCATCACTCCCTGTAGCAGGTGACTTGTTAGAGGTAACTATGTCCAAAATTTCTTCAGCGGTCATCATTCTAAATGTAAATGGAGTTACATCTTGCCTGTTAAAGCTGTTCTCATAAAAGTCGACTGTACTGACAATCAAACGGGAATTGATAATAAGATTTTGGTAATTTAACATGAAGTGGTTATTGACTTCGTTAAGGTTTAATAGATCATAGGGTATCTTAATGTGTTTTTGGGGACAAATATTCATTACTCTCAGCTGAGCCCAACCTTTTCTAGAATTGAGACTATCAAAGCGAGATAAATATGCCTTTTTCTCGCGCCGGATTGAAGCAAGTGAATAATTTCTTAACTGTTTATACGCTGTCCAATTTTAATCTGATGGATTGTGACGAAATGTAATTCAAGCCTCATCTCTCACCTTAAGAATGACCTCAAGTGCCAAAGTTAACCATGGAGCACCTTTGTCGGTGACACGAGCCGTCCGAATAGGAGCATGAAAGTTAAAAACCTCGATAAAGGATTAGAATTTTGGAATTAATATCAGTAATATACAGCATTTCTTCTAAGTCAGCTGCAGTCAAATCCTGCTTGAATTTGATTACATCATTGTTCTTAAAATCCCTATAGGTTATGAATTTTTCCTTCGATGAAACGGTTTTTATATTTAACTCACAAAATACTAGATTGTGGTCAGATATCAGATCTGCATTTAAGGTACCAGAGTTGAGAATACTTTCAATATTATTTAAAAACATGATATCAATTAAAGTAGAACTAAAATAAAAAATACGAGTATACTTTTGAATATGGACAATACGTAGGTTAATCCATATACCAAATTTCAGTTAATTAAAGTTGACGGTTTTGAGGATAAGAAAAAATGTTTTTTTTATTTTTAAACTTCAACACCCCGTATCTTTTTAATGATGCCCTTGAGGAAAAAATGTTTCTTAGAAGACCCCCCATAAAATGCGGTTCTGTGTACGATGTTTCATTTTTTGTCACGACTTGTGAATCACCCTATATAATATATATATATATATACAGGATTTGTCCGGAAAGTAATAGGACTCATTTTCTTCCGCCATGACTGTACTTCGGTAGAGGGCGTTCCTAGCTAACGAATGAGCGGCTGGTCAGTTGTCTCCTAGCACTTGGAGAGTCAGGATAGGTATTTTCGCGCGACGTGTTTCTGTGAGTGGTGCAAGCCGAAAACGCAGCGTTCGTTAGAGCAGAGGTATGGTGTATCTGAAGTCACTTGAAATAGCATAAAAACCTTTGGTCGGCGCGTCCTTTGTAATTTCATGACGTATCATATTCGTGCGGCATTTATTTAGAACGATAATAATAATGTTTTTATATCACAATAAATGGATTTTACTATCTTCTTATTTTTTTGATTTGGGATAAAAAATACTTATATTGGGAGTTTAATTTATGTTGACTGAAAGTTAAGAAATGGAAAAATTACAGAATTCCAACGTTTGACATAGGCAAATATTTACATAGCAGGTAGGTATATAAAGACTTACATTATAGGTATTTATATATCATCCTCGCCTTCGGAGCTGTCGCTAGAGTCATCTTGTAGAGGAATTACAACGGGATTTACAGGAGGCAAAACACAATATTCATTTTCTTTTTCAATAATATGCCTAGAACACTGCTTCCATAGGTCTGTGGCAGCAATATGAGATACTGCATCTCTTATTGTGGCCAATAGCGATTCACTTAATTGAGGGGTCTGATTATGTTTTCTTATTTTTTTTTAAAGCAGCCCAGACCAACTCAATCGGGTTAAAAATGCAGTAATAGGGAGGTAGACGTAATACTTCATGGGCATTTTGCTGAAGCAGATTGTCAACAACATACTCTTTTTCAAATTTTTGTCTTTTAATAAGATCCAATAATATGGCTTTGCTTGATTTTTGTGGTATTTCCACTCCCTTATCCTTCATAAAATCAATAATGTCTTGTTTTTTGTGCCTGTATTCGGAATTTTGTTTTTCTGTCGGGAATGGTATGGCGCATTGTCCATAATAATCACTGAATTTGGGGAAATGTTTGGTATTAACTGCTGCTCTATCCACTTTTCAAATAAGTCGGAGGTCATGTCCTCATGATAGTCGGCACATGATTCTTTGATATTTTTGGCAGATAACAGCAAGGCATTAGGTATAAATCTATTTTCACTGCCAGCATGGAGAATAATGATTCGTTTTCCACGGTTCCATGGTGCATTTAAAATGCACTTGTTGCTGTCGTCAACCCAGCCGTACTGCACAACATCATGGGTATCATACCACGTTTCATCCAGGTAAATCAGATTTCTTTTCTGCTCTCCATAGATTTTAACTTTCTGCAAAAATTCTTGGCGCAATTCAACGATTCGAGACGACTCCATAATCACCATTCTTTTATCTAATTTTTTGTATTGAAAACCACACAGTTTTACAATACAGTGCAGTGAGTCTAAGCATTTGTAATTATAAAAATCTTCGAGATAATCTTTTAATTTATCCCGTATCATTTCCAACGTGGGCACCAAATTTTCTTTATAAAATCCGTATATTATACGACGAATATCTTCCTGAAAACCCACGTCTATTCTTTTTAATTTTTGCCCTATGCGCTTTCTGTGGAAGGAATGGTTGACTACATCTCCCCTTTTTATAACCCGATAAATGGTAGACCGACTGATTTTTGTCAGGATACAAATTATGTTTAAAATTTGATTTTGCGAGGAATCTGGATTTTCGTTTTTCAGACAATCATACATATTTAGGATTACTCTTTGGATCTGTTCCTCTAAATCTTTATGAAAGAATTCTGCCTGCACAGGTTCATCAACCATCTCCTCGTGGCTTGGAGCATTTTCCCAAGGTCTCCAAAGAGCCATATTTAGGACACACAAGAACAATCAACACAACAATTAAATCAACAAGTAAACTGAGTATTCAAAAGTCAAAAACACACAAACTAATAAAATCTATGAAAAAACACGGACAGACTAAAGAAAACACGTTTATTCACCGCTACACGGCACTGGCTAAACTGTTTCAATTTTCAGTAGCCACCTGCACTTGTTCCGAGCTCTGAAATACACGCTTTCTCATTGGCTATGTCCACACATAGGCGTGCTTTACTCCACGTGGACCGGTGAAACTGCCTTTGATCTCTTATACGGGGGATATTTGCTGCGAAATTTGGCAATTTTTGCAGCAACAGAGCGTGTTAAATATAGATATATAAAACGCACCCGGTATTTCACAGTGTTTCAAGTGACTTCAGATAAAGTATACGCGATTAAATTCTATGTGAAACTCGGTAAATCTGCGACGGAGACGTTCCATATGATCAAGCCGGCTTACCAAGGTGTTGCTTTAGCAAGAAGTGGTGTGTTTCGGTGGCACCAGGCCTTTTTCGAGGGCCGGGAAGAGGTCGCTGATGAAGACAGTGCTGGAAGACCTTCGACTTCGACAAACACCGATAAAGTGACTCGTGTGTGCAAAGTTTTGAACTCAGACCGTCGACTAAGTATTCGTTTAATTGCCCAGATGTTAAATTTACCAAAATCTGTGGTTCATGACATTGTGATACAGCATTTGAACATGCGCATGGTGTGCGCGAAGATGGTCGCAAAAGTGCTCACTGACGACCAGAAATGCGGCGAGTGGAAGTCTGCCAAGAAAATTTGAACATGTGTGAAAGTGACCCCCAATTTTTGAATAACGTAATCACAGGTGACGAGTCGTGGATCTTTGAGTATGATCCCGAGACAAAGAGGCAATCTTCCGAGTGGCACACGACGGCGTCTCCTCGCCCAAAAAAGGGAAGAATGAGCAAATCCAATGTGAAACCGATGCTCATTGTCTTTTTGACATCAAAGGCATCGTCCACCATGAATTTGTTCCTCCTGGACAAACCATCAACGCCAAGTTTTACGTGGAAGTGCTCAGGTGACTCAAACGAAGGGTCAGTCGGGTCCGACAAGACATCGCAGCCGACTGGAAGTTGCACCACGACAACGCCCCGGCTCACACCGCCTTTCTTGTGAACAGCTACCTGACCAAGGCCGGCATCCCAACGCTTCCGCAGCCGCCCTACAGCCCAGATGTGGCCTCCCCGGAGTTTTTTTTTGTTTCCTCGCCTGAAAAGGCCGATGAAAGGCAAGCATTTTGAGACGACAGAGGGGATCCAAGCAGCATGCACCGCGGCTCTCAAGGCTATTCCGGAGAATGCCTTCCGTGATGCCTTCAATGCTTGGAAATCGCGCTGGCAGCGCTGCATCGACGCAGAAGGAGCCTATTTTCAAAGTTTTTAAAGAATTGTAACGATTGGCTCAATAAATTTTTTTAAATCGACTCGGTCCTATTACTTTCCGGACAAACCCTGTATATATATATTTATTGTTGGCTACCTTCAGATTTTGTAGATTTTGAGATTACATTACTTGTAGATACGAGAAGTTTCATAAAGGAGCGGCTGTTCAAGATTTTGAAGCTGGCAAAAAAGCTACATTAGCTTAATCAATCTTAAACAGGAAATGGTGCTGCCAGAATATACCTCAGGGGCAAGGAATTGTGCTTTATAACTGTGTTAATGTTCTGTGCCTTCCTAATCGAAGCAGTCTATGTATTGTTGAAGTTAATCTATAGATTATAATTTGAAAATTGTATCTAAATGACAATGCATTTTGTGCGAAATTTGGTAGGCATGAAGGAGTTACCAGTGAGTATGTATATAATATTTGATTGTGTAGATGGAGGACAGGTTTCGCATTTGCTAATAGTGCCTAAAATTCAAGGATGTAAAGAACAGGTTGTGTAACTTTCTTGGTGGTCGAAAGTTACGCCAATATTTCTGTTGTCCACGCGCACCGAGTGGACACAACCATACCTTTACTTCTTTGCTTAATACCGGCTGTGTTCATTAGGGTTTTTTTGGGTTTGGTTTTAATTATTGATATTGATATATAGTCTATACGAATTTTATTTATTGTAGAAAGTGTTACATTATCCCCTAAAATGTATTTTTATGGGACCTAGACCTATTTTTCCCTTGTGTACTTACCGACTATTTTGAGGAATTAATACCACGCTCGGGTGCCGGTTCTACATGGTGTCCCAGACTAATATGTCAACCTCTCAGATGCACAAAAAATACAAAAAGTAAAAAAGCTCCTAAATGAGCTCAATTATAATTTATGGCCTCACGACGATTTTGATCTTTTTGATGCCATATGACTTTGATGTGGCGAGATGTGTCGAAGTTTTCTTTGGAAGTCGATATTTCTTAAGTGATTGCATTTCAAAGTTGTAAATATGAACCTACATACCTGTCTTGAAATGTTGCGTTTGAGGATATTTATCGTTTTTTTCGGACACGTTAATGCTTTTAACATAGGGTAAACATACCAGTTATTGGACAGTTAAGCTTTTTTTGAATTTCAAGTCGCTGCCACTGGAGTATTTTTCAACGGATATCATTCTGCTTATGCCAGGTTTTCGTACATGCATCCTATTTTAAGCTGACTGATTTCAAATATTCCTAATATTACAGCTCTTTAATAAAAATTGAAAAAACCTGAAAAGGTTCCGAAAAGTTAGTTATTGGACAAAAAATTTAATTAATGGACACAAAACTTCCAGTTATTGGACACTGGCAAGGTGATGATTAAAAGCAAATAAAAAGTTGAAATCAGTGTTAAAAAGCTTTTATTGAACCTCAACTATGAATTATTTAAATTTTTTCATTTCAGATTGGTACATATGTTGAAATCAGTGTTAAAAAGCTTTTATTGAACCTCAACTATGAATTATTTAAATTTTTTCATTTCAGATTGGTACATATGAAATAATTCTTCGACGTCCATGTCGTCATAATCTTCAAGATCTTCTTCACTTCCCATTTTAGGTTCCTTGCACATTTTGCTGTCAGTTTTTATTTGATCGTCTGTTTCAATTATTTCTTCACTTTCTATTTCTCCCGGGTTTCCATAAACTTTGCTGTTAGTTTCATCTTGCTCATCCACTTTATTACCTTCCCTACTTTCTACTTGTTTTGATTCGACGGGCAAATTGTAATTTTGTTCCTGTGCATTTATTTCGTAAATCTTCTTATTGCCAATTTCTTTTGGTTCTTGATCTTTATTGCTTTCTATTTTTTCACGCTCCTCATAGATTTCGACGTTGGATTCTTTTTGATGATCTGCTTCGATATCCTCTTCACTTTCATTTTGTTTAAATTTTTTACTCAATCTGCAGTCGATTTCTTTTTCGTTATACGCTTCGCCGTCTTCTTCACCTTCTATTTCTGAAATAACATCATCATCGCTTTCCTCAGTATAACACATATGACACATGAATAGATCCTCATCACGTTCTTCAGGAATATGTTCGTTATGTTTTTGCGGAATACATCGTTGGTCAATTCTTTTCTTGCAGCTGTTACATGTTAAGTAATGATTCTTTATTGTACGAACTTTGCATACAAAACATGAATTATTATCTTTGTCATTACCTTGCGCACTCTTTTTTAAAGCTTTTGCTGCGACACTCTCTTCTCTTTTCCGTTTTCTCTCCAATTTTTTATTTTCTAATTCTAACTTTAAGGCACGTTCTTTTTCAAAACTCTCTTGATAGTCTTTTGATGTTATAGCAAAGGAAACTCTTTCGATATTACGTTTATTCTTTCTTGTTGGTTTTTCTGGAACTACTAAGTAGTCACCTATATTTTTACTAGTAGATGGCAAACTATAGATAGTGTCTTTGCCAGGTTTTATGACTATATTTTGTGTTATATTAATTTGTGGTTCTTTTGAAAGTTGTTTCTCAGATGGATTCAATTCAGCATCCAAATTTATTTTATTTTCTGGCGCAGTTGATGGTTGGCTCTCAGATGGATCTAACTCAGGTTCAGCCTCAGACGAGTTCAATACCTGATTATCAAATCTTGGCACGTCTCTCATTTCTGGCAAGCAATCTGACTTTTCAAAATAACTCCATATTTGGTACAAACTCAAAAACTCTTCGGTAATACCGTCTTCAATCAAAAGATTATCGAAACATTTTAATTTCTTGATTAAATTTTCTCCAGTCAAACTGACAAATGTTATATGGTCCATGCGCGGGGGTATCCTTTTTACCTAAAAATGTGATAAGGGGCAATTAACTTATAGGTAAATAAGAACGGTTTTATAATTACTTCAGGATGCTCTTTTTTGTTTCCCAAGCACTTCGTGTAATCAACAGCATCTGGGTTAAAAGGGAATAAACCACACGCACGAAATCCATTAATTAAAGTTTCCTTTTTGATATGTTTTGCCACTACTTTTTCCAATAGAGGAGCAAATGTTATTTTATTTAGAACTTCTCCAGGATTTTGTTCGTAAAACTCTCGTACGGCCTTTTTCCATCCCATTTTTATGGGCCTGAATACTGCAACATCACATGGTTGAAGAATTCTCGTTGCATTCGGATATAAGGCTATAGCTTCAATGTTTAGTTCATTGCAAAGTATACTTAACTCATAAGTTAAATGAGACTTGTGACCATCTAAAAATAATAATACAGGGAAGTGTATATTATTTTTCACCAAGCATGGATTAAATACGTTTTTCACATAATCATAGAACGTTTCCGCCGTCATCCAGCCATTATCCGATCTTCCAATGCCCCAATCAGGGTCTTTGACGGTCTGGCTTATTTTTTCTGGAATTCGCTTGTAACCATAAATTATCATAGGAGGACAAGTTAACCCCGAAGCAGAAAATGAAAACATGACAGTGATGCTTTCCTTAGATGATCCCTTTTCCACAGAATAAACATCCTTCGCGCCTTTCCTAGCAAAAACTTTGCAAGTTTTTGGGCAAATCTGAAATTCGGATTCGTCGCCATTGTAAATTCTTGAAGGGTCATCAATAACAATATTTTTCGAGATAAGATAACTATTTATATCTTTGAACCATTTCCGAATGTCTGCTTCCGAAACACAAGCGCTGGCTTCACTTACTGCTTCACTTGTTCGCTGCACAAGGGCTGGATGTCTTTTTAGGAAAGCCTAGAACATAAAGTGCTATTTTAGTCACCTCTATTTTCCAAATGCACTTTGATGCCTCATTACCTTGAACTAACTCTCACCGGGTCTGTTGCTTATAAAGGGATTAGGCCGTGGATTTTCAGTCAAAAATTTGTGAACGCTATTTAAAATGTCGTCTCGTTTCCTAGGGAATCCTTTTGTTGCCAGCTCTTCTATCCACCTGCAAAAATAAAAACAGTTATCAAACAGTTCAATATCTCACCTAACATCTCTTGCTGACAGGATTGGATTTGGACCGCATGTGTCTTTATGACCAGGATTTTTTATTTTAAATTCGAGCGTTGATTTAGATACACCGTATTTGTTTGCCGCATTTCTATATGACATGTTGTTATTCTTGACGTCATTTATCGCGGCTTCCATCGATTCCGCATCATATTCATTTTTCTTGGGCATTGTTTTAGGCACATAAAAAACTGTAAATAAACGTTTCAGTTATAAGACAGATTGTAAACCAGTTATTGGACAGGCGTCCAATAACTGGCTATACTGTAAATATTGACACCAAACTCGAAGTGCCGGAAACAGAGAAGCCGCACAAATGTTTCTCACAAAAACTGTATACACCTCGGTATACACATTCCAAAATGCAGTTATTGGACGGGTGTCCAACAACTGAAAGTAATCATATTTTTCGTCAGTTATTGGACACCCCTATAACACATAACCTAGACTATATTGATTTAAACCTTAAAAATGTTTACTTACACTGCACCGCTACCTTGTATATTTACTCTGAGCACTACGGTAAAATTTCACCACTAATTATAGTACTCGAATTCACCTAAAATTTCTTACGATAGGCGTAATAAAACCGTCTGTTTGGTGCATAACCAAAGAATCTCACCTTTGGCGCCAAAACAGAAACGTCAATCAAATGTCATTTATGTCAGTATTGATACTAATAGTACAATGGTGACATCTCAACAAAACTTGGCTCACTGATGAATACAGAATTCTTGTTTTCGCTTGAAATAATTGGGATGTCCAATAGCTCCCAGTGTCCAATAACTGGTATGTTTACCCTATAAATTATAGGTTATATTTTAACACAAAAGGGGGTAATTGGTATAATGTGTAAAACTGAAATCTTTTAATATGGATAATAAAGTATAGGAAAACTTTGGTTTCTTATAGTTCACATTAAGTACAAAACCTCGTGTATATAGCTTTATCTAAATTATCATGCCCTTGATGTACTCTATTGCTTTTTAAAAGCCCAAAATAATTGAGTATTGGTTTAACTTTTGTTTGAAATGTGAGTGCAGTGTAGCAATACTTCTATTTTTGTGATAATTTGTAATCTTGGGCTTTAACTCCCATAGTGAAACACCTTAATCCATTTATGATTAACTTTATTCTGATCAATCTTTGTGGCTAGGTACTGCAGCATTCCCGGAGATCTATATTACCTGCAATATCTAAAATTTGTTATCAGTTGCTAATAACAATATTCATACAGTGTGTTTGTAAAATGCTATAATGTTTTGTGCCCCCTCGTATGTCTTATCATATATTTGAAAGTACTAAAACAAAAATAAAAATGTCGATGAAAGTCCACAATACGAGGGTGGTCCCAGAAGTACCCGGCCTGACCTAGAGATGGCGATAGTTGTTTGAAAAATATCATTGTATTAGAAAGTATGCAGCCTATAAAGCATATGTGTTAAGTTTGAAGACGCCACGCTATTTAGTATTTCTTTGGCAGCCATCAAGACTGAACGTTTTCAGTAAATTTGTGAAAATGGAGAAAATTGGTCATCGTTATGTGGTACAATACTTTTATTTCAAAGACCTCAGCTCAACCAATATAAAAGCTGAACTGGATTCTACACTGGGTAAGTCTGCTCCTTCGTTTACAACAGTAAAATATTGGGTAGCAGAGTTTAAACGAGGCCGTATGAGCTGCCAAGACGAGCTTCGCAGTGGTTGACCAACTGAGGTGACGACTCCAGAAATGGTGAAGAAAACTCACAAAGCGGTACTGAATGATCGTCGACTGAAAGTGCGAGAGCTATCAGTCATAGTAGGCATTTCAAAAAGTGCGGTTCATCGCAGATTTTCTGAAAATTTGGACATGAGAAAGCTGTCTGCAAGATGGGGGCCGCAATTGCTCACAATCGAGCAAAAACAGTGTCGTGAAGATGTTTCAATTGAGTGTTTAGCGAAGTTTCACAGCAACAAAGCAGAATTTTTGCGTCGTTTCATAACCATGGATGAAACATGGGTCCATCACTTCACACCCGAGACAAAAGAACAATCAAAACAATGGACTCAAAAGGGACAACCGGCTCCAAAGAAGGCGAATACCGTTTCATCTGGAGTCAAGGTTATGGCGTCGGTTTTTTGAGATGCGTGTGGGATAATTTTCATTGAGTATCTTGAAAAAGGTAAAACTATCAACGGCGAGTATTATGCGAACTTATTGCAACGACTGCATTTGGTTAAGAAGAAAGTGTTGTTTCATCAAGACAATGCACCAGCTCACAAATCCGTTATTGCAATGGCCAAAATTAACGAATTGCTACCTCATGCATCCTACTCACCAGATTTAGCCCCCTTGGATTATTTTCTGTTTCCAATCTTGAAAAAATGGCTCAGTGGTCAAAGATTTTCCAACGATGAAGAAGTGATGTCGGCAGTTAGTGGATATTTTGAGGAGCAAGACAGTTCTTATTATAAAAAGGGTATCAAAATTATTGAACATTGCTGGGAAAATTTTATAGAGCTCAAAGGAGATTATGTTGAAAAATAAATACATTTTTTTACAAAATTTTTGTGTTTTCTTCGTTGGGTCGGGTACTTCTGGGACCAGCCTCGTACATATGCTTTAAAATATTTAAATTCAAACATTTCATAGAGGTAATCAACTTGAAATTTGAAGTTTTTTCAGTGTGGAAAACCCCGCTTATAGACCCTGATCCTTCGAGCCGAAAAACTACGGATATTTTTTCTTAACGACTTGATATTATCGAAATCAAACATGAATAAACTTCTTGAAACAATCGCAGGTGGCATTACATTGATGTAGATGGAATAGTCAATAACACTATTGAGGCACGTTCCAACTTGCCAAAATATTATTGTCATTATTATACAAACGTGTAAAAAAATTGGCAATATATTGCGTTTATGACAAGCCCGTCTCTGGCGAACTAAATGAGTTAATAGTTTTCGTTAGATTAAATCGTCGCCAAAGTTCTAACACAGCTTAACTCAAAACTGACAAATCTATAAAAGTGCAAAAAACGGCAGATCGATTGACGCGCATATCTTAATGGTGCCATTTTTTGAGTTGCGCGATGTTAAAACTTAAGCAACGATATGTGAAAACTAGGTAAGACTACACTTTAGCGCATATCGCAAATTTATTTATTATTATAAGAAAAAGCGATTTCCAGCGACGTCTTCTTAAGGGGATGTTTTCCGGGATCCAGAAGTGTTTCGCAAATCGAGAGGATCAGATTCAATAGTTTCAGAATAGTCCCAAGAGTCGCTCACTGAATTATTGCTCCATTTTTGTGAGGTCATGACTAGACTAAGGCCCGTATCGTCAGTCGTCCCTACAATTGTAGGGCGCGTTTATGGCCTCCTTGATTGTCATACTCCTTTCTCTCTTTCAAAAATTTCTAGTTTACACTTGTCCCGTGTCAGCGTCAGCGCTCTTCTATTGTGAAGATATGTTTTCTTTTTAAATTGTAGGAAAATTTCAGGCTGATAAAACATGATATAACTCAAAAGCAAGCACAATTTGATGCAAATAGATGTTTGTGACATAACCTCAAAATAGAGTTGTGACACGGAGAAGTAGAAAACAATGACAATCAAGGAGGCCATAAAGGCGCCCTACAATTGTAGGGACCACTGACGATACGGGCCTTAGACAATACCAGCATGCTAAATGGCGATTAAAACGTGTCAAAAATATGAAGTACTATACAGTGCTTTTCTTTAATGTCCCCCTCCCCTTTGAATTTTTGAACGGATCAATTCAAAACATTAAAACTTGAGGTAATGAAATTGATGTGTGGATACCATATTTTAGGGTAAAATTGAGAGATGAAAATGTCAAGATGGCCGCTGGGCGCCATCTTGGAAAAAAATTATATGAAAACGGGGGTCTTGAGGCACATCATTTTGAAGCTCCTGACGAGTACTTTATAACCCTAGAATATAAAGTCAATACCTTTACCTACTACAAAATGGTGGTACATTTAATAATTACTTGAATACATTGACATTTAGCTTGATAATTCGAATAAATACGTTGAGTTCAGTTTAGAAGATGCTGGAAATGGTTGCCTTGAACTTCTTGGCACAATAACAGCCGGTCCGTAATTTCGCGTCGAACATTTTTTCAAACATAATAATATCGACATTTCTACAAATATTTGTTATTCTCAGCCGTATATCCAATACTGAAGCAGGTTCAGTTTCGTACTCATTTTGCTTTAAATAGCCCCATAAAAAAGTCTAAAGGTGTCAAACCTGGCGAGCGAGCTGGCCATTCCACAGGACCTCGACGGCCAATCCGACCGGGGAAATTGTTATCTAAATAATTCCTAATTGTCTGTACTAGTGTGGTGGAGCACCATCTTGCTTCAATACAGTATCAGTATCGAATTTATCAGGATTTGCTTCGACGATTTCGGTGATTAGAGGGTCAATAGTATTTAAGTTAAAGTTTGTTCGACGAATAGAGGCCCCAAAATATGATTTCCCAATATCCCAGGCCAAACGTTATTTTTTTCTGGATATTGAGTATGAGTTTCCCGGAAGACGTGAGGATTGGTGTCACTCCAATAACGACAATTTTGTCTATGCACATTACCGTTGAGAAAAAATGTACATTCATCACTAAAACAAATATTTTGGATATAGGTAGGATGCCGTGCAATGGTTTCCGCCATAGTCTCGCAGAATTCTGTTCTTCGATCAGAGTCATCTTCAGTTAGCTGATGTACCGTTTGAATTTTGTATGGGTGACACTTATTGTTTTTGAAAAGTCTCCATACAGTAGAAGGACAAACCTCACATACATTCGCGATGGATGAAGTAGACTGTTGGGGATTTACTATGATCTTACCAACTATTTGAACTTACTTTTCTTCCGGGATGGTCGGATGACCTGGGGGCTTTTTGTTGTTTACACTACCAATAGTTGTAAATCTAGATACAAGTTCCCTTAAATATTTTCTACAGATAGGACGATTCGGGAAACGGCCATTAAAAATCCTTTCGGTCTCGTGAAAGTTACGCGTCGCATCATAAATAAAAATCGCTTCGATTTTTTCTTCGAATGGACGAGAATTGACCATTTTAAAAATAGTTCAAACAGTATCTAGCACTAAAACCGAAAACTAAATAAGAATATGTTAACTGTACAATGATGTTTGTTTTCGTACGGATATTCTTGTCACTGTCAACAAAAAATAACAAAACAAGTTTTTATCGCTGTTGCTGTGGATACGGTAGGGAATTACAATTATTTGTACAGATATGCATGTTGTGGGTTTGTGTTCAAGTAATTATTAAATGTACCACCATTTTGTAGTACGTAAAGGTATTGCCTTTATATTCCAGGGTTATAAAGTACTCGTCAGGAGCTTCAAAATTATGTGCCACAAGACTCCCGTTTTCATATAATTTTTTTTCCAAGATAGCGCCCAGCGGCCATCTTGACCTTTTCATCTATCAATGTTACTCTAAAATATGGTATCCACGCATCAATTTCATTACCTCAAGTTTTAGTTTTTTTGAATTGATTTGTTCAAAGAATCAAAGGGGAGGGGACATTAAAGAAAAGCACTGTATATGTTTATGAGCTGACTGACTGAGATAAAGAGAGCGAGATTGGAACACAGATTAGTATGATGTTTACTATTTACTATTTTCTTTCAATCAAATGAAACCGCTTTTCTCTGATTTTATCCGTCAAAAAGTATTTTTATCAAATTTTCGCACCGCGTTAAACGCGCGCGCGAAAAGGATCATTCTTGTATTCCTGTCCGAGTGTCTGAATTTTCAATTCACTACCTTAATCACAGAACGTATGAGGCCCAATTTCCAATAATGCAGGTAGTGCTGCTGTTTTATTTATATTTGCGTCCAGCTGAACGTATAGGCAACAAGAGTTACGCAACCTGTTATTTCCACGCCAGCATCGAGGCGCTTACAAATTGATTAAGGTTGCTAGGTATGGTGATTTTTCTAAAAATCTGGTGAATTTCTAACCGTTTGTATCCATTACATATTTGCATAAAGTCTGTATTTTATTAAATTTATCAAGGACATTTGAAAGTCATAAATATTAGAGGTCAAACTAAGATTCTCCCGGAGGGTTATGACCTTCATGACCCCCGCTACATAAAGATGGTACAATAATTATTGATTCATCTGTATTGTTACATTTTTATTGGTCTTAATTGTGTTGATTTAGATTTTTGTACCACATATAAAAATATGTATCAAGTGGATGAAAATAAAGATAAAGTAGCGATTTCATTAGTACTCGTACCTATTCGATGTTGCCATTTACGCTCTTCACCATGCTTCAGCTGTGTAACATAATATATGCACGTTTTCCCAGTCATAAACGTCTTCAGAGCGCCGCTTGTGGGTGGATTTATGGGGCACGTGCCCCAGATACCGATAACGTTTCAGGGGTTGGGCGCCAGAGGGCGGAGAGAGACGCCTCGCGAGGGCTGGTAGCGCGATAACGCCCTCCGTATAATAGGATTTACCGCACCTAACATAATGGTCCATTCTCCACGGCGTTTTCTTATTCTTTCTGTAGATAAGTGCGGTTATCAGCAGCGCGCAGCGGCGGCGACGCCGGAAATGAACGAATCTGACGCCGATAACGCGTCGCGGCGACGACAATGCCGCCGCATAATGCTATCTTTTGCGCTCTTTGTACCGACACATTGTAGCACGCTCCTTAATTGACTCGTTGAGGAAGCTCCTTCTTGGCTTAGACGCTGCTGGAGAAGCGTCAGCAAGCGGGGATGTTCTTCCATATCTACAGAGCGTATTGATATTCAGTGTACCGAAAAATTCTGTCTGAGCTTTCTGTGTGTCCAAGGGCCCCTATATAGGTTAAGGCGGTCTCCAGAAAATATACAAGTAAACTAGTAAACATTTAAAAGGTTTGAATGTTAGTCGTTCAATGGATGTGTTTTAGCCTGAAATATGTTTGTTGCAGATATTTGTATAATAAATGTAACTTTTAATTGAGCTACGTTATGTATCTTAAATACAGTTAGTAGCACCGAGCCCGAGGGCTAAACCGAACCCGGAAATCTGTACAATAACGGGAAATATTCCACCGCAATTCCTATTAATGCCCCATAATTCTCCTTTTGTTTTAGATAATTCCCGCATAATTTCCTCTAATGCACCATAATTCTCCAATAATTTCCTCTAATGCACCATAATTCCCTTCATTCCCTCGTAATTCCTGCAAATTCACCGAAATTCCTGTCAGGAAGTACTGAGAATCGCAGGGAATACCAATGAATTGAAACATACATGTTTCTAATGATAAAAAAGACAGCACAGTACTAAATTAAAGTATACATGTATGTTATACATTAAATAAATTCAAATTCAAAATACATTTATTTGCCAAAAAACAAAAAAAAAAAACATGATTTTTACCGTATTATAGAAAATACACACACTTAATACGAGGGATGTCTTTTAAGTTTTGCATATGGAAATAAAACAACACGGTAGGTAGTTTTAAATGACTTTATTGTTTTTCGAAGTATTCTCCACGAAGATTAATACACATCTACATGCGCTCGAACCATTTTTCGAAGCACTTATTCCACTCGTTTGCTGGCAGATCCAAAACGGCATTTTTGAATGCGTGAACTGCTTCTTCTGGTGACTGGAACCTTTGACCACGCAATCTGTTTTTAATTTTCGGGAAAGTAAAGAAATCTTTAGGACATAGATCGGGACTATATGGAGGATGGTCCAATAATTCCACGTTTTCTTCCGTTAAATACTGCCTTGTTTTTTGTGCTATGTGCGAGCTTGCATTGGCTTGGTGGAGGATAATTCTTACTTCGGGGTTGATTTTTCGAAGCTCGGTGATGACTTTTGGCAAACAAATGGTGGTAGACCAATACGCAGTAACAGTTATTTGATCATTAAGAGGAATTGTTGCAATATGACCCGCTTTTGACACAAATGTCGCGAACAACTTTTTCGAAACACTTCGAGAACGGATGACTTTTGTTGGCTTTTCTTCACCTTGGAACACCCAAACAGCCGACTGACGTTTATTTTCTGGTTCATAACAGTAAATCCACGATTCATCACTACTGACAATGCTGTACACATTTTTTGAGTTTCCGGAATTGAAACGGTCAAGCGTTTTTTGACACCAATTAACCCTGGCTGCTTTCTGCTCTTCAGTCAACAGGCGGGGTATAAAACGAGAAACTAATTTTCTTACTCCTAATTCTTCATGTAAAATGGTTTGAATTGAGGTCTTTGAGATCTTCAAGGACTCCTCAATCTCGCGATATATCACATGTCTATATTCAATGATGAGTTTGCGCACAGCATCGACGTTTTCCTGGGTGACTGCCGTTTTTGGTGCACCCACCCTGGGTTCGTTTCTAAGACTCACCCGTCCACGTTTGAATTCTCCATACCAACGGCAAATTGTCGACTGATGTGGCGCTTCGTTGTCGAAAACCGACAGTAACTCAGCAAGGTTTTCTTGTTGCGATAATTGTCTCTGAAAGTTGTAATAAATTATGGCGCGAAAATGTTCTAGGTCGAGTTCCATTTTTCTAATCACGTGGTGACACCTAAAAATTCACTGTAGTGAGAACACTGCACGTATTGTTGTGAAACTTTGAATTTAAGTTTACTAAAGAGTGAGGTTAAGATTCAGTACCGACGTTCGATCCGCGCGGCCTACTATGTTTCTATATGAAAAACTTAAAAGACATCTCTCGTAATATTTTTGGCAAACAAGACAAATTCTCGATCAAATGACCGTTAACACCCAGCCTTACATAAGTAGGGTGGGTGTGAAAAAGCCCTGTGTTACAGTAATTTACACATATATTATAATATATAAACAATATTTAGGAATTTAATGATTTCATTTATTAGGAGCATGAACCATTGATATTGCAGAAGAAAAAATGTATTTACGCACTTAAAAAGTCAACGTTCCGACGGGTGGGGAGCACCGGCGAGGGGGCGAAGAGCGGCAGAAAGCAACAGACGCGAAGCCACACCGACGAACCGTCATACAGTTAGCCATACCGAAATCCATCTACACACATACATCTATCATCAGATGCTCGCTTCTCCATCTGAATAAAAAGATAAATTTGAAAAAATAAACTTGACAACAAGTATCCGTGCACAATCACACTCGTTATTGTATTATTGATCCTGAAGAAGCATGGCCATTATATACTTTGAGAACACTCTTTGTGACATTACCTTCACATCATTATTTAAACTGTTCCACATTTGAACTGCAAGAATTAAAATGGAACGTTGAAATGCTGCAGACCTATGTCGAGGAGTAATAAAAAAATTCTGGTTATGTGTTGTCCCGTAATAATGATTACAAGTTAAAAGTTCATTTTTCAAATACGGAGGTTTTCCTGATTTTATTATTCTATAGATGAAATTAAATAGATGATGTTTCCTACGATTTAGCATATTCAGTATAGACAAATTGTTTAGGTAAGGTGTTATTTGGTTACGATAAGGTATGTTGAATGAAAATCGCATGCAGGTGTTCTGCAATTTTTGTATCGCATTTTTAGTAGTACTCGTATACGTCAACGAGCTCCTCCCATAAACTATATCTCCATAGTCAAAAAGCGACAATATGAGATTCTGACACAGGAAATACTTTTGCTTAGGCAGTAAAATTTTTTTTAGTTTGGAGATATTTCTTAATCGTATGTAAGCTGCCGTCAATTTTTTCTTTATGTGTGGTTCAAACGATAATGCATTATCGAAGATTACGCCTAGATTCTTTGCTTCGTGAACAATGGGGACTATCTCATTGTTTATATGGATATTCAAACTATGCTCAATATTTCTCCTAAGTGTGAAATTAGATCCCAAAATTAAAGCTTTTGATTTAGAAGCATTGAGTTTTAAATTGTGGCGTATGGCAAAACTGTTTACCTCTAGCAGGTCTGAATTAATGTCATTTCGGTAAAAATATCTACCGAAAAAATGGTAGGTTCGGCAACACTGTTTTGAAATATTGAAGTTTAAACTTGTCAAGCACGTTATAACACGGAACAACACAACATGAAATTAGAAGAGTATCCAGCTGCTGATAGCGCCATCTAACCGTTCCCTCATAACTGGACTGCCTGCGACAGTGTTGTCAAGTGAGGCAATTTTTCACCAGATCTGGTGATTTTTTCTATCCTTTTAGAGAGCTGGTGAAAATTCATTTGTTACAAGGGTCTGATTTATTTTTGTTGCATTTTATTTTCTCATTTATGTTTCAAAAGTGAGTTATGCTATTTATGTTTGAAGGTGTGTTTCATGTTTTTTTTATTCCAACAAATAACTGTTCGTCTTTTAACTAATGTTATTGGCGGGCCCAGAATTCGTTATATTTTTATTGTTTTTCATTTTAATAAATAGTAACCAAACTGTTTGTCTTTTACTTTGTTACTTAGTATTGTTTACTACCAAAGTAAAATAGTCCAGAATTGTAATAAGTCTATTTTCACTGAAAAAATTGTTGACCTGAATGCTTTTTTGCCCTTTTTGGCACTTTTATAATAAACTTTATTGGAGATCGGATAATTTTTTTCCAAATCTAGCAAGTAACTCTGGTAATATATATGTTTATCATCTGGCAATCCTGGCTTGTGATGCCATGGTAGTCAATTGAGTCGTACGAATCTGGGCAAATTTAAGTTTAAGCCTTCCCCAAGTTTCTCCAAGTCTCCAAACACAAAACAATGTTCGTCTAATGTCGGATGAAAACCAGGTCGAAATAAGTTTTTTTTCTATCTAGGTCGTTAAGCGTGCGATTACGAGCCGCGGTACGAAATTAGAGCCCAAGGTGCGAGACGTTAAAGAAACACCCATTATAAGCTACCTACTGTGCGACATCCTGAGAACAAATTGTCGGAGCGAACAGCGCTTTTCCGCTTAAGCAACTGATGATTACCATTCAGGATTACACCTTTCATTTGTCACTTCCAAAAGGAATACAAATGCTTTTCAGCTCTCAGTTTTTAAACTCTCGGCTCTTTAAGAGAGAGTTTCGTGAATTGCAGAAGAGCTGCTTTTAAATTAGGGGGTATTGAAAGAGGAGCGGTTACAAGACTGGCAGATTGCCATTTATATTTTTTCAATTCAACGTTGACAACTAATTGGCTCAAGCAAGCGGTACTCAAAATGTTCTCAGATCTTGTTCATACAGTGCTTTCCTTTAGGTGGCAAACTCGATTATGGTGAGAGTTCGGAAAGAAAATAATTTAAGTACTGATAAGCCATTCTACTACTACACTAAGATAAGATATTATAATAAAGCCAACTATACTGAGTTTCTTACATAGAATCCGCAACAGGTGACATGACCAAAAGGTTGGTTCTTGCTCTACATGCTTTAAAAGTGACATAAGTGCCCGAACAAAAAAGGAGGTAGGTACATTAGGTATTAATTGGCGCTAAAATATCTGGGGAGTCGATCATGACATGTAACAGTTTGAAAATAAATACAATAGATGAAACCTTTCTTCTGAACTCTAAACGTTGAATTTCAAAATGCAGACACAGCTCTGCATTGCTAACCTCTTGCCCGGGATACATTCCTCCAGTCTTCATATAAAGAGATTTAAGGAATCTTCCTTGAACTTCTTCAACTTCATTTATATAAATTTGCTAATATGGGCTCCATATAGTACTCAAAACATAATACCTTCAAACTCCTTATGTCGTGAAATCGCCTGCAATTCCTGATAAGCAAATCGTATGACTTTAGCGCTTCTGAATTTTTTCGAGAAATATGGAGAGCAAATGTCATAAATCTTTGATTGTATCACATCTATCCAACAACGCATCGTCAATATTATAGTTGAAAATATAAAGGTTTTGTTTCCTATTATAACTAACAACCTTGCACTTGTTGATATTTAGATTTAAATTGTTGACATCGCACAAAGTTCAAATACTATTCAATTCATTTAAAATTTTCACAGATGTCATTAATAAACAACAGAAATAAAAGTGCTTCCAAGTTATACCCCTGGGGAACACCCGATGGAGCTGAGTAGTCCTCGAACTTTAACCCGTTATATGCTATGTATTGCTTTGGCCCTGATAATAAGGAACTAAAGAATTTTATAGTAGTTACTGCGTAGTAGTACCTTAATTCTTTAACAAAGCTCCATGATAAATTTTGTCGAAGCCCTTTGAAAAATTTGTATGAATGACCTCGACTTGACAGTTATAGAGCTTCACATAAATATGTACAATAAAAATAATTAGTTCCTAACAGTGGATCGACGTTTGATAAAACCGTGCAGCGGTTGTGATATTTGATTTATTATTGAAAGGTACATCATATTACATTCTAACGATCACTATAAGCCGTGATCTTGAACTGGAGATATTCTGAACAATAGCTAAGTAATTTTCGCATATTTTCTCTTTTCCTTCATGCCACGACAATGATGTTAATGGTTTATCCGCTATAAATGGAGGCAAATGAATTGCGAAATCTGAATAAGAATTTCTTCTTGGCAAAGTTTTTCTCGGTAAAGTCGATTAGGCTATAAATTGAGTTATAAGAAAATTAAAAGAATTTTTACAAAACGCTCTCTAAAGCCGACAAGAGTGCGCTTTTCAAGAAATGGCGTGAAACAGCACCAGTGACTATAAAAATGTTTAAGAATTCACCATCAGTATCCGATCTGCATTGTACACCCACAATAGGGTCTTCCACAAAATTTAGACTTCAACTTACTATACAAGATGTCTAGAAATTTGAGGATAATCCTGCAACAGCTAATAGGTAATAACTACAGGGTTCCCAACGAAAATGGAAAGTGGTTTTATGAGCAAACTAGAAAAGATAGAAAAATCTGTTTCCGTGGTAACTTTGATATGTTACTAGTGCATATTTTAAAATTATTTCAATATATAAAGGGTGTTCATAACTTCGTGTCATAGCAAACATATATTTTTTAAGTAGAAAACCCGATATTTTATTGCATATTTATATGGAGCTTCTAAAAGCAAGAAGCTTGATATTATTTAAACGTATCTTTTCGGTTGTCAATTGTCCAGATATTTGGTCAAACGTCTGAAGAAATGCTCAGCTTTGACGGCTATTTAGATATATCTTAGTTCACAAATATTTTATTATCATCGATTTTAAACCGACCTTGAAAAAGTTCTGAAACTTCTTCCTATTTATACATTGCATCTCAAAACGCAAAATGTACCTTTTCTCAAAAGTTTCAAATGGAACATCCTGTATATTTCTACAGCATTAAATAGTTTTATTGGTGACCTTTTTTTTTGACATCAGGTTTATACAAATTTTATCCAAACGTTTTTAAACATGAAATCAAATCTTCTATCAAAACAATAGCTTTTATTAACACAACAAAAATACTTTGAGCCTAAGGCAATCAATAGTTAATAGATTGTTCGAATATATTATCTTCTTGCAAAACACACAAGGCCAGTCTAAAAGGATTGGTCTAGGTATCTGCGCAAACGACTCGCTTATACGATGTTTTATGTTCTCGGGTGTTTAGAACTACTTTCCATTATCCC